GCAGATCCTTTTTTTTGGTCGCTGGGATTGAAAGATATGCCAGTGGACAGAAGAGATAAAACACTGGAAGCAGAAGAGATGGCTTGCGGAATCTTCTCTATCTTCGTGGCAACAGGACTTCAGTTGCGAGAGACTTTCGTCCTGTCGTTGCGGACGAAATTCTTGTTGCTGCCACCAGAAACGGAACTCGGAGAACGAAACGTTCGTATGTCGTTTGGTGAAGCGGATCGTGTCGGTGAACGGCTGCGGAATGTTCTGCCGCCATGGTGGTCGTTTGTTCTCCCAATTAGCAGCAGTCCAAATACTTTTCAACTTCGGAGAGTGAAGCGCTTCCCTGTTCCGTTGACAAGCGCGGCGTTCGCGAGTGTAATTCACTTTCGCATCAGCTTGCAGTAGATCGTCAGGTATTGAGCCAGAGGTAGGTGTCGTTGTAGAAAGAATATTATGTTGTAGCTGACATACCTGTAGTGTCTCTTGACCGTGCTGGTCGCCATTGTAACGTGGTAGTTCTTAGAAAATTTTAGTTCTGGACCCAGTGACCGCCGCCAGCGCTGTTTCCGTCAAGTTTGCAGTGAATGCGTCCGCGAGGAATCCATCGTCTGGTTGTCTCTACCCGTGACTCCAACCGCCTATCGCAACGGATTGCCGCCTGGAGTCTTGGGTAATAGCTAGGCATCTAGTCTGAACCAAATTCCTTGCTCCGTGCAATGAAAGTTGACGGGAAAGATGAAAATACTCGCACCGACTCAGCGAGGTGGAAGTGCGTGAGAACCGATTTCTTCCTCGCCGATCGGCTAAAAATCGGATGCGCATTTTCAACGACGCTGCTTCGATTTTTTTCAAATGGCAACCCATACTTCTGGAAGCGTATTTCGATGGGTATGGACATCTTCCAGGGGCCAGTGGCCGTCTACCATGGCTAAACATCTCCAATATTCGAAAATAGAGGCACGAACTGGGTGAGGTCTGCCTGTCGACGGAAGTCGACAACAGCACTGGGGACTGCATGTTTACTCGTCGACGCAAGTCGACACTGGCACTCGGAGTGCATGAATGCGCTGTCGACTGCAGTCGACAGCGGCAGTGAAAGGGTTAAGCCAAAAGAGAAAAAAATGTTTCCGCTCGGGTTCGAACCGAGGACCTTGTGCGTGTGAAGCACACGTGATAACCACTACACTACGGAAACCCAGGCCACATGTGCCATTGCTCACTGGGCTAGACAACTGAAAGGAATGGTCTTAAGCTACTCGCCTGCGAATATGTGTTCATGGTGTATATTGGTACTGTATTCTGTATTTTGCTTTCCAAAGTTAAACGGGATCACAGGTTTGAGGGAAAGACACAAAAGGGAAAAGTCTGGGGAAAAAATTGACTTTCACCACCAGGATTCGAACCAGGGACCTTCGCGTAAGGCCAGCGACGCTCCAACCACTGAGATAAGGTGTAGCCGTCATCCCAGCTGAGACCGTTCAAAATTTTCTTTAGACTTCGTAACTCACACTTCCTGTGAATCCACACAAGCAGGTGGGACACAACCCTCACTGTGACGCACACACTTCACGTACAGACTGGCACGCGGTGAGCCCCAAGTCATAAAATATTGACTGGTTTGTATCTGTGTTATGTGTGTTCATATAACTGTGCATACAATCCCAGGGCAAGGAGATGCAGGAGATCACCGTCTCGCGAGCACTGCAGCGACGCAACAAGAACCGCCCGCGCCTCCACATCTACGTGGCCGTCATCAACGAACACAAGGAGATGGCCTGGCACATTCGACAGGGCGTGGACGGAATCCTCACGGGAGCAGTCGACACTCTTGCTGTCGTGCACGGTGAGCCTTCAATACACTAGTCAATAGGGCATGAAATGGATGACATCAGAAGTCAAGAAATAACGACGGATAACGACTTCTGGGTGAAATTGGATCCACGCTGCCCCAAGCCAAGGAAAGAATGTGTTCGGGTGATGTGACTGTGCAGAAATTGCGCACCGTTGCACGATGCCTGCTCATACCTTGAAATTAAAGTGCAGCTGTTGTATATGTGTGTGTCCGTGGAGATACGCTGAGCCTGGGCTTAAAACTGTTCCATCACAACCCGATGTGTGCGGCAGTAGTATGGCTGCATCTCCATGGTGATGTTCCCACTTTGCACAGTCATCATTTATGTTCAGTCCCTCTCCACTCTGCCCTCTGCCGGGGAGAACCAGGTGACCAGTTTAGGCACTGTGAGCAAGTACAAGCACCAGTTTATAGGAAAGAAAAAGGACCAAGGAACTAGAAGTTACGCTATAATGTCCACTAACACAACCAGTTACTAAACAATCAGCTCATGCGAATGGACATTATAGCGTAACTTGTTGTTCCTTGGTCGTTTTTCTTTCCTATACATTTATCCTTGACTCTCCATCTGAGTCCACAAGTACAAATGTGTGTTCTGATGTCTCCACCATTCACATGTTCTCCTTGCAGACACTGTGAAGGCATGTGGTAGTGAGAATCGCCCAGCACACTGCACTCCCGGTGGTGGATCATCCACTGGGGAAGTAGATCAGCCAGCTGTCCCACAGCAAGTTGCAGAGCTTGGTCCACCACCGTATATCACCCAGTGTGTCAATACTGATGGGTCGGCAACCGAGCTCAACACGTTCAACAAGGTCAGCATATTCGAGAGGATTTCTGTGTGTGGGGGGGGGGGAGGGGGGGGGAAGGGGGGGGGGAGTGAAAGGGTGGGGAGTAGGAGTCTGTGTACAATGCCCTATTGCTGAACATATGTCTGAAGTGCATGTGCTTGGATGGATATTACACGTTTGCAAATGCCTTATATGAATTCACAGTTGCACCTCTACACAGTAAATCAATGGCGCAAGGCCAATGTGCATGCTCCGGTATTGTACTGTGCACTACCCTCTACCTGTACGGCATCCGAGAGCCCTCATCAGAAAGGATGCATCATGTTGCCATTGGGCTTCTATGTACTTATATGTGTGTGTGTTTTACCGCATGTGTATGTGTATGTGTATGTGTATGTGTATGTGTATGTGTATGTGTATGTGTATGTGTATGTGTATGTGTATGTGTATGTGTATGTGTATGTGTATGTGTATGGGATTTCTAGGTTCTTCGCTGCTGGGCTACATTACTCAAGGTCTGGAGCACTGCTTTGGAGGCCGCGCAAAACTCTGTCCCGATTTTTATTTCGGCAGAATAAACCAAGCAGCTGGGAACATTTCTTGTGTTGTGATGACACCGGCACAACTCAATTTTACGGCTGCACCCTACAGTATTGGCAGGAGTGATAACGGTGCTGCTTCACACTAGCCTGAGCCTTCCATGCCATTCCTAGAGTGATTTTGATTCACTGCGTATCCACCGCATCTTCTATTTTAGCCATGGGGCCGTCTGGTGGAAACAAATGCATTGATAAAATCATCAATAACTGACGGTGTTATGTTGCTTTACCTAGGTTACCATGGTAGCAACATTTATTTTTAGTACTTTCCTGCTGAAAACTGCAATGTGTAATGCCACGCCGCGGTTTCACTTACTGCCAAAGGCAAATCGATGTATGCTGGTTGTTTTTTGGTTCGGTTCGGCTTAACTTTATTATCTCTCTTTTATTCCTTGACTATCCAACTCAGCCAGAGAGACACTTTCTCACTCTCCCCTCTCTTTTTCCCCCTCCGTGTTAGCGTATCTGTGTGGGGGACTAGTACTTTTGTCAATGGCAGCTACCATTATGTTTCATTGCTTTATTAAAACTACAAATAAAACATGTAATACGAACACATGCAGCGCATTGTAGAATGTCAGAGCGTTCTGATTTATTCTTGGCACTAAATCTGGTAAGAAGTCTCAGTCCTTTTTCCTATATACCGGTATCTGCGTTGTGTGTCTTTGGGCTTGCACGGTTTCCGGGCGGCTCGGGATCCAGATCAATCCTATCCACCCATTTTTTTTCTGTGCCTTGTCTGCCATCCTTCAGTCCCCTGCTCCTACCTAGAGCCATGGAAGTCGTCGATATAGCATCATCGATCATTCGGTCGCCGGAAATGTGTCTGATAGAGTGACCTGGCAACAGCTGCCACGGGTAACACGGTCCTGTAACAAACCTGCAAGAAGATTGTAATGACTCACTGGCACATGATCAAACCTATGTACTTGTAAAGTGAAACCTCGAAGAACACTGATAAGACAAACTTTGGCTTTAGAGGAACTAGTAATCGAAACTCGATTGGCTAGATCACTTTGCATTCACTGGGTACATGGATATAATATTATGGATCAGAAGAATCCCCGTTATTGCGAACAAAATTAATATCACCGGGCCCGTGGCGTCCGTCCTAAAGAGGTTTGACCGCGGTTGTTTCCTACGCACAAGTGCTAGTTCAGTCAAAGACTGGTGTGTGCTTCTTGATGATGGCCATTTCCGTCATGTCAGACTGGGATCTCCATTCCAAACTTCGTTTTGAAGTCCACTAGTCTTATACCATGTATACAATACTCAATAGTAACAGTCTCTATGCTCCGAGACTGATTATTATTTTATGAGCTTCTCATGCAACTTTGCAAGTACCATGGCTATAAGACTAGTGGACTTCAAGATAAGGTCACGCGGCTTGTGAAGGTTACGAAGACTGAGCTACACATACAGCCAGACAGTCTGCCACCAGGTCGCAGCTCATACTCAGCTCAGGAGTCATGGCAATGGAGTATAGTCACGTGACATGGCAAAATATTGGCCATGTCACGTGACCATACTCCATTGCCATGACTCCTGAGCTGAGTATGAGCTGCGACCTGGTCCTGGTGCAGTGGTGGCAGACTGACTGGCTGCATGTGTAGAATGAGCTGTGCCTTGTGGAAAAAAAGCTGGGGCCAGACGGATCAATCATCATACATGTACATGACCCAGGGCCATGAGCTGACGGCACTTCGACTTCGAGTTTGACACAGAGCGAGAAAACACGGGCGGACGTCTCTTGCGACCTACTCGAAAGAGCAAAGTCTTCGCTAGGAGCAAGAAGCTGGGGTGCTCTGGATTCAGTCAGGAAGGCCTACATCGGACAGCAAACCGAATGCCGCGCGCATTGCGGCGGCTTGGGACTTGGCGACTGTAAACGGTGGGGGGTTAGCGCTCCTCTCAACAAATTCGGTCATGGAAGCGGAGAACAGTGTGGGCGAGCTGACTCGCAGGCTGGAGGCACTGGAAGAGAAGGTGGGTGGTTATTGCATCGTTGCGCAAGTGTTGCGTTTTCCCTCACTGCAGACAATCGTTTTCCCTTTCGTGAATTACTGAGTAGGGCTACGGAATACTCCACCACTGCAAGAACAGGTTGCCGCTCAACACCGGGAACCTTTCAAATGTTCAGCGCTGAGGAAAATGCTTGTTGTCGAGGACTACCTTTCCCGTCCTCTTGCCCTGTAATATCGAGTGACTATTTGAATAGCTCTGAGCCTCTTTCACCTCACTGTCTCGTATTTATTTTAATATCCAAAAATAACGCGTCCGAGCGTTGCCGCAATGAGCTAGAGGAGATACCGATAGCCTTACATAATTATTGCTCAGTGACTAAACATGGTAAATGAATGGTGAAAGATGCTAAGCTCTTTTGTCAGTGGGACTGGGCCATGGGACATACGATAGAACATACACGAAAGTATGTAACTACTGTTGTGTACATTGATATCCTGTGGAATGACTGGGGGCGGCGCCCTTGACTGCCTTAGCGCTTGCACGCACTGTACAAGCAGTTCATGTACACACCGCCAAAAAGGACCAGCAGTGCTCACGGCTGCAAGGCCAGTGCTCACGGCTGCAAGGCCAGTGCTCACGGCTGCAAGGCCAGCGCTCCGACGCCGCTTGACTTCTCAACGGATTTCATTGTCCACTACAGTAGGTGTGTTGGGACTTGGGAGTGCTAAACTTCATTTTGGAACCGCAGCATACTGTTCAATAGATGAAGTGCGTGCGATTCAGGGGCGTCGGAAGGGTAAATTCGTGGCGTACGGTTAGCCATCTGATTTACAATTAACTTGTTAGGAGAGGGCTTTGCTGAAAATTTTCGAAATTTTTAGAGTCCCAAATCAGTGCATTTGATTGATTCACAGGGTACCCGGGGCAAAGAGTGTGCTACGGGCAATACCGTAGTGACCGTAGCTTGTCCGACGCCCTTGCGATAGCATCATCAGTTCATATACTTAGGAATTGGCAAAGGGGCCGAAACAGCGATGCGCTAGCTCATGTAAAAACATGGAACCCGCCGACTCGCCACCACGACATCATTTCGCATCACGTGTACTTTGGCTCAAAGTTATCTTTTCAACTCTGTTGCCTGATAATTGTACATGTACTGATACCATTACCCTCATAGTAGGAATTAGCCTGGGTCCACTTCTGGGATGCGCACATACGGGAATAAAATACACAGTGTTGCGCAACAAGATCCGACCTCACGAATACCATATGGCGCATCACGCCAGCACACCGACCCGTGTTCGCAGGCCTGCGGGCTGCACAATGCCCCGTGCGATACTGACTCAACCAGTTCTGCTTTGCATGCAGTGACAACCCAGTGCTAGTTTTTTTTCATGAAGTAGCAAACCAATCAACTGCTGTAGTCACTGTTGTAGTGTCACTTTTAAACCACTCCATACAAAAAATAAAACTTTTAAACCACTCCATACAAAAAAATAAAACTTTTAAACCACTCCATACAAAAAAATAAAACTTTTAAACCACTCCATACAAAAAATAAAACAGCATCTCTACTGGCTCGCTCGCGAAGGCGGGACAAACTTCTTGTGTGCTCCAGATGCCAGTCGTGAGTCCGTAGAGTGTCAGCCAGTCAGCATGAAGCGCAAGCTTCAACATTAGCAGCATCTAGCTTTAAAAAAAAGAAGAAGGCTGCTAATTATACGAATAAGCGGCGCGGAGGCAATAACTTCATAATGGCAATCAGCAGAATCAGCGAAGCGGACATTGGACGTAGTAATCAACAAAAATAAAATATGGATAAGGTTGTGTGCTTCGCTGATTCTGCTGATTGCCATTATAAAACTACCAATTATTTAAACAAGCGGCAAATCGTCCTTTTCGCCATGATGTACCGTAAAGTTGCGGATAAAAGCCGGGTTTGCATACAAGGACATCGCGGATAGAAGCCTGAAAATCAAACGGGTCAAATGCATATAAGCCTGTCGCGCGTAGAAGCCTGGCTTCTATGCAAGCGCGGATCGGGTGGGTCAAGAGTGCACGCGCTATGTATGGTGCATAGTAAAACTGCCGCCATACCGGTAGTCAGTGGTAGATCTACGCATGTCGCGCGTACTTGAACAAGTAGACGCCTGGCATACAAGCCTGGCAAACATATCAGTGGTGCATATAAGCATGGTTTGCATACAAGCCTGGTATGCATTAAAGCCTGATGCAGAAAGCGGCTTATGTGCTTATAAGGCCGGCTTCCCGGCTTAACGGTAGTTACATTTTTCCCCTTGTTAAGCTCATCCTGCTGCTTGTTATTCTTCGATTGAATACTGTTTATACATGTGTACGTTCAGTACTGTTGAATCGGACAGCCGATTTTCATTGTATGTGTCACCATAATATTAATTAACTGGTTTTGAGGGAATGAGACAAGCGGGAAATAATATTAATTATTATTATTATCATTATTAGTAGAAAGGAAAAGGACATATGGAAACGAGTTAAGAGTAACTCATCGTCCAGTAACAATCGACATTCTTTGTTCCATTGGGACTGTAGCTTGTGCTCGCTTTCGTTTCGCTTGCCTTTCCCTCTTTGGTCTTTCCATAACCTTGAACCTTCCAAGTTGGAAGGCTGTCGGTTAGCGGAGATGTGTTGAAGTTAGGTGTCAGGACGTCGAATGTCTCAGTACTCTGTCAGTTTTGTGCCTAGTTGTTGCACTTTCTGACTGTATTATAGTATCTAGTTACAGTGATGGAGAGTTACTCTTAACTCGTTTCCATATGTCCTTTTCCTTTCTATTAATCTTTTATTATTGGCTCAACACCCGAGTTTCAAATTATCATTATTATTTATTCATATTTTAATAGGGCATTCCCAAATTATCACTTTCGTCTGCAGGTGCGGTCGAAGGATGACGAGCTCCTGGTGCTGCGTTCGGCCATCGCCAACCTGACACGGCGCTTGAACACCTGTGAAGAACAGCTGCAGTCTAACACCAAGTCACCAAAACCAGCTGGCCGTGCTGGGGTGGAGGCAAGGCCACACACATCCACGGGCACATCCTCAACTACCGGCGCTAGTAGATCCGAGCAGCGGCCCGCATCGTCAGCTGCGCGCGGTTAGTGCTGCTCATGTTTTCATGACAACCGGGGTATTGAGGATTTTCCTGAGGTTTGAATAGTTTGCAGGCAACCTGCGTACACACAAGAGAGCACTGCATTTCACACAAATACATTAGAAGTGTTGTTTCAACGTTTCGGTCTCCATGACCATCATCAGGAATTTTTCCTGAGGTAACTACTTATTATTGTTATACCTGGCTGTGTGGTGTGACAAGGAGATGTTCGTTGCATACTCAACAGTCCCACGAAGCCAGAATTGGCTCTGTGTGTATGGACCTCTGTACGTGCTAGTACAGGACAGTGTTTCAAATAGGAACAAGTTGACAGCAAGATTGTGTAGACCCAAAGCAATCATCAGTGTGGATTGTTCACTAGAAGTATGTTTTTGGAAGGAAGCTGGCATGTTGAAATTTGCTCTGAGGCCAGAGTCGATCGAACTGAGTCACTCCTTTGGCCGCTTTTTTGTAAGTTGCGCGATTTTTCGTTTCAAATTTTTGTGTCACGGAGGTTGCTCCAAGCAGGAACAGTTCCGGGAGTCCACGGCAAGTTCACCCCGAGTTCTGAAATAAGTTTATTGCTATCGCTCCATGATGGCCAGTACAGAGAAACAATAAGCATTCTGTGTGCTTCCATTTGTTTTCATTGGTATATGGTCCTTTATTGGCGAGAGGCAAGCCGCTGTGACAAGAAGTTGATTTTTCGAAAGACGTTAAACTCAAGTCGCAAGGCGAAGCAACACGCCACAAATGCACGTGCTTGGTATGGCGCTTCTAGTTATCGCAGAACCATGAACTTTTGGCTCGGAGTAAAACACATCGTAGTCTCACTGGGACACATGTTTTTTTCTAACCATCAAAATAGCAAGAGAAAAAGTGAATTTTGAGTCAGTTCTGGTTTGCGACATGTGTCCAATTTGCGACACCCTCCTCTACTATGTACCGCAGATCACTGGCTAGAGCCAGTCCTAGTCTTCAAGAAACGTCTCCAAATGATAAAGTGTGCATGCTGCCCCCAACCCCACCCCTACCGGAGATTACACACACACACACACACACACACACACACACACACACACACACACACACACACACACACACACACACACACACACACACACACACACACACACACACACACACACACATACACACACACACACATACACACACACCTGTGGCTCCTTCGTGCTACATAATGAAGTGCATTGCCATGACAATGCACTACTGCTGATAATACAAGATTAAAGATCTTTTCTACCGAATGCTGTCTATTCTTGCAGTTTCCCGTCCACCGACCGGTCAGGGTCCACAAGCGCCCAGCCCTGGGCCAAATCGACGCCAACTTCCCACGCCGGGACAGCCGCGTCAGCTTCCCACCAGTCCCAGACAGACGGCAACGTCGCTGGCACGCGTCAGCAACAGCCCGTCTATGTCACGTCGCCACACTTCGCCAGCGCTGCATGGTAAGCCGTCCACCTCCACCTCGGCGTCATCCTCGACGTCTGCATCGTCGTCGACGGGGTCGCACAGGGACACAGGCAGTAGTAGTGGCAGTGCACATCCGCCTGGTGCTATCCACACGACCGACACCATGCCATCGCCCAGACTGATCCGGTGAGTCTGCTCTTGCATTCTGGAGCGTCCTAGCACCGTTTGTAGTGAGTTGGGGGTTGAGAGAGTGCTCAATGCATTTGGATGCACAGCCCTCATACACACACCGGGACAGCGGGGAGCAAATCAAACTGTAGTGTGAAAACTCTAAGTCACAATTACACTACTTTCTCTGTATGTGCGCGGTTATCTTTTAGTTCCACCCCACCGGCTATGCAGTTTTACAATACCGATACTGTTGGACCATTTGGGGTAGAAAATGTGTGTGGTATGTGAAATTTGAAACCAACACGGGCTGTACCAGGCCACCCATTGATACAGGGAATGATGCCTGGATTGGAAATAGCGTGCTGTCCAATTTGGCAGATGTTCTCAGTGGTATATTGGCAGGTACCGAGGGCACTAAACCTGAAAGCAGAACCAACTACCGTACTTTACGTTATACGCCGTACTGGAGTATACGCCATACACAGATTTTTCCTCACAAAATAGTAAACACAGACATCTACCCTGTTCTTAACCCTCGTAGTATAAGACACACACACACACACACACACACACACACACACACACACACACACACACACACACACACACACCGACCGACTCTTTTTGGGTGATTTAGTGGTGTTTAAAGTGCGGCTTACACTCCGGAAAATACGGTAGTAAAGACAGGGCTGTTCTCTCGTTCTGCCTCCCCCATTTATCTCTCTTGCTCTTGCTCTCCCACTCTCTCTTTCTGTTTCCCTCCCTCTCTGTCTCTCTCTCTCTCTCTCTCTCTCTCTCTCTCTCTCTCTCTCTCTCTCTCTCTCTCTCTCTCTCTCTCTCTCTCTCTCTCTCTCTCTCTCTCTCTCTCTCTCTCTCTCTCTCTCTCTCTCTCTCTCTCTCTCTCTCTCTCTCTCTCTCTCTCTCTCTCTGTTGTTTCAATTGTTCTGTGTCCACTCTACTTGACTACACACAGACATGGTCCAGCAGGTCATTCTGGTCGGCGGAAGGCTGGCAGGTGAGTACCGAGGCATGTAGTGTGTACAGTGAGAACTGCACTTCCCTATGATGTGCAGTTGAGACCGCATCAAGACACCACCTGGTCAATACTAGACTCAGTAGATCACGGGGTGTCAACAGCGGCCTTCTCAAAGACTAGGGGTGTGCACGGGTAGTCGGGTACCGGTGCTACCCGTGAGGACCTCGGGTAGACGGGTACAGAATTATTACCCGAAAACCCGAAGTCGCAGATGACATCATGTACAGTGCACGTGTACAAATTCATGTAATACTCCGCATGTCTACCCAGTGTGTAAGGGAAGGGGTGCATTGTGGTGTTACCATGGAAACATTACCCGATAGGGTACCCGTGCTACCCGTGGAAAACTACCCGAACCCGATACCCGGAGAAAATGCTACCCGACTCAGCGCTATCGAAGACCACTGGTCAAGAGAGGGCCGCGAAAATGCACCACACCTGCACTGCTGCTATACTTGCCCCAGCACTCTCATTCAGTGCAGAACAAGAACATGGCGGCACTGAGGGTGTTTTCAGTCCGGAGCTTGAAAGCCGAATGACACCTTAACATACAGTAAAACCTGCACTCACCAGACGCTCTTGGTGCAGCGGAAACTGTCCCGATATGACAGGATTCCACTTAATCCAGGGATGCGCGTTCAATCCGCAGCACTTTGGTGTATGGAAATTTGTCCGGCCAATACAGGATTCCGTTTGGTACAGGATCTGGCAAACCCCGATTCTGCTGTACATGTACCGAATTTGCGGGAGTGTAGTGCGCCCTTTGAAGGCACTACTGCTGGCCCCAAATCGCTGTTGCACACTATGCTCCAAATATGGAAAAAAATAAGATACTGAAAATGTACTTCGAAAAGTAGTGCAATGCATCTAACTGTTACAACGTGTGCCACCTCTGACCCTCCGCAAACCATCTGCATGCACTTTTTTTATGACAATGGTGGCACTATGGTGCTCTCTTTATGATTAATAATGCTCTATAATCTAGGCTGCGCCTTATACTCTGGATATGCCTTGAATTGCTGAAACATTGCTTACAAGTGGGGATGCGCGTTATACTCCGGCAAATACGATATTTCAAATTTCAATATTCTTCTTCTCTGCTTCTGCTGCCATTTCTCTCCCGTTGACAGCAGTTCTCAACTCGTACCGTCATCATCCGCATCATCCACCACTACCATGACTACCGGACCGCCAAAGGTGGACAGCAGCGATTCCACCGTTCGCATGTATCTGCGCGGCCGGCCGCTGGTGTTCCACGCTCCGTCTGACTACCCGCTAGCTGCCATCGAGCATCCGCAGAAAGCGCCGGCGGAGCAGCTGGAACTTGAATGGGTGTATCCTCTCAAACAATGCTTCATTAGTGGCACTGTCCCACACGCGGAGAGGACAAAACCACTCAACATTGGTTGCTAGTCCGAGTTTATACCTAAAAACCACTGAAGATTGGTTGGTACTCCAACCCCCCCCCCCCCCAAACCAATCAAGATTGGTGGCTAGTCCAAGTTGTATGCCTAAACTCACTCAAGATCAGTAGCTTGTAATCATTTCCATCCCAAATAAGAGTAGGGCACAGTGTGGTGTTCTGTGCCATGTGCAGTTGAACATACGACTGCATACAGTACTATCGGTTGCCGAAGCACTGGGGGTTAGCCTCCTAGCAGTATACCGTTCTCATGTTCAAGTATTACAGTCTATGTACACGTGAGTCACCGTGTATACATTAATGTGCTGTGCTTGGTGAAATCCTTGGCTGGTTGTTCTTCGGCGCCCGCGGCAGTACATGTACTGTACTTAGGCCACCCTTTCTTTTTTCGTTGTTTAACGTCCGCGCCCGCGTACCTTTTTGCCTCCGACCGGAAAAAAAAACAAGAAAGTAGTAGTACCAATAATATGCGAAGTTGTAAATACATGATTAGTTTCACAGTGTGCCGATCATGACCTTAAACTTATAATCTTGCCTCCCGGGCATGCCTTTGTAATTGTCTTGTGTTCTTTTTCTTTTTTTGTTGGCTTTTAAATATCGTACGGTGTGTGCCCTAGTAAAAATTCAGATGTAATGAATTCATGACATGCTAACTCCATGCTATGTACCTGTTTTGTTGGATTCATCAGGCATGTGCTCCAATGTACCATCAAAGAGTGGTGTTCTATGCCTGCAAGTGCCGTTAGACCCAGAAATAGTGTATAATATCACATGCTTACTGGTCAAAATGTTTGACTGGGGTTTCCAGTTTTTGGAATGGGCTTTTGTTTTTTTTCCGCCCTCCCGCGTACCTTTTCGCGAAAAAAAGGACGTTAAACAATGAATTAACAAAGGGTGGCCTTATCTTAGGTTCCTTGACTTTAGGACACCAGTTACGGGTACCGAGGTCGAGACTGTCGCAGCAACCTGCACGTGCTCTCTTCCGGCGAGATCCTCTACTTCATGGCAGCCGTCGGTGTGGTGCTGAATCGGCTGACGCGTACACAGCGTCACTATCGACAGCACACCGATGACATTAAAGTGTAAGTGAACACTATCATAGCTCAGGGTTCTAGCCTGGTAAAATAGAAAGGGGAGAGGGGGCAGGGGAAACAATACCCCGTAACCCATTTTCCATTCTCAAGAATTGCCTTGACACCCAAAATGCAGCGTACCCGACTTCACCCCACCCAAGACAAGTGTGCTTTTATCAACCCTCTGGTATTGACTATCGACTGCATTTTCATAAAATGACCTGAAAAGCAGCAAAATCGACAAATGAGTAGGGAGGGGGGTGGGGCGCCATTTTTTTCACACGGGTGCTTAGTCAGAGCTTTTGGGATAGACGAGGTTGGAAATAACAAATTTGTACTTTCACTTTTTTCCTGTTGTGACAGAATGGCGATGCATCCGAACGGCATTATTGTGGCTACTGGCCAGGGCACGACTCATGATCGTGCTCAAGGAAAGGTACAATCTATGGTTCATCTCTGTTTTACTTTCTCTTTTCGTTCACATCCCTCTTGATATTTGTACTTTGTACTGTTCTGGCAACGAAATGAAATAATAAGAACCAAACCAAACCAATGGCTGCACTGCTGTCACATTCGGCCTGCCGTCCTTGCTCAGGTCCGGGTGGCATGCCCTGAACTGGCAACAGGGCATGCTCACGGTGTGAATATGTGCTGTCCACTGCTTTGCTTTCGTTGCTCTGCATGCAGTGTCCTTTTGCTAGTCCTGTGTGAACTGGGCCATGCACTGGAGCAAATTCCTGCCTTGCCTACGTGTATAAGCCTGGATTTCATTTCTCACAATAGCAAACTGCATGTCTGAGATTTTGCTAGAGCTGCTGTAGCAAAATCTCAGACACAAAATAAAGCAGAAGACCTCAACGTGCATGCCTTGTGTGTAGTTGCAAACCAGCGATGCCATTATTATTTCTATGCTTCCTATGGAGTAACAAACGGGTGCTTGTTATCTTACTCCATACAGACAATTTCCAGTGATGATGTGATTGCATGATATGCACAGGTCCTTACTTTTAGACTTGAAATACCATGCTCAGAGGCGATTTTCACAACGGCAATCGATTCGCATGGCAGGATGCACGTACAGTACCTGTAGTACAAAACAGTTCACGGAATGCCACGGCATGCACTTCCACCCCCAGCCCCCTCACGGCACCGGGACCGTACCGGGATAGCTCGCCGGATACATTCGCGCAAACACATGAGTAAATGTTACTGAACCTCCATGGCAGCATCACGCACGGGATGAATCCTGCCGTCGTGTGAATCGCCTCTTAGCACGTATAACTACAGGGTCACAATGGTGGCGATGTGACTTTTTTTTATTTGCTCTTTTCCCTGATGCTGGCAGGCTCACGTTCGAGTCTGGAACTCGGAGACGCTGCAAACGCTGGCCGTGGTCGGTGAAGGCAGCTTTGAGCGTGGACTTTGCTGTATTGGATTCTCACAACGGGTAGGTGTACTCCAAAGTATTTGTAATTAGGCCGTGTGTGTGTGTCTAGACCGTAATACTATGTAACCCAAGAGAAAATAATTCATTCTGCTTGGATTTTCAGATTTATGCTCTTTCAGTGGCTTTCGCTGGCCTGCGTGGGTTTGTGAGATCGTTCATCTCCTGATGAAAAAATGAAACAATTTTGACCGTTGTTTCCCCTATCCATTTAGTCACGACACTCCACTGTTGATTGTGACTAGAAAACATTCTGGGCATGAAACTACTTGGGTTGGAATGTTTCTGATATGAGTGCGCACTTTATCATTGCCATACGACAAATTTGATGTGTGTGTTTTGCAGAAATCCGGCAGCCTGCTATTTGCAGTGGACGAAAGCAACGATCACCTACTCTCGATATGGGATTGGAATCGTGGCAAGAAGCTGACCGAAGCCAGGGTAAGATGGAGTGCTGAGACACATTTCTGACATACACTCATGCTTATGAAGCACACTGAAAGTTCAGTACATTGTACCCTCTTAGCTAAATAAAATAGAAATAAAAGAGAAATAAAATAGAAATCGGTTCTTTTTACTCTCTTTCTCACTCCTATGTGCAGCCACACCATGCCTGCTTACACCCCTAACACACCTCACTCCCCCCCCCCCCCACACACACGCATAGACACGCACGCATATATACGCACGCATACACACACACACACACACACACACACACACACACACACACACACGCATACACACACACACACATACACACACACACACACACACACACAAACACACTACTACTACTACTACTACTACTACTGTAGCTTGGTTGCCACAAGGGCCACACCACTCCGAAAGGAGCCAGAGTCATTGTCAGGAGCAGAAACGAAGATGACAACTCAGGTCACTCTGTCGACGGAACTGACGGTTGCAGCGAGAACAGCGAACACCGTACGACGCTCTATCAGACTTGGTTGCTCGATGGCCACGGTCGCACTTGTGACGTCTGAAACCAGGCACTGACTTGAACTGCCGATTGCATGTCACACACAAGAGAGAAGCTGGGACGTTGAGCGGAATAGGTGATGCCGGCGCGGACGCTTCCGATGGTTCCAGGGGCAAACAATGATGTACACGCAAGCCACCACGAGAGTGAAACCACCTCCTGCATGTACCACACTGCACAGCACCACGCTGTTCCTGGATGGGGAGACTTCGTTCTGCGCTACACTTGTGTCGTGCTTTGTCACCTGGCCGACGAAACGAACGGTGGCAGATAAGACAGTTCACCCGTTGAGATTGGTCATGGGAAGGACCGCCGAGGCTCGGCCCAACGGCAGACACCCGCCAGGCAGATCGATCCTGAGCAATCCCATACCAAGCTAGATGTTCAATGCCGATGGGCCTAAGATCAGCCGAAATCACATCCCTCCAGCGACGACGGGGACCACACGCAGGCCGAGGCGACGGTAGGAAGCCAAGCAACAGCTGCTTGGGCACACGAACATCCGACATGCGGGCCACATGGCCAAGCCATTCAAGCCTCCGCTTCCGAAGCCGGGAGGACAATAGCGATGGATCACCCCACATCTCTCGGAGCTGCTCATTGGTGATGCGTTCCTCCCACTGTTGTGTTCGCGAAACACACAAGATGCTACGGATGCATTGGTGGTGGAAACTATCGAGGCGCCGGAGGTCACCCTGCAAAGGGCACCAGCACTCCGAAGCATACAGTAGCACTGTCATCACACAGGCGTTATACAATCGGCGCTTCACATGGAGTGAAAGATCACGATTAGCAAACACATCCTGGAGCGATCCAAAGGCACGCGAGGCGAGTGACAAACGCCTCGAAACGTCTCCTGCAGAACGCGCATCCGGAGTGATGACAGAACCCAGATAAACGAAGAAGGAAACATTTTCCACCACCTGTCCATGAAGCGGAATGCCAGTAGTGTCAACTGAAGTAACACCAACACCAGCCACCATAAACTTGGTCTTGGGTATACTCACAGTGAGGCCAAATTCAGCAGAAACATCCTGGAACGCCGTCAAGGCCAACACAGCATGCTCCCGCGAACCAACTACAAAGTTTGCATCGTCCGCATACTCAACATCAACAACAGCGGTCTGCTGAAAGGTACGGGTTCGTCGTGCTGGGTTGAATAACTGGCCATCCAAGCGATAGTGAAATTGGATGCCAATGTCTTGGTCACGATCAGCGAGAACAGACCGCCAACGTTCAACCACCAGAGCCAGATAGAGGTTAAAGAGGATTGGGGCCATTACACACCCCTGCCTCAGGCCGTTCTCCACACGAATTTCATCCGTGACACCTCCAGGCACACGCACCTCCGCCACCATGCCATCATGAAATGACTCAATGACCTTGAGGAGAGTCGGAGGAATACCAAGGACAGAAAGAGCACGATACAGTGCAGCCCTAGGCACAGAATCATATGCCTTTCTCAAGTCCACGAAGATACAAACTATTTTTGTATGATGCTCGTATGCCTTTTCCACCAGTTGCCGGACAGTAAACACAGCGTCAGCACAGCCACGGTTGGGTTGAAATCCGCACTGAGACTCCGGGAGGAGATGCTGGGCCCTAGATTGAAGGCGGTTCTGTATCAAGCGACCAGCCATCTTGCCCACCACCTCCAAAAGAGAGATCCCACGCCAATTGTCACAGAGCGATAGATCTCCACGCTTTGGGATTGGCACCAGCTGGGCATTCCGCCACTCCTGAGGAACACCACCTGTGGACCAGACAGTCAAAAGCAAGGCCAGCAAACATTCATGCAGCTCACTGGAGCCATACTTCACAAGTTCGGGCAGGATCCCCGATGCGCCAGCTGCCTTGCCATTAGCCATTGCACGTATAGCTCGACCAACTTCCTCAGGAGATGGAGGGATGGCGAGCTCCTCGTCGATGATACAGTGCATGGCATGGTAGTACTTGATACCAAGTTGTGTGAAACGTGTCTAAGACAGAGTTATGTCGCATGTAAAGGTAGTCATCTTGACCAGGTTCATTTGACTGTAGATAACACTGTAGTGAGTGTAGAGTGTATTTGTATCGTGATCCGTATGTCCTACCATAAGTAGTACTCCTATTGACGTGTGTATATGTAACAGGCGCATGGTGATGCGATCCTGTGCGCGTCCTTTTTCGCCAGCGGACGACCGTTTTGAAGGTCCCATGAGTGGTCGTCTTAGACAGATGTCACTGTAGTGAATGCAGAGTATCTGTGTATCATGATCTGTATGCTGTATGAATGTCCTACCATAACTAGTACTCCTGTTGACGTGTGTGCATGTGCCAGGCGCATGGCGATGCGATCCTGTGCGGATCCTTTTCGCCGGCGGACGACCGTACTATTGTGCTCACCGGCAAACAGCATGTGACGTTTTGGACGCTGGACGGTGGCAAGTTGACAAAGCGATCCGGCTTGTTTGAGGTGAGTGCAACAAGCCTCAATTTTCATCAGCCTGAGGGGGTTGTCTTGTTTTGCCTGGAAATTTTTAACTACAGTAAAATGTGTAACTTAAGACCACCGTGACTAGCGACTAGCCAGGTACTACAGACCACATCGCCATGGACGGACGGTCTCACATTCATTATTATGGTTGTGCGGTGCGAACCTCTAGCTAAGGACCACCCGCCACTAAAGACCGCTTTCTCTGGCCCCAAGGCCAGGGTGGTCGTTAGTCACAGGTTTTACTGTACTTTGCCCGGCTGGACCATGTTGACACAGACACATATGTACAGATGCACAACTGGCCCCTTTCATCTTTCTCGTTTGAAACGCTCTGTACTCTGCGCATCGAGCAGTTTGCCGGCGATTTGCCAAAAATTGCTCCTACAATGCCAGTGTACAAATCCGTTGATCCAGGAGCTGCAGAGAGTGCTTATTGTCATGGACAAAACTTAGAACATAGCAGACTCAGAGGAAAAGACAATTACAGTAAAACCTGTCAAGGCGACCACTGGGATAAGGCGTCCACCTGTCCTAGAAGACCACTGAAACCAGGACCAAGGGATGCTACTTCCAGTCTAATGACCCTGGATACGGAGACCACCTGGTAACAGAGACCACATTTACAAGATCCGTAGAGCGGTCGTCTTAGACAGGTTTCACGGTAGTTGTATTGTCCCTCCAAGTTCCATGCCATAAGGCAATCATCAGACAGTGCCTACTACACGAAATTATTATGGATAACAATGCATCAATTATTTCTTCAGACTTTTCCCGTTTGTGTCTTTCCCTCAAACTAGTGAACACTGCATGTATTTATCATTCAGGAAGGCAATGTGTTGTATCGTCTTCTCTCTCAGCCAGTGCAGATACTGTTTTCTATGTGTGCCTGTGTTGCTCTTGTTGTTCAGTCTTCTTCAAACACTCCATCATACTTTCATTGTTGGCGACTCTTCTTTCTTCACTCCTGCCTCTCTTTCTCCCTGTAATCTGTTATTTCTGCCCTCTGTCTCGTCTGTTTGTCTGCCTGTCTGCCAATGATGTATGCTATGTTTTCTGTGTGCATGTACACACACCACATGCCCCCCCCCACACACATACGTGTTCACACACACACACACACACACACACACACACACACACACACACACACACACACACACGTGTTCACACACACACACACATGCACGTGTTCACACACAGAAACACGCCAAGCCTAGGTTTGTGACCTGTATGACATTCACCAGCAACCATGACTTGGTCACAGGTGACAGCAGTGGATCGATTCTAGTCTGGAGTTCGGGTAAGTACAGTATTGGTACGGCGCATCCTATGCACCAATATACTGTAAGGCATCTTGTTATGAGTACCAAATTTACCGATTATCCTAAATCCAAAGAGTAACGAGAAGATGCGCTAACGATCGTGCGGCCTTCTGGCATATCCACACATAACACATATGAGGGATTGCAGTCTGAACAGAGCTTATTATGATGAAGAAATGCAGCTTGTTAAAACTTTAGATTTACGATCCAAGCTACAGGGCAGTTAGCTTTTTTCGAGCTCCGTAGTTTTTCGCAGGTTTTGTAGGAGCCAGCCGGCAGCAGGCCGGTCTGGAGCAGGGTAGGGACTGGATAGTTTAAAATTAGGTAGTAGATAGTTAGAGCGTTCCAAAATGCCCACATCCGGTGAAAATCGCAGTTGGAATTCGGTCTCTCCGAAAGTTCTAAAGAGGAACACGGGTACTTTCCACGTTCCACTGCACACGAAAACCCTCGAAGTTGCTGAGGCCCTGATTGAACATGGCTACACCGACCTGATATCCGTGCAGCTGACTAGTAACTTGAGCTGCAAGGCCACGTTTCATTCCCGAGACACTCTGACACGACTTTGCCGAAACGGTTTCCATCTCATGTCAGTGGAAGTGCGCGTCACTCAACTGGTGCCTGATTCCGTGGAAATCCAAATCCACGATGTGCCCATCTGGGTCCAAGACGACGTTATTATCGAAAGCCTGGGTGTCTTTGGATCGGCCGTTGGGCCTCTTCGCCATGGATTTGTCAAGACGAAGTCAGGGCTCGCCATTGCCACTGGTGTCCGCTTCGCCACATTCTCTCTTCGCCCCAACATGCAGATTCCGTCGTATGTGAAAACATCTACGAACAACTTGTTTCGTGTACGCTACGAAGGCCAGCCTGCAACCTGTCGTAAATGCTCCCAACCGGGACACATCGCCGCAGATTGCAAACTCGCCACAGGAACGACATACGCGAAGCGAACCGCGCACACCAGAACAAGCGCAACTGCAACTGTCGGAGTGCAACCTGGTGAACTTACCGTACAGACCGGAGTCCAAAACGAGTCGCCAGACTCGGCACGCTCCAGCAGCAGCACTGCCAGCAGGCCCAGCACCAGCCCGAGCACTCTCTCGAGTATTGGATGTAGTACGAGTGCAACTCCTGTGGGGTCAAATGTTGGAGAACCCGCAGTCAGCACTGAAGTGTTCGAAACGGATTTGAATTTGAAAACTACGGAAGTCGATGAGGGGCCTACTGAGGTTACTTCAGCGTTGAAAAACCTGACAGATACTGAGCCAGACATGTCGTCCGCACAGGGATCGCTGTCAAGCATGACAGCACACCCCAGAACTCCCCTCGCGGACGTCGAAGTAGACATTGCAGAGCGAGATCTAGAACGGACAGAGCGACTCCTATCAGAAGTGGCATCAAACATCAACACCGAAGCGATCCACACTTGGTTCACGCCTGAACGTCGAGGCAGGAATGCCAGCACTGAGTCCTCACCAGAGTTGGCAACTGGGGTGAAGAAGAAGGATTCCCGGAAACCAACAAATCTAGCTCCAGGCTCACGATTTAGTCCGCTTGCCAGAGCCTAATCGTGACTTGAAAAAAAAAAAAAAAAAAAAAAAAATGCAGAAAAATGCAGAACTATAACTATAATGTAACACCCACAGCACCACCTACCTCCTCGACCCAGTCACTCAGTGTGGGATTTCTGAATGTGTGTAGTGTTCGGCGGAAGGTAGCAGAAGTTCAAACGTTCATCTCAACACGAGGCATTCACATTCTCGCAATAGCCGAGACATGGTTGACTCCGGATGTGTCCGATCAGGAGTTGTCCATCCCGCACTTCAAGCTATACAGAAGAGACAGACCTGATCAGCGAGGTGGCGGAGTTGCTGTGTACTGTCATGAGTCACTGGCTGTTCGACAACGGGCCGATTTAGAGTGCGAGCTAGAGATGCTGTGGCTGGAGATTCTAGCCCCGGGTCGACATGGAACGCTCCTCGGCTGTTGTTATCGGCCGCCAAATAGTTCTGCTGCCTACTGGACCGCACTGGATCAGAACATTGAGCAAGCTGTTCAGGGATGTCAGCAATCCACTGTGCTACTTGGCGACTTCAATGTTGATTTTAGCAATCCAACTTCTCCATCTGCATCCCCTTTGTACAACATTCTTTCCCACTACAATCTCTGCAATTATGTTACATCTCCAACACGGGTCACGGCAACATCATCCACAATGCTAGATTTGTTCCTTTCAACCTCCCCATTGGATGGTACCTGTGAAGCAATACACTTAGACATAAGTGATCACTTTGCTGTGCTGGCCCGGCTGAACATTCACACACACCAGCACGTGTCATCGTCAGTGAAAACCACCAGACGCCTCCATCGAGTAAACTGGGACAGTTTCAGTATCGACCTCCAGAGGAAACAGCAGCAAGACTTTGATGCCCACAGCAATATCCATGATATGGTTCATTCTTTCACTTCTTCTATCATGTCCACACTAGACCAGTATGCACCATTGGTACCCCAGCGTAAACGCGCACGCCGCCCGTGCCCCTGGCTGACTGATGAGCTTGTGGGTGCAGTTCGTAAACGTAATCATTTACACCGGCTCCTCATGAGAGATCAAGCGAATGTACAATTGCGTGATCAGCATAGAGAAGCTCGGGCCATGGCCCGTCGACTCGACAGGAAGCTGCGCAACCAGTTCTTCACTGAACAATGCCGAACGAGTGACCAGCGAAAACTGTGGAGAGTGTTGAATGTTGTAACTGGTCGTCAAAAGAAAGCCCAGGTCCCACAGGCATCCCTACAGGATCTCAGTGTTACATTTGGTAGTGTCGTACATGACTCAGCGCGTCCCGCCACTCTTCAAGCTCCCTTGGGACCAACCCAACAATGTGGTTTCTCTGCTTTCCAGCCAGTCGCAGTTTCTGCCGTCGAGTCCTGCTTGAGTTCTGTGGACCCAAGTAAGGCGACTGGCAGTGATGGTGTGCCTGGCCTACTTCTACACAAGTTCTCCTCAATATTGGCACCCAATCTCACCAAAATTATCAACTATTCGCTCAGAACAGGCCAACTTCCTTCCACCTTCAAATCCTCACATGTCACCCCTCTGTTTAAGGGTGGCGACCCAACCTCACCTACAAACTACCGCCCAGTTTCCCTGCTACCCATCATCTCCCGTATTCTGGAGGCATTTGTAAAGAAACAGCTCACCACCTATCTCGAATCAGCCCAGCTTCTACCCACCAGCCAATTTGCCTATCGTAAACAACACTCCACAGAGGATGCACTTGCCCTCGCAGTCAACAGATGGTCTCTAGCCAAATCTCGACGAGAGTACACCGGAGTTGTGTTCGTAGATATGTCGAAAGCGTTTGATCGCGTTCAGCACGAGCGTCTTCTGACTGAACTCTTCTCTCTTGGCATATCTGGTACTCCACTCACTTGGTTTGCTGATTACCTCTCAGGCCGCTTCCAGCAGATCAGAGTTCAAGGACATCTCTCTCCTGCCGTTTCTTGTTCTCGTGGTGTCCCACAGGGCAGCGTTCTTGGTCCCCTGCTATTTGTCTTGTACACTAGCACATTGAGCACGATCCTGCCACCGGCGGTAAACCACCAAGAATTTGCGGATGACATTACTCTCGACTGCTCAGACACCGACCCCACTGAAGTATGCGGAACCCTCAGCCACGCAATCACAAGCCTCGCCACGTGGCTAGAAGATATTGGTTTGCTGCTGAATGCAGCAAAAACTCAGCTTCTCTTCATAAAGCCCCGTGGCGCAGATGACACACAGCCTGAGGTGTTCTGCCATGCTGACAAACTTGCTATCACACCTTCGGCTAAGTATCTCGGGGTAATACTCGATGAGGAGCTGTCCTGGAAGCCCCACATTGCACACCTGAGCCGCAAGACTGCTAGGACCATTGGCCAGCTCTGGAGGCATGGCCAAGGACTCAGTTTGCGCGCCAGACGCACTTGGTTCCTCAGCATGGTCCTCTCTCAGCTATGCTATGGTTCGAATAGCTTTGTTCCTGGGCTTTCTGCCCAGTTGCTTGGACGTCTGGAGAAGAGTTTCAAAGCCGGCATTCGTGCAACCTTGCAACAGCGCTTTCTCACCCCCACCGCACCGCTTCTGGCACTTCTTAGTATAGTCAGCCTGGCACACACATACACTCAGAAAGTTCTAATCTTTGTACACCGCTGTATCAATGGATACTGTAGCCCACTCCTACAGCAACTCTTTACAACGACTGCTCCAAACACCGTGCTAAACGATCAGCGCATCACTAGGGGCCAAGTTTCCAACTTGCTCCAAGTGCCTTTCCTTCGCGGGCCTGCTGGTCGCTCGAGTATGATGTTTCGCGGCAGTATTGCATGGAACGCCCTCTCGGCTGATGTAAGATCGATAACTGCTGCCGATCAATTCAAGAGAGCCCTATCTGATATTGACGTACTTAACTTGTAAACTCTATGCCAACAGTCCAACACCCCTCGCCGTACTTCATGTTCCCTGGACTGCTAAAAAGTGTCCCCATCCAACAAAGTCTGCCAATGTTCACACATATATTCTCATGAAACGCTTCCACTACATTTTATTTGTTATCACATTATAAAAAGTTCACACAAATTGAGTTTCAGCATACACACAATGTCATAACAAACATTTCTATAATAATAATCATACCGCTTGCATGTCTTTATCTCTATACATTTCCTCATATAATTTTCTTCATCTTTCTGTGAGAACCGGACCTATAGGCCGGTAAGAAGGCAATCATGCCTGTGCAATTGGTGAAGTAAAATAAAAGTCAACAACAACAACAACATGTCTTACAGGACTGTAGCACAGGGCTGTCGCCTCACCAATAATTACATATTTTTGGTTTTTAAGCAATATTAATTCAATGGTCTATTTGGGCTCTATTCCCCCAAAACATTCTTTGGGGAGGAACCCCGGACCCTCCACTGCACCAATGTCGAACACCTTGCGACACCAGTGTAGCATCATGCTGCTTGCCATAATGACCGGTGAATAGGATAAATATATTCCATAGGTTGGCTCTCCCAGATCGGTCAACAATGCGCTGTAGGAATGCGCGTAACCACCATTGTGGTCTGTAAGCAGTGCAAGCTGGGCACCGTGGGCTAACAAAAGCCACCACGGGTCCTTCCCCATTATAACGCAGGGGCATCAGAAGGTAATTTAGCGTGATATGGTCAACCATCTGCAGTACAATTTACTCGTGGGGAGAGGGGTGGCTGAGCCGAAAATTTTGGAAATTTAGAGCTCAGATCAGTGCATTTTATTGATTCACGGGGTACTTGGGGCAAATAGTGGTGCGGTCAATACTGTAGTGACTGCACCGTGTGCGACGCCCCTGTAACGAGTCCGGTGTAATATTTTGTATGTGTTGCCAGTGGTGCTAACACTTTCTGAAGGTATGCTCAGCTGAAACGTGTCCTGATCGATGCCCATGCTCAATAGAGGTTTAGCAATAACATCATCTCCAGAGATGCTTTGGCGAAGTCGCGGACTCGTGGCATAGCGCTGCATTTGCACACACTGCATAATTAGGGTTGGTGGGTTGGATTTATTTAAAGTCGTACAACAAACAGGCATATCTGCCTCCTTATATGAAGACGACTTCTGGCAGTAAAACATTTTAAAAAGAAAAAAAGAGAGAAAAGAAAAAAAAGAGAAAAAAAAGAAAAAGCACGTCGGAAAATCTGCTAACTCACCCCATGAAAGCATTCGAATAAACTACAGAAAGCGGTGCATTACTCAATCTGTGGACAGAACTATTTCGTCCTTTGTGGACTCGTCAGAGCAGCATAGAAAAAAACTAGGCCGAACCTGATTGCAATGAAGAATAAAATGTCCAAAGCGGTGCATAATGTATTTGTTTCTCTGTGTTTCTCATCGTCATCACCGGCATCTCAGGGAGTATGAAGATCAGCCAGGTGGTCAAGAATGCCCATGAGGTGAGTGGTATGCTGGCTGCAAATAGGTAGGTATGGCAACCAAACTCTGGATGTGTACCCATAGAACGTTGCAGCCTATAGCTGAAGCAGCTCCAGTGAATGCTTGCTGTAATCCCACGCAGCACGCCCGGGCACTAGAAAATGACCGTGTCAGATTCATTGCCAAATGTGTTTCTGTTCAGCTATGTACAGTTGTGGCCGGGAAATCAAACCCCTGAGCCGATTGCAGCACCAAACTCATCTCATACGCTCCATGCGGCCCTCGGATAGGTTTTTGGACCATGGGAAAAAACCGTGACTCAAAATGTCCGTGATTGACACAGCATACATGTACAAGTGTGCTTGCATAATCATGATGTGTGACCATGAACTGAGTTCCCGTGATCCCTTGTTCTCGTGTTGTACCATAATCCCAGGGCAGTATCCTCAGCCTGCTGATACTGGAAGACGGCACATTGCTCTCCGGCGGTGGTAAGGATCGGCGTATCGTTGCCTGGGATACCGCTTACAGGCCCACCGGCGATGAGTATGAGGTGAGATTGAGCGGACCGTGTTTTTCCTTACGGAATCTGTTTATTTGGTCATGCATCTCCACAACACTCCAAACGGTCTCAGGACTGCACCAATCACTGAAAGAAAAAGATACAGTCAGACCTCACTTAACCGCACACATCCGTTTTCCACAAAACTATCCGGATAGGCGAGGGAACCGGATAATCGAACACACATACGGTATGTATCCATGACGTATGCTGTAAATCGGTAACCAACAATTTTCTTCCGGATGGCGTGGGATCCGGACATAAGGACAAGGGGACCGGATAAGCGAGGTCTGACTGTATAAACATCTAGATTTGGGGGCAAGGCTCATCTTCCGGAATGCGTGTTGTGAATATGAATGGATATAGTGGATGGCTACAGTGGAGTCTTCACACATTGAGAAAATGTTTGTTTGGTTTAACCTTGTAATTTCCAATATACTAGCAGGGAGTCTGGGATGGTACCTTCTATAATTCGTTTGTGGGTGGGTCGAGGAGAGCTTCTTTTTGTGAAAATATTGATAGCTGAAACGTCTAGCTGAAACATCAATCCATTCTAGTTGTCAAGTCGATATATTTTTCGTTCAGGGGGCGTGGAGAGGGGGGGGGGGGGGGGGGGAGAGGGAGTCACAACTAAACCTTTCCGCTCTGTGGAAAATATTGACCATGCCAGTTGGCCGCTAAGTGCTAGTTGGTTAATCCTAAGTTAGTAATATTCATTGTGCCTACACACCCATTGTTGTCCTTTTGTCTTGTCTTCGTTTTGTTTCACTGTGTAGTTGTCGCCACTAGCGCTACCTTTCAAAGTGCTATTTGCTCAATGCTCTGACCGCCAATATGCAGTTGGCACAACTAGTGCTATCTTTTAAAGTGCTATTTTGTCAATGCTCCGACCGCCAAAGTGCCGGTTATAAGGACTTGCTTGCTGCCTTGCTAATCCTATTTCAGGGCACATGGTATACTGGATACCTTTCATCGTCCTTTAAGTGCTTGTTTGCTAATCCTGTGTTGGGTGTGCTGATCAGCTACCGGAGACGTCCGGTGCCATCCGCACCCTGGCAGAGGTCACCGGCAACGAGGAAGACGGCACTCTGGGCGGAGAGGATGGGTCTGTGATCATGGCCGGTACCACACACAACTCCATCATGGAGGGTGCCTTGGCCACGGGATTCAAGGAGCTAATAAAGGTACGACGGGATATCTGCTGCTGGCGGGAATAGCAAATAGGATTGTACTTATAGAAAAGAAAAAGGACGAAGGAACTACAAGTTACGCTATACTGGCCACTAACACCACCAGGTACTAAACAATCAGCTCATGCGACAACATTGCACGACACTGACCGACGGTACTGACGTTCTACAACTAACTGGCTAACAGCTCTAGTGGACATTATCGCGTAACTTGTAGTTCCTGGGTCCCTTTTCTTTTCTATACATCTATCCTTGGCCCTCCATCCAAGTCCATTATTGTACTTCAAAGTACATGTAGTTTGAAGTAGTGGTTGCGACTTCGGCGATGATTTGTAAGAAAGGGTTTGCTCCCCACACCGGAGCTCGCGCTATTCCGCCGACTTTCCGCTTTCCGCTATTCCGCCGACTTTTCAAGTGTCAAGTAAAGTCGGCGGAATAGCGCGAGCTCCGGTGTGGGGAGCAAACCTTTTCTTACAAAGTAGTTTTTTCGTGTTTTATGTTAACTCTTCTTTGCCATGGCTGGTTGACACCGCCTCCAGCCATACTAGTTGTTTTGCCTTTGGATGGTGAAAATAACAAATAAAAATGTCTGAATGACCCTTCACTTTATCAAAATCTATAGCTCAGTAATGAGTCCTAGGGCTGAAACGATCGTGGATTTTCACGTATCGATTACTCTTTAGCTTAACGATCGAGTAATCGATTATAATCGTTAGCAAATAGAGTCATAATTCTGTGCAAACATTACTCTGTTTCCACAAACTATGCCTTCATAATACCAACAAATCTGCATTAGTGAAAGGGTAGCTCCGAAACATGGCAGTTTTGAAGTCAATTTAACCTCAGAACATGAACCATACCCCTGGCAACTGCATACTGCAGCGGAAACTGGTTCAAACTTCACAAAACGAGGGTTTACAGTACTTTCTGGACACAAATTTAAAAACGCAAAATAATCGTAATCGGTAATCTAAACGATTGCTCGATCGTTAGAGTTATCAAACGAGTACTCGATTATTCGGTATAATCGTTTCAGCCCTAGTAATGACTGCATGTCCATAGCAAAAGTACAGTGGTGCTCAATGAAATCCGGTCACGTCAATCAAGTTTTCGCCTTGCACAAATTCGCAGCCCAGAGTTCTCAGGTCTAGGGCTGCGCAACGCCCGGCGTGTACTTGAGCATTGATCAGTAGTGTAGGGTATGGCTGCAGTGGCTGACTCTGCATACCCGGAACAATGCTGATTGTCTTGTCATAACTACAACGCTGGCCAAAGAAATCCAACTCTGTGCACTCGAACGCAGCGCTACCGCATTCATGAGGTTGGATTTTGTTGGCCAGCACTGTCTGTAGTACAGCACTGTCTGTAGTACGGTACTGGACAAAGAAACCCAACCTCATGAATAAAATAGTGTTGCCGGGCGCTACGCAGCCCTAGCACTCAACACATACTGGTCTGTGCACTACACATACTGGTCTGTGCACTACACATACTGGTCTGTGCACTACACATACTGGTCTGTGCACTACACATACTGGTCTGTGCACTACACATACTGGTCTGTGGACTTGAACCCGGCACTACTTTATTCATGAGGTTAAATTTCTTTGGCCAGCACTGTGCATGTAGTGTGGTGGACATGGAAATCCGGTCACAAGTCTAGCTACCCCAGGGCGCGGGTCATGCAGCCGTGGATGAGCGGTACACACATGCATTTATGCGCTGCGGCGCGCTGGTTGCATCGGATCTCAACATGATTGTGCACTGCACGCAGCGTTCTGTACGCGCTGAGGGCGCCGGCCCCGGTCAATCGACTGGATTTCCATGTCCGCTACAGTACATGTACGTCTGCACTGTCTTTCAGGGTCACAGCGACGAGCTATGGGGACTGGTCGTTCACCCGATGCAGGACCGGTTTGTCACGGCCGGTTCCGACAAGATGGTCTGCTGCTGGGACGCCACCAACCACGACGTCGTGTGGTCGGCACCTGTGGCTGTGAGTAGTAAATTTATGACTTGCACACGAGTAGCATCTTGTGCTGTATACAGTGACACATCTCTACTCTGAGTTTCAATGGACAAACGCCTCTTTTTGGGTCTGGAGGCTCCCTTGTAAATTTCAGTGTCGTACATGGCCAAAAACGACATGAATGGAACTTTTTCACTCACAGATGCGTAGCACTGAATTCTGAGTAATATGCGAGCTGTTCTTTTTATTCTATGGACAACACTGACTGAAGACGAGGTCACTTTTGTCGTGCTCTTGCTGCTTCAGGAGCTGCATGTCCTGTGCATAGATCCTGGAGGAGTGTGGTGACGACACATTCTGTCTTAGTCTCGAGTGAAATGTACAATTTTGTCTACGGGTATTACCCTAGTGCAACAATGTGTTCTTTCTTTTTGCACAAATCAGATTAAATCAGATTTATTCGTATTCATAAATTGTATGCATATGAATATAAAGCAAATCAGGCGTATCAGTCGGTAGAGCATGAGACTCTTAATCTCAGGGTCGTGGGTTCGAGCCCCACGTTGGGCGCCAAATGTTGTACAGTCAAATCTGTCGTAAGCGACCGCCCCTTGGTGCAAGAAAAAGCGGTCTCTTACGGCAGATGGTCTCTTACGGCAGATGTATGGTAAATCCGGCATACCGGGCATGCATATATGCTTCCATGTACTCAAATCGACGAGAATAATGTGATTTTTAATATCATTTTATTGGATATTCCATAGAATATAGGGGTGCACAAATTTTACATGTTCAGCCAGCTGTCAAGGCTTCCCTGTTCAAGTACGGACTTGCGACGCATCTCCTCCTTGTGAATAATATCAGTCGCCTCTGTGACCATATCCAGTATGCTGCCAAGGCCTCTCTGCAAGGCATACTTCTTGAGTCCATCAATGTGATGAACTACCTGCTTACCAGAGATGGCGTTAGCGACCACTCCATCCTCTGTGTCGCTTTCGTCATCAACATCATCGTCATCATCTTGCTGCGCTTCACCTCTTGCAGCAGCCAATATCTCTTCCTCCCAATTGGGACTGAGGGTCTCTCCTGTACTGACGTCATCATCAAATGCCACAAATTCTTCAAATGACATGTTGCTTAGAACTGTGTCAGCACCAGGACAATCGGAATCTTCAACTTCACACACCTCATTGGGAGCAATATCCTTGAACCCACAACTTGCAAAACACTTGCTGATTGTTGTTTGCGCTACATCCTTCCATGCTGAAACAGTCCACAGTATGGCGTCTAACACTGTCAGTTTCTTTGCCACTTCTGACGCAGATTCTGTTCCCTCCATGTGACCAAGGAGGTGCTGTAACATCTTCTTCCTGTACTTGAGCTTCAATGCTTGAATTATTCCTGCATCCATGGGCTGCAAGCGAGAGGTGGTATTGGGAGGGAGGAATTCCACTCTGACATGTTCATAGTGGACATCAGGATGAGCTGTGCAGTTGTCAACGAACAATAGGACTTTTCGTCCCTGCGCACCAAACTTTTGATCTAAATCGCCTATCCAGTTCGTGAAGATCTCGGAGGTCATCCAGGCCTTTTTGTTGTGACGATAATCGATACCTAAGGCTCCTTTGTTCACTCCGCGGAAACACCTAGGATTGGCTGCTTTGCCGATAATCATTGGACGGATCTTTTCTCCAGTGGCACTCGCGCACAGTAGGACAGTTACCCGTTCCTTCGCATTTTTGCCGCCACTACATTTCTCCTGCGGGCCGACAAGACTGCGGTTCGGTAAAGTGCGGAAGAATAATCCTGTTTCGTCTGCGTTGAATATGTCGTTGTTGGAGAATCCCTCGCAGATTGACGGTAGGCGCTCAGACCACGCTTGGATGTCCTGCGGGTTCACATCCGCAGCTTCCCCACTGAGCACGGCTGTCTTCACGCCATGTTTTTTCTTCCACGCGACGAGCCAACCGTTCGACGCAGCAAAATCGTTGTGGCCCATCACCTTTGCCAGTTGCAGGGCTTTCTCTTGAAGGAGAGGACCAGTCAGTGGCAAACGACGCGCCCGGGCTTTGGTAAACCAATCCCACATTGCAGAGTTAACATCGCCGTACTTCGCCTTTCCTGACAGTCGACGAAGTTGGCTGGATGTCCCTGCCTTGAACACGTCCATGATCTTCTCCTTGTCCTTGATGATTGACTGGATCTGAGTTTTCCCGACACCCATGCGGTCCGCGATTGACCGCGCAGATTCACCTTTCTCGGATTTCCGAATCACATCCACTCTCTCGCTGAGGGAGAGGCAGCGACGCTTCTTGCTGGAGGATGTAGCCATGTCCCATCTCATGCGAAAGCCGACTACACTCCAACGAGGCTGCCGTGAACGTCGCTCTTCTGTTTTGTAGCCTACAGCCTACAGGAAGGTTGTTTCACTACAGCTGCGTGCGTACAAGTACATGTACATGTGTACGAAGTCTACGGTAAGTGTGGCGTGCATACCTACGACGACCATGCCCGTATACATGTACGCGTACGCGACACGGCAGTAGATCGACACTGCCTGGATTTGAGAGCTACACTACAGCGCAGCTTCAGTACAGGCCAGGGCCAGTCGATCGCACTTGCAAGACAGCGCATTTTCACACCTTGCAGTTGACAGCGCACTGGCAAGTACAGTTTCGCACCTGACTGAACCTGGGTCGCGGTCGCTTACAGCAGATTTGAATGCAGCCACCGTGCATGAAATCGCGGTCGCTGGTCGCGCACAGCAGATGGTCGCTCTGGACAGATCAGTTTGTATGTGAAACCGTCGGTGCACGAAAAATCGGTCGCTAACGGTAGATGGTCGCCTACAGCAGAGGTCGCTAACGGCAGATTTGACTGTAGTTGTAAGTCTAACATTACTTCTCCATCACTGCATCAGCTCAACCGCCACCACTGGACTGCCTTTTCACACTCTTTTTATTGATGAATAAACAAGAACACGGAAAACGACTACATCTTGACAAGACGACAGACCAAAGACTAGCTCACACAGTTTCGCGCATGCGCACAACACCACCAACCAATGACGCGTGTCCACAGCGACCAAGACGAAACAAAAACGTGACACCAAATCTACCACACATGCAAATACAAACAGCTTCAAGGACTTTCAACTGGTGTTTTTCCTGTTTTTGTTATCTTTTTTCAGGATGAAGCCATGTCAGTTGCCATACATCCAACTGGGGATATTGTTGTGGTGGGACTGAAGACTGGAAGGTGAGATTTGGGGGGGGGGGGGGGTGAGTCGATCAGGTCAGGGCTGCTTGCCTCGGCATTCTGTCTGTACAGCGGAGTATCTCATTGACGCATGTCTAAGGCGACCGATCACTCCAGGAACCTTCCGGATGCCGTCCCGTAAGCTGGTGGTCTCCTTGTCGGGAGTCAATCTACTGGAAATAACACCCTTTGGGTCCTGGTTGTAGTGATTCTCTGGGACAGGTGGTTCTCAAAGTGGTGGCCTTGATAGGTTTAACAGTACTCGCAAGCCGTACAAGTTTAATAGTGTTTTTCCGCGCCTATCTACCATGCTTGGGACGGATTTCCTGGTCAGTGTCTCCGGAGAATCAATTCTGGAATTTTACATTCATCAAATCATACTAGTGCAGAGCTCCCCTTGTCCAGGCAGTTTGGGACCGGGCACTGCCCGCAGCTGGAAAAATGCCTGTAACTCAGAGCATACATACTATTTGCAAATTGCAAGTTGACGCATTTCAGGACAGCAAATTGTTTTTGGGGCTGCCTTTTTTTGTTGAGAAACCGAAATTTGTGTTGCTTGATGTTGTTTCACTAGTGTTAATCATCCGTCTGAATACTTATTGTCTCCACATTGTGTATTCGTTGAACTGTGCTATTTCCTCTGTGTGACCGATCTCAGGTGGATAGTGTTTGATGCATCCAGCGGTACCTACGTAGTCAGCTGCACGGATAGCACGGAGCCAGTCCTGTGTACACGCTTTTCACCGGGTAAGGAACACTCCGCTCCCAATCACACACGTACACTGGGACGCACTCGCACTCACACACACACACACACACACACACACACACACACACACACACACACACACACACACACACACACACACACACACACACTTGTACTTGCTCACTGCCAAAACTGGTCACGTGGGTCTCCCCGTGACACACACACACACACACACACACACACACACACACACGTGCACTGGGCAATGACAGGCGCTAGCACTCGCCGCATCATTCCCTCCATTCGGTTGCGCGTAGCAACTCTGCTTAAACCATACATACTGTGGTAACAGCTGGGTGTACAAAACCATGTTCAGTCTACAGCGGCGGATCCAGTATAGTCAAAACTGAATAGCTGATACATGTACATGGACGCACATATGGTTGCCAGTAGTACATTTACGAAATGTAGGGAGTTCCCCTGAATCCCTGGAACCCCTCCTGGATCCGTCCCTGGTCTACAGTGGTACTAGAGCTGGATCGTACCTGCCAAATCTTGGACAACTTGGACACCTATACTTGGACAACTTGCCCTGCAAAACAAAAGTAGGCAGCCATGTTTCATGCACACCTACCATTCTGCTTGGTGATGTTTGCGCTCAGCAGGCAGGCTAGCTCTTCAGGAAGGCGCTCGGGGAACGCGCCTATCGGGCACTAAACTCTTCCCCCGCTGCACCATAGATAGTGGTGTAGTGTGTCTGCGCTATTCACCCAGTGAGTGGTCTTGTCAATGCACTCTGCTTGTTCAACTCAGAGAAGGACGGGGAATGTCATGATTGATGACTGGCATTTCTTGAAATGCTGCTTGGGGCAAGATGCACCGGGACATGCTATTGACAACATTCAAATTGAAGCGTCATACGAGTGTAGGTCCGATACAACGCACAACTGCTTCATGAAGAGAGAGAGAGAGATCTCATTTCAAAACTTCTTTTCTATTCGGCGGTTACATGTGCCGTCTCTGCTCCTTTTTTTTTTGTTATTCTTGTTACTTATCCGCCTATGCTCTGCCCCTGTCAATTGCAGATGGCCGTATGCTGGCTGCCGGTTGTCATGACTCCCATATCTACGTGTACACTATTGCCGATGACATGAAGACGATTGGACGGGTCGGGAAATGTGCGGTGAGAACACGTGGCGTGGTTTTCAGAGTGTTCTCGTTGCTAGGCTACCAGTTGCTAAGTAGCTTCTCCTAAAATGTCACGTTCAAGTCCTGCACTTTGCTTTCGTAATCCTTGGGTGATGCACCAAGGTGATTGCATCACACTGTCTTGTCGAAATGAACATGCTGCTGAGTGCTCTTCTAATATGGTCCATGTTTGCGTTCTTAGAAACGTCAATGGATATCTGTGAATTGGTGCTTGTGTGTGCGTGTGCGTACATGCATGCGTGATCGTTGCTGATTGCGCGCCGGCATGTGTGTGTGTGTGTGTGTGTCTGTGTGTGTGTGTGTGTGTCTGTGTGTGTCTGTGTCTGTGTGTGTGTGTGTGTGGGATTCACTGGCCAGAAAAAGCCACTTCATAGCTGTGTGGTGTAGACCAGGCTGAATAGTGGCGGTCAATTCTTCACCCTTGCAAGCTGTTGAATGGTGCAATCCCAGCACAAGCTGCTATGGCTTCTGCTGTAGCATCGCTATCATCGCCTCCGGCGATGGGCGTTCAATGGTTCAATGGTGTGTGTGTGTCTATGTGTGTTGTGTGTGTGTGTGTGTGTGTGTGTGTGTGTGTGTGTGTGTGTGTGTGTGTGTGTGTGTGTGTACATGTGTGCGTGTGTGTGCGTGTGCCTTCTTGCATGCACGCATGTGTGTATATGTGCCTCTGTGACTCTGTACAGGGTCACAGCTCGTCAGTTAAGCATCTAGACTGGTCAACTGACAGCCAATACTTGCAGACAACATCCGCTGATTATGAACTGTTGTTCTGTGAGTGAAAGCGTGGAAAGTTCTGCTTTTGTCTTTGTGTCAATCTTCCTCACTTTAGAAGACATGCGCGTGGTAAGACTTCTGCCTCTTCTACACCTGTCCCTCTCTCTCTGCTGTCTGTCTGTCTGTCTGTCTGTCTGTCTGTCTGTCTGTCTGTCTGTCTGTCTGTCTGTCTGTCTTTCTGTCTATCTGTCTCTCTCTCTCTCTCTGTCTCTCTCTCTGTCTCTGTGTCCCTCTCTCCGCCTCCTGTAGGGAAAGCAGTGACATGCAAGCAGGTGACATCACCGGCAGCAATGCGTGATGTCATATGGGCCACGGTTACCTGTCCTATCGGCTTCCCTGTTATCGGTGAGGAATATGTTGACATTAACACGATCAGGTGGAGCGTGCACCCACCATAAGCAATAACTGCAGTGCTGTGCTATGAACTCTGGTTACGTGAGTCAAATTAGGGTCCTGCACAATTTCGCAGCCCGTGTTCGCAGGTCTAGGGCTGCGCAATGCCCAGCGTGTACCTGAGTAACACGATTGGACTTCATTTAGCAGTTCTGTACATGTATTGCGCATGGTGGATGTACTGAGAGTGCAACTCGCTGTATTTATTGTGTTACTGTCTTTCTCATCTCCATGGAAAGTTTTCATAATGTCGATGTGATTAGTTTTGAATTTAGCAGTTGCTGGTAGACCATGCTAGAGGGCAGAAAAAGCATCAAAGTTCAACAAACACTGACTGCAGAGAATACGGGTGTGAACATTACCAAATGCGCACTCATTAGGTTATTCCACGCGCATGTTAGCGAGGTCAGTTTAGTCTTTCCAACAACGTTTCATTGTGTCCACGCCGATTATTTGTTAATTCCTAAGACATGGCGTTTGGTCTGGTGTATTGCAACAACTCGCTCACTTCTTCTACAACCAACACGACAAATATGCCGCTAAGGCCTCGAGTCCTATTTGTCAAGAACAATTACTTGAAGTCATATTGCTGGTGAATGAGGGCGAGCCAGAGCGCGTGTGTCGTGGAGGTGGAACCAGTTCATTAACACCTCAAAAGTTCTGGCTAGAGGTGAACTTATACCCCGTAAAATACCATCCAGTCCGACCTCGCTTATCCGGTCCTCTTTTATCCGCATTCCTCACCATCCGGAAGAAAATCGTTGGCTACCAATTTACAGCGTATATCATACATACCGTAAAGTCTTGTATAAAAGCCGCACTCGAACAGAAGCCGCCCTCGAATAGAAGCCGCAATTTTGGGCCCATCAAATCACACATAAGCCTGGTTTTATTGTTGACATACATAGAAATACCTGTCTTGTATAGAAGCCTGTCTCATATAGAAGCCGGCAAAATTTCACCAAGAAAGTCATAGAAGCCGTAAAGGCTTTTATACAAGACTTTACGGTACATGCATACAGTATGTGCGTTCGATTATCCGGTTCCCTCGCCTATCCCGGATATATTTTATGGAAAATGGATGTGTGTGGATAAGCGAAGTCTAACTATACCATACACTATCTACTGTGTGTATCCTTTCCAGGTATTTGGCCGGAGGGAGCGGACGGAACTGATATCAACACCGTCCATCGCAACTCCACGTCGTCAATGCTGGCCACCGGCGACGACTATCGGAAAGTGAAGATTTTCAAATATCCTCTGCCACAGGCCAGGGTAGGTGAAGTATGTCGAAGTTATTTGAATATCCTCTTCCACAGTCCAGGGTAGGTATCTGTATTTTGTATTTTATTTATGGATTCTCAACAGGCCTTAGCCTAAATCGAGCCTAAGCGTTGGTGTATATCTATCTGTCTGTGTCTGTCCGTATCTGTCGGTGTAAGTACATATATGTTCGTGCCAACCGTGGGTTTGTGTGCACGAGTGGATATCTCAACCGTACCGGCCCTGAACTGCAATGCAGTGTCTGTGGCCGGCAGGGACGTTTCTAATTGCTCTTCTCTGTCCACTTTCTATTTGCCCCACGTTGACAGTCTCAATGTCGTGAAGCAGTGGGACACGGATCTCACGTGACGTCCGTATCATTCACACACGACGACACTCTGCTGATCAGCGTGGGAGGTAAAGATGCCACGGTGCTGCAATGGCAGGTACTGCAGCCAGACACTGTCATATGAATAGCAGGCCGTGCGTATACTGCAGCCGAACACTGTGATATGAACAGCAGGCTGTGTGTGTACTGCAGAGCAATGGATACCCAGTGAGTACTGTACCGTGTTTGGTCAATGACACTACGGACATACAAGGCGCAACGTATCACAACGTGTACATACACACATTGAATCAATGTAGACACAATGTGTACCGTGATTGTTCCATTACGGTACGCACACACACACACACACACACACACACACACACACACACGCGCGCGCGCGCATATGTACAGTATGCACTCAGCCAAGTTGCAGGATACACTTGAACGTGTCACCTTGAAATGGACTCATCTGTTCTTGAACTCGACTTTTCCTCCCCCGCCACCCTCGCCCCATGCCTTTCAAGACTTCAAGGAGTGGAGGTCTTTCATAGTTTTCAATTTTATTATATTTGACTATGTATATATATTAACATGGAAGAAATCAATCTAAGAACGACTTCCACGTGGAAACACTCCAGGTCATCATGCATTCTAGATTTCAGCTGTGTGTACATAGTATACTTCCCTTGAAACTAGGTACAATGTAATACTCATCATTTTCTACTCTGTGATTCTATTATCTAGGGCTTCTATAGTATTATAATTCTCTACCCCCCCCCCCCTCATTCTGTCGGATAAGATATATAATATAATTATATTTCTGTCTACCATCCAACCCCCAACCCCAACCCCACCATCAAGAAAAAAACCAGCCCCTCCCAGGTCGCCATGTGTGCTTGTTGCAGACAATTCTCTACTTATAGGGTCCAGTGGAGAAGTGAGTCTGTCTGTCTTCTCTTACTACAGTACACACTCAGACAGACTACGGTAAAACCGGGTGGAAGCGACCTCTGGGTTTAGCGGCCACCTGCTCTTAACCACCGTTTTTTACTGTAATGTCTCCACTGGAACACATGTAAGTGGAGTCATGTGTTCGGGCCATTGCCGGGCGCCAATGGTGCGAAAGAAGGATCCGTGGACGGGATTGAAGCCCAGCAGCACCTCTATTTCTTTCCTGGACATTGTCCTGCCTGGTTGTGGGCTACCGGGGATCATACACACACACATTGTGTTTACACCAGGGAGTAGGAAAATTTGTCCTTGGTTTACACAGACAGAAAAACGAGCAGTTGTTTTTCGTAACTCTTGAGTTTCACGACCTGGAAAACACCTGCTCGTTCTTCTGTCTGTGCATTCCGCTCTTTGCTTTCTGCAAATTGAGCCCTCTACGGACGGTGGATGAACTTCATATGGTGGTACACCCTGGTTTTTACACGTTTTGATCACTTTTCAAGTTTAACACCCTGCGAACGATATTCCAGGGTGTGCCCAGTACTCGAGATTTGTTATTCGCGAGCGGACTGGGAAGCACAATAACGCACAATCAGAGAGGTCACGGAGCATAATCACAATCGGGAAGTGTATTCACACTATAAAATATACCATCGAGAATTCACCCAGTCAATTCAGCCTAGAGGAGAGACTGACACACTTTAGGACTTGAAGAGAGATAAGGTGAGAAAAATAGCCAACCTAGGGTGTGTGGTATGACAGAAAATATGATCAGGAAAAGGCAGGTAAAACGGGAAAACAGGTTGGGGAAGGAGTTTGGCTTGCCCAAAGAAAAGAAGTGGAGGTGTGTGTGTCATGAATGAGCGTACAGCGATCGCATGAAGTCCGTTATGTGACACGGGATTACTTCGTGTGACATAACATCATGTCATGTGGATTATGTCTCTAGCGGAGAGGTAGTGATCACTTGACAGAGTGCAATGATTCCAGCACACGTCACATGATAAGTGTGATCTTATTATGAAATGGGTGTGTTGGGGGCCAGGGCAGGGGGAGGGGGGGGGAAGGTGCTATCGGGTGTGCCGGATGTCCTTATATAAAACACATAGTTATTATTTTGAAAGTTGATTTCATGGGGGCGGTGGGGGGAATTCATTATCTTCTACTATACTCTTACTTGGCATGTCATCCGCGCCAATTGGTGCTGGAGGACGTTCGTCCAATACTTCATCTATACTCTTCGCCTCCGTGGACATCATACTCTTGACCCGAGTGTTTCGCTTGATGACAGACTTCTTGTGTCTCGGTGCCGACATAACCTGGTTGAACACGACCATGGAGTAGCCAGTTTCATCGCCATTGTTATCAGTTTTGTCGTCGTCGCCTTGCGCAGTGCCACACGCTGAAGCTGTGGTGTCTGCTGGATGGTCGGTGTTGTCAGCAGCTGCATCCGCACCATCACCAAACTCTATTTCAACTGTGGGCATGGGCATCTGCGCCTGAACGTCAGAACCTGTTGCATGATCACCGGCGGTACTTGTTGTCGTGGCAAAGGATGGCGGCTCGCCTTGCTCTTCTTCAGCTTTGCTCGGATCGGACACGGACTTGGCTGGCGTGCGAGCATTACGCTTTTTCACCGGTTTCCTATGTTTGAGGCCGGATGATGGTGGCAGGACTGTGTTTACCACGACCCTGCTATAGCCAACCTCTTCATTGTCTCCTCCCTCAGTATTTCCTCCTCCCTCGGTATTGCCTGCATCATCAGCATCACTAGCAGATACCTGCACCGAGACGTCACTGGTGATCAATGCTGTCGCTGGCGATGATTGTGTATCGTTGCTTTCCTTCCCCTGGTCACTTCGGAGAGCTACACCGCTGTCCGCAGAAGATGATGATGATGTTTGCTGTCCAGCCTCACTGCCTCCCGCAGTGGACGATGCCTCATGGTCATCTTCTACCAAATTTATGCTGCTTGCACGCGAAGCTTTGGTGCGCGTGTTCCGCTTGATGACGGATTTCTTGTGTTTTGGTTTCGCCAAAGCCTGGTTGAACACGACCATTGAGTAGCCTACTTCATCTCCATCGTTGTCGGTCTTGTCGCCGTCACCTTCCGCAGTGCCAAGTGTTGGAGCTGCAGTGTCGGCAATTGTGTCCTCACCGTCACCAAACTTGATTTCAACAGTTGGCATGGGCATCTGTGGTTGAACGTCCTGGGGTCCACTGCCGTCCGCAGTGGACGCCGCCACTTGCCCATCATCTTTGAAACTAGAGCTGGTGGCACGCGCCGCTTTGACGCGCGTGTTGCGTTTGATGACGGACTTCTTGTGCCTGGGCGTGGACGACAAAGGCAGTACATTGCTAAACTTCACCAGTCTGTACCCGTCATCTTCATCTTCTTGACCTGTTTCGTCACCTTGGCTACCCGTAAGCGGTTGCTTCGACTCGTTCTCTCCGTCCAGGACATCATCATGGACAACTATTTCCGTCGGTGTGAATGCACCAGGGATATTTTCTACCTGGTCAGTTCCGCCGTCTTGACGTTGCGCCCCTATATCTGTTCGATGGGTCGTTTCTCCCGGGGCGTGCCCATCTGGGGCATCATCTCCCGGGGCAGTTACACCATCTGGGTCAAAACGAGGTTGATAACCATAGTTTGAGTCGTACGTGTCGTCCACCATCGGTGGAGGCATACCGGACAAATCCTGTTGGTCGAAGGGCGCAAGGCCAGTCACAGCCAAGTTCGTGTTGGATGCCCTGCCATACAGATCATCATAGTGCTCCTCCGTTTCACCAGTATCGTGGTGCGGTGTTCCCGGCACGCCTGGCTCACGTCCATCCGCAGTGCAAAGACCGTACGCAGTGTTGTAAGTGTCCTGCTCGCACACGGTATCAAGGCCATCGAAACACGGCGGCGGCGGCAGGCCCTCCAGGTTCTGCAGCTGCGACGACCACGACGCTATGCTCTGATTGGACGGCTTGACGGAAACCGAGACCGTCGAGCCGTCGGCTAACCCTCCACTGTCTTGCCTCAAATTGTGCATACTCTGGTTGCTACGGATACGGTTGATGTTCACATCTGCACTGACGCCAGCATACAACGAGTCGCCTTCATCGATTCCGTCCAGGAACGGGGGAGGAAGCTCGTCGAGGCTTGAAAGTCCGGTGGATGTACCTGATTGTTTGGGAGCCAGTGAGAACATTGAGCCACTCGCACTCATATCACAGTACTGATCAGCTTCTTCCAAGTCGGGCATCTCCGGGAGACTAGACATGCTCCCCAGCGGTGGTATGTTCCAACGCTCATTTCTTCCGGAATCACCTTGTTTGTAGAAGTCCCCGACGGCCGTCTGCAGCGAATCAGTATGGTGGATGTAAGAACCGTGCGTGCCATACGCATTCTCATCGTACTCGTCCAGGGAATCCGTCTGGCTCAGCAGTTCCAAGTCAATGGAGTCCGAGTCCAGACTTGTTGATCCTTGTTGGGCACTCGCTGACAGGAACTCCCCCTGGTCCAGCATGGACGCTGAATGTAGAGATTCCTCGTCGCCCGATAGCGACACACATTGACTATGCATGTCATAGCTGTCACAGAAATCATCAATAACAGCGCCGTCCTCACCGGTGATCACCAATCTACTGCTCGGCTTTTCTTCTTGTCCGTCCGCGTCCTCCTTCTCTCCACCAGCAGCAGCGTCACCTTGGCCACCACGTTTGCGTCGATTCCCGCGGCTAGGCATAGCGTATTGGGATTCGACGCTCTGTTTGCCCTTGATCGTGCGGCGAATCTTCTCGTAGATGTCGGGAGCACGCGGTCTGCGCTTCTTCTTCTTCTTGAACGCGTCATACCCGGCTGCGGAGTTCTTCTTCTTCTTGAACGCGTCGTACTCCGCCGCTCCCTCCGTATAGATGATGTCATCACCGTAATTGCCATCCCGACCACCGGACATGCTTTGCAGGTAGATGTCCTCCTGGTCGTCGTCCGGATACCGTCCCATGTGCATGTACGTGGGGGACCAGAGGTCATGGTCCTCCTCGGCCAGGCTGTACGTGTCCGCTCTCAGGTGATCTCCGTCCGTGTTCGAGTCCGCGTTCAAGAGCTCTTTGCCACCGCGTTCGGTGCCACCAGCTTTGCGGAAGGACATGTTCCAAATCTTGTATACTGCGCTGAGGCGTCGACTGCGCCGCTTCTCTCTCAGGTATTTGGAGCATTTGTAGGCAAGTGCAATGGTGATGCCCATCAGGCACATTGCTGCCAGGACACTGGGCAGCATAACAATCAGACTGTCCTGTTGGTCCTTGCTGCCTAGCGCTGCACAGCGGGTTGAGAGCATGGTTTAGCATTCACCACGCGCGCACACACACACACACACACACACACACACACATGCATGCGCACACATGAAAGCACACACACATGCATGCAAAGACACACACACACATACGCACGCACGCACACAAACACTCGCACACACACACACACATGCATGCGCACGCATGAAAGCACACACACACACACACACACACACACACACACACACACACACACACACACACACACACACACACACACACACACACACACACACACACACACACACACACACACGCATGCATGCATGCAAAGACACACACACACACACACACACACACACACACACACACACACACACACACACACACACACACACAATCAATATTATGAAACGGGTTTTGATTTCATCGACAGTTGCTTTCCCACTCACACAGTTCTCCACTCTCCTGAAACGGTTCAGTGATGACGGACTGACATGTCCATATCCATACTCTAATTGTACAGTCAACTTTGCATATAACGACACTCGGCAGGGCATCAGAAAAGTATCCTTATTCGCGAAGTGTCGTTATACCCGAAGTCTCCTTGTATGTATTACAGTTAGAATGGGACTTTGCTCTGGGCATGGAAATTCTGTCGTTATTCGCGAATTGTCGTTATATCCGCAGTTGTTATCAGCGAAGTTGACTGTAGATCAATATAATGTTCGCCTACACACCATTACCAGTATGTTCTCTCCTGCAGTTCTGGCCAGAACCTCATGAATAAAGTAGCGCCGTGTTCGAGGCAACACACAAAGTATGTGTAGTGCTAGGGCTGCGTAGTGCCCGGCAACGCTATTTTATTCATGAGGTTGGATTTCTCTGGCCAGGCTCGTAGTTGGTCCATAAAGAGAAAATAGTGCTTAGCTTTCCTGCATCAAGGGACCAAGGGAGTCCAGTTATATTAAGTGTTAACTGCATGAGATGTGTTATTCAACGCAACACAAACGCGCTGTGCGAATCTTGGAATTTGGACTTGAACCCCTGATAGAGCTGGCATAGTGTCGTTGAAGGCTACAAAACAACTATTCCTTATTTCCTCAGTACTAGAATAATTTTAAGGGCAGCAGGCTGATGGCAGGGTTCATTTAGCTTTGTGCACGCAAAGTGAAAAAAATTGAAAATCGCTTTAAATAAACGTGTTACACTTTCAACTCTTACAGCAGACATGGCAAAGGGCTACACTCATACCTCGTTTATCAGAGCGGTCCGGGATCGGGCACTGCCCTTAACTTCAAAAAGTCCGTGACTCCGAATCTCATACATTATTTTAGGGAAAGGCCACAGAGATGGCATGCAACGCCACTATTTTGACAAAAAAAGTTACAAAAGGGTAGTCATATTTCCACTGAAACTCGCCCAAAGCGTGCCCAGTAGACTGAAGTACCCGTAACTTGGGGGTTCAGATAACCCGGGGGGGATGAGTGTACAGATAACGCAATGCACAAACTGTCGGACATCCGCTAGCCGATTAACTGTTGCTGTGCGCAGACACTATCTGAACCACAAGTATTCTGTGCAAAGTATACCGAGTTTTTGCAAGTAACTTCTGCTGTTCCGGTTTGTATTATTTTTTATTTTTTCACCTTGTCATGTCCCTTCCTCCCTCTCTCATAACAGACACCTTCACTTCCTTTCCCCAGTAGACTCTCCTTGATAGGCATCCATTTGCCTCTGGAGAATCCTTGAAAATGTAATATCTGTCACGACGTTGACATGATGCTCAACATCATGAGATTATTTGCACTGCAGCGTACTAGCCAATGTACACGTCATAGTTTGTGTTCTCATTCCCAGTTTGTTTCCGCGTTCCCACACCGAAGCTGGGCCGCGAGTTTATTGTTTCTGCTGACTGATGCGGTTTCCTCGTCATCAGATTTATGCTATGCCGTACTTCCGTACGCATAGATTATTCCAGACGTACACACTCACCTCTAAGCTACGTGTTCCATTTTTTCCTGCTCCTTTTTCTCTCTGCGCAAGCGCCTTGCGCATTAGTCGTCTTCTTTCTCAGTTCACAACAAGAACAAGAATTATTTACCCCTTGTGCATTTGTAGGAGTTGCATTTTAATAGAAAGTATATTTTTCGCAGTAAAAGAGTATTTATTTGTAGAGCTTGTGTTGATACAGATTCCTAGGTTCAAACCCCAAGATGGGCAGTTAGTTACATTTTTTCTCTCCTTGCGTATTTTGTATCTGCATGTTATTACCCTTTCCGTGAGTCGCTCGTGAGTAATGTATGAGTCGTGTATGGCTAAACCCGTATTTACCCGTATGACTGCTGCTAGTGTTATTGTTCTAGAACATTAGCATAATTAACCAATCACAGTTCACAGCTCTGGAATATTCTAGAATTTCGTCGGCGACCGGTTTATATAGATTGCTCATTGGTTGATGACCTAACAAAACATGGCTGCCGTTCGCCGTGTGTTCTTGCATTGTTCTTTTCTTGTGCTTTTTCACTTCTTATCTTTACTTGCCGAGTGTGCAACTAATAATTCTGTCCTAACGAGTATTCGTGAAACCACAAAGTGAGTGCTTTGTTTGAGTGTGTGAAATTGTCTCCGAGGGCCAGCAACTACATTGGTGGCAGCGGTAAACTATAATAGTGTGTATATTCGTAGTGTTCAGTTCAACCCGTGCATTTACCTGTTCAGATGGCGCAGCCTCAAGCAGCAGCAGCAGCAGCTCCGGCCCGCCCGGCGGCTTTAGGACGCCCAGTCATCTTACCACCTGAGTTTACCGGAACAAGCAGCGAAGACTGGCTGACATTTATGGGCCAATTTAACGTCGCCTGTCAGGCAAACGGATATGCGGATGATCAACGCCTGGATTTCCTGCCCTGTCGTCTCCGCGAGGGGGCGTTTCATGTCTACCAGACATTCCGGGCCCAGCACCCGAATGATGCCTACAATGAGCTGTGCGATCGTCTCACTGCGTATTTCAACCCTCCGCAGCATCGCCCGTCGTTCGAGGCCGAGTTTCGGGCAAGAACAATGAAAACAACTGAGAGTCCGGTGGAGTTCGCGTCTGCGTTGCAGAAATTGGCGTCAAGGGCCTACCCAGGCCAGGAAACACGGACCTCTTCCAGCGTTTACTGGTCAATCAGTTTATCGATGGCCTCCCTTCTCCAGAGCTTCGCCTTCATGTTCGAAGTGCCAGCCCGAATAATTTGGCACAAGCTGTGCAAAGGGCTCTGGAAATGGCGGCCATATTCGACGCAGAGCAGCGCCGGTCGAACGGTGCCGCGATTGCGCGTGCGTCGCCGACACCTGCGGCCATATTCGCCGTCCGCGGGTCAAGCACTGCACTCCCGCCTGCTCCATCAGCTTCCACTACCGGTATGACGTCAGCCTCAGGTGGTAATTATAATGTTCATGATCAGATGTTTGTGTTGGACAAGTTTTTGCAAAGGCTAGATTCCATTTCGCTTTCTTTGAGCTCTCAATCTCCAGGTAGTCTTCCTCCATCAGCACACGCGAGCGGCGGCCGTGGTTGGAGCGACAGTTCTCAGGGTGCGCAGCAGGTGCGCCGTTTCCGTCTCTTGGTGTTGTTGTCGAGTTGTTTGGTCGTTTTGTCACAGCACTCGGTGATACTGGTGCAGGTGTCTCCCTCATCAGCCTACGTTTGCTACGCAGCTTCGACGTTGACATCTCAGCACTCCAGCAAGATGGTGTTCGTCCTCTCCTCACTGGTGTAACGGGTCAGTCCCTAAGTACTTGTGGTGTTGTTTCGTTGAAATTTCGTATTGGGTCGTTTTGTACAAATCATACATTTATTGTTGTCGATGGTGTTACACATGACCTCATCCTTGGGTCTGATGTTCTCACTGCTTCTAGGTGCACGCTTGATCTGTCCCGCCGTGTGATGCATGTTGGTACTACCTCTGATGGTCTATCTGTCAATCAGCCTGCGTGTGTTGTTGATCAGCAGAGTGCTGCTAGTTCTGATTTGTGTATTTCTGAGGATGCTCCGTGTGCGTCTGCGTCAGATAGTCTTACTCCGTGTGCTTCTGCTAGTGCTAGTTCTACTCCGTGTGTGTCTGCTAGTCCTACTCCATGTGTGTCTGCTAGTGCTAGTCCTACTTCGTGTGATTGAACTGCCTCACGTGTGCACAATATCAAAATCAAAATCACATTGCTCACCTTCGCAGACTGCTTTCCCGTTCCAGACCCCGGTCAGCGTTGGCCCCACCGAGCATACGAAGCGTGGCTGCGCGGACGGGAAGAATCCCGACCGGCAGCGCAGGAAAGCAACTGCATCCAGATGTCCACCGTTTCTGTATTCAAAGTCACCATGCTTGTCGGACAGATCCTTGCCACAATAGTCCAGGATCACTTTACGCAAGAGCAAAAACAGGACAGACATACGACATGTGTTCATTACTTGTGACTTATCCCAACCTGGTGCATATACGTCCACTGAGGCTAACAGTGTGTCTTTTGGCTGTGTGATGTGAAACAACCCTACACTTCTATCACACCTTATCCTGTTACATAGCACCTACAATTACCAAGTCGCACTGGTCGCATACAAAGAATTCTGCAGCCAGTCTTGAGGCGACATGTTATGTTCAACAATGTGTACAGTAATGTGTACAGACGACATTAAAAGTGGCTACAGTATTACATTGTCCATGCGGCTGTTAGCTGCTGTGGCTGAAGCGGGAAATACGAAATAGCTACAGTCCGTTTCAAAAAGATTTGCAATCCTGACGATCGCCTGCGGAGTTTGGCGTCTTACCGTATGAGCACTCGAGCGCTGCCTGGAAAAACTCACTGTGAACTCGAAGAAATATTCCGCGCGAAAGCAGGAAAAATGACAACTCACTCACGTTGATACAGTCATGTACGTCTGGTTTACAACAAACGAGTTCTTCCTCGTATCGATATTGGAGTCAGAGAGGACATGTCGAAACGAAAGTGTTGTAAATGTTGACGAGCGGCATGAGTCCCAATTCGTTTTGTGACCAAAATAGTTTCTTTGAGCTGCGATGCAATTTACTCACCGTATGACGAAAACGACATCGACACGGACTCATTCCCAAGCCCATGACTTGGCAAAGCTATCCGTGTGACTTCGACGACATTTTGAGAAAAGCAGACGCTTGTGAACTCTGATAGAAGGCGGCGTTGACTGCTAAATTCAAATAAATTGGCGATCTTGAAATACGAAAATAAATCTCAAAAGCTACAGCGCGATGACTTCCATTATAATTCACTCACACCATTGCAGTGTTGTGGGTGTGTTCACATGGCGTGAGCCAGTCAAGTGTCAGTCAGTTCGGCAGGAAGCGCGAGCTCCAACAACAAGTCGTTTGGTGCAGCCATCTTCTTTGTCTTGTACCAGCTTGATCACCAAAACAATGAAAAAAAAGTTTGACTTGAGGAGAGGTTGGGATTTGAACTCACAACTTCATGGTCAGCAGACAGCATTCATAACCACAAGGCCAAAAAGGAAAGGATAAATCGTGGGTTTTGATAAAAAATCGATACTGGCTTCCTGGGCAAATTGTAAACCATGGGAAAAGGCCGGAAATCTGGCCGAAATTCTAACTCCTTAACGGTTGCTCCAATTGTTCCGAAACCTTCACAGAACAATTTGCCGTGTGCTAACAAGCCATTCTATGTACTTTGTTGTCCAAATTTTCATTATCTTCATACATTTTAAGACCCAAACCTGATTGTAAATCTTTTTGAAACAGACTATAGTACAGAGTACTGCATGAATATCCCAGCATAAGTATACGTGTTACACTACCTTGTTCATGCGACCTACAGTGGTGGGTGGGTGTGTGTGTGACTGCTTACAGTCGACTCCTGATATAACGAACACCATTGTGCAGGAGAATTAGTTCATTATAGCCGAAGTTTGTTACAACAGAAACACACTTACACCGAGGGTTCAAACAGGGACATGAGCAATGGTTTGCTATATCATGAAATTCGCTACATATAAGTTCGTTATAAGTGGGGTCGACTGAATAATATTATGCTTACGTTTACATTGACCTGTAACATTCCACCAGCCATTCAGCTGGCTGCCTTCCATACACGTGGCACCGGAGGGCGACCTGTAGCCGATATTGCACTTAAACCTGGTCTTGCCTCCCAGCAACCGTCCTTCGTCGTATAGCACGATGCCATTACGGATCCTTAGCGTGGGACAATAGTTGGTATTCTCTAAAAAAATTGGCACCGGGAAAGACAAGATAAATGATTCCTTGCATTCAAACAGCCATGCCAACAATAGAGAAAGACCGTAAGCTGTGTTGCGAATCCGAGTTTTAAGTCAGCATAGCTCTCTCTCTCTCTCTCTCTCTCTCTCTCTCTCTCTCTCTCTCTCTCTCTCTCTATCTCTCTCTCTCTCTCTCTCTCTCTCTCTCCTCCCTCTCCCTCTCCCTCCCTCTCCCTCCCCCTCGCTCTCCCTCTCCCTCTCCCTCTCCCTCTCTCTCTCTCTCTCTCTCTCTCTCTCACTCTCTCTCTCACTCTCTCTCTCTCTCGCTCTCTCGCTCTCTCTCTCTCTCTCTCTCTCTCTCTCTCTCTCTCTCTATTGTGTAGAAGTATCGCCCCCTCGCTGATATGGAGTACACTTTTGGCAATGGAGCTACCACGTGATTTAAACTTTCACAGAGCAGATGTAGCGTGCAAACCGTCAGACCGTCACGCATGTGTAACATCAATAAGCAGACTTGTTCACATGACTTCAAGCGTTGTATTGTGTCAATGACGACATTGTGACACGTAAATGCCCTGTTTCTGGCTAGCTGGCCTGATCATGGCGAGCTTAACCCGAGAAGGCTTTACCAGAGAAAGGCATCCAATATTCCTGCCGCTGTTCACCTCCATCAGCCCCATGCATGGAGGAGCAGTAGTGGCACTGCTACCCTGCACAATGTGTGGTGTTCGGGTGCAGTGTTGTACTGTACAAATACAATTGAGCTCGGTGAAATCCAACCCCAAGTGCATGACTATTGGCGCCGTAGACTTATAAGGCCCTTGCCGCCCTGGAAGTGGTAGGAATGCGGGGACTGGACGTACGCTTGTACAAGTACAGTGATGTAGTTGAAACTGGTCCAGGGCTCCAGTTTTGCACTTTGGGTTGGATTTCAGTGAGTGCAACAGTAACCATTAAAATAATTACCTTGGTGTGATAGCGAGTTCACTGTTTTGTTTTGTTTTTGTTGTTTTTTTTACTAGCAAACACAGCCCTACTAATAATCAGGGAAAGAGGACAACTTTGTTGAGACTGACCTTCACATGTGCTGGGCTTGCTCCAGTTGCCAATATTGCTGATTGATGCCACGCAACGAGCACTCTCCTCGTGGCCGCGCAAGTAACCCGAATTACAGCTGAGATGTGCCGATGAGCCGAGACGCCCCCTGTCCGTGTACGTGTAACTGCCATTGGCGATGGAGATGTTGGCGCAGAACTCATCAATATCTAAGCATGTGCACGTAGATCCAAGAACAAGTCTGGCTTGACCGGGTGCATGTAGAAACTCACTCAATTACGGGTACCCTAGGGCACAATGGCATTGACCATACCACCTTTGCCCCTACTACTCACAGTCAGCAATGAAATGAAATATGTTGACTCTAACTAAAATGTATAAGAAAGAAAAAAGGACCAAAGAGCTAAAAGTTACACTATAATGTCCACTAACACCACCGGTTACTAAACAATCAGCTTAGGGGCCATCCGTAATTATCGATCTTTTTCACGAGACGAAAAAGTTTAGTTATGACCCACCCCCACCCACCCACCCCCCTGAAACGAAAAAATTAATTGACTTGGGACTTTGTGCAGAAAATGATCTTGATTGGCTGTTACAACACAGCGAGGCCACATTTTGTGTGATTGTGGAAGTAAGTAACAACGTTAGTTATGTTTTCTTGGAAGTCTGGTACTACTTCTTGACCATGGAAACATTTATTTTCACCTACCACACACATACGCTGCTGGCACCTCTACGTCTAAACACGGGAATTGTACACTTGCAAATCGTCAGAGTTCCGACATTGACATGATACTGCCAAAACAAGTCGACTTCGGAGCGGAAACAAAAGCCATAGCTATCACAGACTTCAGTAGTCGTGCCTCGCTCGCAAATGAGAGCAGCAACGCCCCAGAATCGCTGTCGGAAAGCTCCCTAAGGTCGCACGCACGCCGCGCTGCGCTGCCGTCAATCAGGTACGTAGAAAGTCGATGGCCTAATTTTCCGTCTCTGGAAGACTGTCGACACGGGGATCATTCTCCATGGCTTCCCCACCACAAGCACGATCAGATTCTTCCAGGTACATTACGACGACATCGTCTTCAGCGGCTGGCGCTCCCCATATTTGCGTGAGAATTTACTTGGCGTGCGCCCCGCTCCGTAATTTGAAATTCTCTTGCATCGGCGGCTGGAACGAAGTATTTATCTATCTGTCGTCGGTCCCAGAGTGAATGATCATGATGACTGCTAGGTCCTCGTCGGAGAAGTCATCCGAGGACGAAAGGAACTCACTGCACTGAGTACAGAGTGGTATCACTGCATCCTTGCAGCACTTGCTTGGCCGCGCGACGTAGAGTCAACTGTCGATCTACTTCGATGTACACAATGTATGCATGCATCAATGCATGCAGTGAGCGTTGATTTTTCCGCTTTCGATGTTTTTTCAAAACGAAACCGGTCGCTACCCACCCACCCATAAACGAAACTTTTTCGTTTCGTGAAAAAGATCGATAATTACGGATGGCCCCTTATGCGATAACATTGCACGACACTGACCGACGGTACTAACATTCTACAACTAACTGGCTAGCAGCTCTACAGTGCATTTCAAAACTATAGACGCGTAGGGTTTTTGAAATATTTCAAATTTGGCTGGAACTTTTTGAGAATAGTTTTCGGAATATTGCTCAGGATCGCTCCACAATTACTCTCATAATAGTTTCTAAAGGATTGGATAACAGACGCCCAATTTGGAAAAATTTATGCACAAAGTGATCACAGATTTTATGTGGTATAGATGCTGGCATAACGGTTTTTGCCTAGGTACGCGTCTATAGTTTTGAAATGGACTGTAGCTCTAGCTCAAGTATTTCTTATAAATTAATCCTTGGCTCTCCATCCGAGTCCATTCTAACTAAAGTATGAGCCCTTTCACGGGGAGGGCCCCTGGAGAGATACCATTGATGGCCCACGCGGTTTAGTCTTCGTTCTGCTTCCCCATCTTCCGTACCGGTATGAGCAATGTGATAAAAACAATTTTAAATGCAATTCTACATGGTGATACCCTCGATGGGTGACCATGGCTATGACTTACGTACGACACCAATTTGCGAAAACACTGCATATCTCAGCCTGAGAAATGAGATGTGCGGATTCTTTCAGACTACCGTGCACAATGCCCGTGTGCACATTTGTTTGCTAGGAAATATGATGTAAAAGCAGAAATTTTCGGTGGCATAGTATTTTCGGTGTTCACCAAAATCGGCGGTTCGGTGGAGGGAACTTTTCGGTAAACCCGTTTCCAGGTAAGTGTACTAATACAATACTGAAATTTTTGGTACTTTCTATTTTTGGTGAAAATTTGGCCACCGAAGTTACCGATAATGGAACACCGCCGAAAATTTCTGCTTTTACAGTATTTCGTTTAGGTGTGAATCCTTGACAAAATCAACGAAACCAATACCACAACAACAACTCAGTGTTGCATTTCAGAGGCTCTGGCTCTATGTTCCAGTGTGTGTTAGGCCTGCTCGCTGTCATATTTTCAACGAGAACTAATAATGATGTCGTCAATTTAATTGGACGAACCTTTGCTCTCCTCGCCACTCCACACAACAACAAAAGACTCGTGCAAACTGGGAGAGAGCGTTTTCTTTAACTTGCTTTCACAAGGCGACTGGAGAACTGCGCTCCAACAAAACGGACAAGAGAATATATTATGGGGACGTGGAGAAAAGAGGGGAAAAGGTGGGGTGAGGGATACGAAAGAGGTGCCTGTGCAAAGTACAACAAGGCCTGAACAGGACGGGAGACAAAGACGAACGACGGGGAAATACGACGGACACAAGACGGCAACCAGACCAATACAACGGAGACAGGACGAGAAAATATGTATGCAACAGGGACGAGATGAGAAATAATGCATACGGAGGGGACAGAAGACAGTGCAGCGGCATGTACAAAGCATTCCAAGACAGCGCAGCGGCGTGTACCACGGGTCAGCAGCATGTACGACACAGAGACACATACGCAGCCACGTGTATGACAAAAGAGACACAAGCGCACCCACATGTACGACAAAGAGACACCCGCGCAGCCGCATGTACGACACAGAGCTACAAGCGCGACCACATGTACAACAATGACGTCACTAAAAAAACACAACTTGGTACATGGTATTGGTTTCTCTTACATGTGCAGGTTGGCGGACCGTCAAGTTGCGAGTGTGTGCTATTCAGCGGCACGCACGTGTGCACGACCGTTCCGTTCACAGGCTTGTAGCCCGTCTGGCACGTGAGCAGAGTGCTTGTTCCGGGCACCGTGTCTGGCGCATGGCTAACATTGCCATGCGGCACCACCATCTCGGGACAGTATGCTGCAGAAACATACAGTAGGAAGTAATACGACACGAGCATGAAGTATACAAAAAAGTGGATGGATGAAAGAACCGCTAGAGCATGCGCTCTTCTATACCTGGTGGGCTCTGAATAATAACAAGAAACTCTGAGTAATGGCAATGAAGGACTTGATTCCACAGATATTTTGTGTACGTCTTGTGTACGTCATGTGTGCGTGGTGGTGGTGGTGCATGCATGTGTTGCTGTTGTGTGAAAAGCAGTCTTTTTTCTTTTTTCTTCTTCTCTTTTTTTTTTACTGAATACCACAGAACCATCAGATTTGCCTCGAGCTTGTGATGTTTAGATGTGAATTGTTGCATTGACATTGGTGAATTGTTGCATTGATGACATTAGAGTGAATGGTTATATTGACAACACCACCATTGTTTTGCATGAATTGTATGTACATATATGTACCTCGGCATTCAATAGTTCCATTCCAGTGGCCCGTGACATTGGTCACTGCGATGCAAAAGAACGTTGACCCGTTCACCGGCCTGTAGCCATGGTTACAGCGTAGACCAGCCGTGGACAGTACAGTGCCGTTCATTGAGTACTGCACCGAGCCGTAGGAGATGTTGTTAGGCGTCGGGCAGTAGCTGTGCACCACTGCATACACACACACACCCAACACAGACAGCAGAATAGCAACAACATCAATACAATTGTATTCACTCTTAGTAGGAACCGGGGTTTTCGTCTTGTGAGAAGGCAACAAATTGTTTGCTCCTATACGAATTCAGATGAAAGAAACAATTAGAGAAACAAAGTGTGTTTTCGAGGCGGTGCTGACTACATTAAATCACTCCTAAATCAAAATCGAACTTGATGATATCTATCCACAACATTCGTAAAATTAAGCCTATTGATGACAACACTCTCATGATGTTTTTCAGGCACCTCGTTCTTGAGCAAATTGGGTGTTGGGAAGTGGGATATCAAAACATGGAATGCATGCAGTGTCCAGCCCTCCACAGGACCAAGCCTCAATGAAGAACACACATATACATAGGAGCCGTGGTGAGGCTTCCTGCAGCTTCATTCATAGGAGAAAAAAAGGTTTCAGAGCATTCACTCTGCAAACTCGAACTCGTTTCTCAATCAACACAGTCATATTCTGTAATCAATCAGTGATCACACATGTCAGGGTATGCAGGGGTGTCAAACACGTTACGACCAATACGACCATATTCGTATGACTTTTCGTCCAGAATGGTCCGCTCAGAGCGCCTGTAGAGCGCTAAAATGTGATCTGTTGGCCGAAAGATCCGATACCCCCCCCCCCCCCCGGCACTTCCGGACCTCCCTCGTCCCCCCCCCCCTCCCCTCCCTGCCCTGTGACACCCCTGGTATGTATACTGTACTTACGTTCGCACGATGGCAATCTGCTCCAGTTGCCATGCACCTCATCCAGAGCATTGCATGTGAAGTTTGTGACGCCGTCGGCTGGAATGAAGCCTACGTCGCATGCGAGCAGTGCCATCGTCCCCAAGTATGCCCCTGTGCCGTTCGCAATGCTGCCGTTCTGGACCAGTAGCTGAGAGCAGTAGCCGGGAATCGCTGCAGAAGGGCACATGAAATATGTACATGGCAAATTGGCACACATATGACCCCTCCCCCCCCCCCCCCCACCACCCCCAATAATACAGATAGGGACATAAAGCCTATATCATGCACCACAAGAATCACACACATAGAATTTGAAATCCATGAGTGAAATCACTCGCCCCATTTTGCACACATCGATTGAGATGGGCACAGCCGGTCAGGGAACCTTCTCCGCTAGCCCAAAACTCACCTACGCAGTTGGACGTTATGTTCCACACCCCGACCGTCTGGTTGAACGGCAGACACGCCTGGTGCGTTCCGTTGCTGGCTGAGTATCCGAAGCTGCAGTTGAACTCCAGCACGTCGCCAACGACCAGCTTGCTGGTGTTGACGATGGCGCCATTGTGCTTCACAGGCAAATCACAGTATTGCTGGATGGCTGTCAACAGGGTGGTGGGACAAAAAGAGGAAAATAGAGAGAATTGTGGCATGGCAAACACGACAACACGCTTTCCCTGCAGGGAGCTCGAGGCAGCAGACAGGTGCAGATTGATAAACTGCTATTGCGGCACTCGTTCACCTTGGATACCACACATCTGTAACACACCGCCATCACAGGATGGTTTTTAGTGTATGTGTATGTGAAGGCTGCGGGCAAGGGAAGGGGTGCCCGTTGTTCAGTGGTGCTCATTTTCCAGAGGACAGGATATTAAATGTCCAGTGGGGCACTTAGAGTCCAGGGAAGGAGGAGGGGTGTTCAATGTCCATAAGAGATGGAGGAGGGGGCATTTAATATCCAGGTGCAGAGAGGGATGTCCAGTCTCTCGGGGAGGAGGAGAGAGTGTTACATGTCCAGGTATGGAGAGGGATGTTCAGGCGCGTGCACCGGATCAAAAAAGGTGGTTTCCAAATTTTTTTTACCGCCATTTTGCAATAAGCTACCTGCAAATTCAGCAGTATTACACGCATTACACACTGAAAGAAAGCTTTAAACGTTATGGCTGCCAGTCCCACCGAGCGCGAGCCATCAAAACTTAGGCAAACGTGGTACAAAGGCATTTTCCTGACACAGGATAAATGCATAGGCTAGCCGACGTTACAAGTACAGTAAAACCTGTAACTAAAGACCACCGTGACTAGCGACCAGCCTGGTACTACAGTAAAACCTGTAACTAACGACCACCGTGACTAGCGACCAGCCTGGTACTACCGACCACTTCACCAGGCACGGACGGTCTCACATTCAAAATTCACTGTGACTAGCGACTACCTGCTGAACGCGACCAGCGACCGCCTTTTCTTGTCCCAAAGACGATATTTAACCCGTAACTAGCGACCGCGATGTAGGAAATCAAATGTTGCTCGAAGCTCCTTCTTGAAATTTTGATGATTTTACGTGGTCCTGAAAGGAATCTTTCGGTACCACAGCTGAAGAAATGAACGCAGGTCATTTTGACTGTGGAGTCGAGTCGGTGTGGATTGCACTACACCTGTCAGAAATTCAAGCTCTGTCAAGAATAGACATGATAGGAAACGTCTTGGAGAGCGCATCGAAAGCGCTCTCTGATCGATGTTTTACTACTCGGAGCAGAAACGAAGACTGAGCGGCTCTGTCACCCCAGTCATACAGACGAATCGACGATGGCATAAAGGAATCCAGAAACAAAGCAGCACCGCAAGGTCCTGATGCTGAAGGGTCGCGTTCAAGCAATCGAGAAGTCGCAACAAGGACAGTCGGTACGATTGATCGCATGAACAAATTTGAAGCCCAGCACAAAACGAAACTTCCACAGGGAACGTTTGACTCCTGGCTTCAGACGTAGGAGCCAAATTTGATGTCCGCAAAAAATTAATCTTCTCTCTCTCTCTCTCTCTCTCTCTCTCTCTCCATCTCTCCGTCAATCTCTCCAAGTGTTGTTTGACCTGAAATAAGAATGGCATTGCGCAAGTCTTGGGGAATTGTATTAGCTGCATTTTGATATACTTATCATATAATGGGATCCATATATGGTCGCGTGGTGCAAACCTCTAACTAAAGACCACCTGCTACTAAAGACCGCTTTTGCTGGCACCAAGGGGTGGTCGGTAGTCACAGGTTTTACTGTAGTTCGAAGTAGTGAGGGAAGATTCAGACACTCTTGCTAGTAAGTGAGTCAAAGAAGCAGGTCAATCCATGTCACTGTCTGAGTCTGCAGTGGCACTATAGCCCTGGGAAGACACGCGCAACCGGAAATTGAGACACTGAATTCGCTAAGATCCATGGTATTTTTGCACAATGTCCTGTACATGATGTAGTAGTCATCGTAGAGCGCTCCTTTCTTTTGTACATGTAGCTGACCGCTAAAGACCTGTGCCTGACGTCACACAGGTCTATGCATGTCTGGACTGTCGTGCATTAGAGGAAAATATTTATGACAAAAATAATATGATTGCCACCCAAGTGCGGAAGTGAAAATTTGCAATGGGACGTAAAATACCTGTCGAGTGCCGTAACTCCAATATTCGACCTTGGATCTACTTCGGATATGTTGGAGCCGACAGCTGAGAACTTTCTAATGCGAATAGACCTTTCGATTACTCGATTCCGTTCAGGGAAAGCCGAGTTACGAAATATTTGAGTGTTTGCAGAATGCACTTCATAGCGGATGCAAAAAACTAAAAAGGTGGTTTCCGGGCTCCAAGAAACCACGCGGTGCACGCGCCTGATGTTCAGTCTCTAGGGCAGGAGGAGGGGGTGTCCATTGTCCAGGGGAGGATCAGGAGGGGTGTCCAATATCCAAGTGTGGAGAGGGATGCTCTGTGTCCAGGGGAGGAGAGTTTTTATGTCCAGGAGAGGAGGAGAAGGGGGTGCTTATTGTCCAGGGGAGGAGGCGGAGGGGTGTTTGATGTCCAGGGGAGGAGGAGGAGGAGTAGGGGTGTCCAATATCCAAGTGTGGAGAGGGATGCTCAGTGTCCTGGGGATGGGAGGTTTTTATGTCCAGGGGAGGAGGAGAAGGGGGTGCTTAATGCCCAGGGGAGGAGGCGGAGGGGTGTTTGATGTCCAGGGGAGGAGGAGGAGGGGTATCCAATGAGAGGGGTGCTCAGTGTCCTGAGGAGGAGAGTTTTTTATGTCCAGGGGAGGAGGAAAAGGGGGTGCTTAATGTCCAGGGGAGGCGGAGGGTGTTTGATGTCGAGGGGAGGAGGCGGAGGGTGAACCGTGTTCAAGTGTGGATAGGGACGTGTATTTAATATTCTAGGAGAGGTGGGGTGGAGGCACAGGGGGGGGGGGGTCCAATGTCCATGGGGACAGATCCAGCAATACATCAGACACACACCAATGGTTCGAACCCATCTTTCTTCAATGTTATTTTCAGAGTTACCCAAAAACATTCATGAAACCACACTGAATCTGGCTTTGCGATGAATTGACGGCACGTTGGTTAGCTAGCTTGTGCAATACTGAAGCTGGCTCCTGTGGTTCTTACCAGTGCAAGCGTTGGTGTCGTTCCACTTTCCCACTCTCGGTGATTCCGTGACGCATACCAAGTGACCACTGCTGCCTGCAATCCTGTAGCCATCTTGGCAGGAGAGTGTTGCCATAGCACCCAATGTGCGTGTGTTCTTGAGCATGGTATTGTGTGGTGTTGTGTAGTGTGGCGTTGAGGAGGGTGGTGTTGAGGAGTGTGGTGTTGAGGAGGGTGGCATTGAGGAGGGTGGTGTTGAGGAAAGTGGTGTTGAGGAGAGTGGTGTTGAGGAGTGTGGTGTTGTGTAGTATGGTGTTGAGGAGTGTGGTGTTGAGGAGGGTGGCGTTGAGGAGGGTGGTGTTGGGGATTGTGGTGTTGAGGAGAGTGGTGTTGGGGATTGTGGTGTTGGGGATTGTGGTGTTGAGGAGTGTGGTGTTGAGGAGGGTGATGTTGAGGAGGGTGATGTTGAGGAGGGTGGTGTTGAGGAGGGTGGTGTTGAGGAGGGTGATGTTGAGGAGGGTGGTGTTGAGGAGGGTGGCGTTGAGGAGGGTGGCGTTGAGGAGGGTGGTGTTGAGGAGGGTGATGTTGAGGAGGGTGATGTTGAGGAGGGTGATGTTGAGGAGTGTGGTGTTGAGGAGTGTGGTGTTGAGGAGGGTGATGTTGAGGAGGGTGATGTTGAGGAGGGTGATGTTGAGGAGGGTGATGTTGGGGATTGTGGTGTTGAGGAGGGTGATGTTGAGGAGGGTGGTGTTGAGGAGGGTGGCGTTGAGGAGGGTGGTGTTGAGGAGGGTGATGTTGAGGAGGGTGATGTTGAGGAGGGTGATGTTGAGGAGGGTGATGTTGAGGAGGGTGATGTTGAGGAGGGTGGTGTTGAGGAGGGTGATGTTGAGGAGTGTGGTGTTGAGGAGGGTGGTGTTGAGGAGTTTGGTGTTGAGGAGTGTGGTGTTGAGGAGGGTGATGTTGAGGAGGGTGATGTTGGGGATTGTGGTGTTGAGGAGAGTGGTGTTGAGGAGAGTGGCGTTGAGGAGTGTGGTGTTGAGGAGGGTGATGTTGAGGAGGGTGATGTTGAGGAGGGTGATGTTGAGGAGGGTGGTGTTGAGGAGGGTAATGTTGAGGAGGGTGATGTTGAGGAGGGTGGTGTTGAGGAGGGTGGTGTTGAGGAGTGTGGTGTTGAGGAGGGTGATGTTGAGGAGGGTGATGTTGAGGAGGGTGATGTTGAGGAGGGTGATGTTGAGGAGGGTGATGTTGAGGAGGGTGATGTTGAGGAGGGTGATGTTGAGGAGGGTGATGTTGAGGAGGGTGATGTTGAGGAGGAGGATGTTGAGGAGGGTGATGTTGAGGAGTGTGGTGTTGAGGAGGGTGGTGTTGAGGAGGGTGATGTTAAGGAGGGTGATGTTGAGGAGGGTGATGTTGAGGAGGGTGATGTTGAGGAGGGTGATGTTGAGGAGGGTGATGTTGAGGAGGGTGATGTTGAGCAGGGTGATGTTGAGGAGGAGGATGTTGAGGAGGATGATGTTGAGGAGGGTGATGTTGAGGAGTGTGGTGTTGAGGAGGGTGGTGTTGAGGAGGGTGATGTAGAGGAGGGTGATGTTGAGGAGGGTGGTTTTGAGGAGAGTGGTGTTGTGTAGTGTGGTGTTGAGGAGTGTGGTGTTGAAGAGGATGGTGTTGGGGATTGTGGTGTTGAGGAGTGTGGTGTTGAGGAGGGTGATGTTGAGGAGGGTGATGTTGAGGAGGGTGGTGTTGAGGAGGGTGATGTTGAGGAGGGTGATGTTGAGGAGGGTGGTGTTGAGGAGGGTGATGTTGAGGAGGGTGGTGTTGAGGAGTGTGGTGTTGAGGAGGGTGATGTTGAGGAGAGTGGCGTTGAGGAGGGTGATGTTGAGGAGGGTGGTGTTGAGGAGGATGGTGTTGGGGATTGTGGTGTTGAGGAGGGCAGCATTGAGGAGGGTGGTGTGGCGTTGAGTGTGGTGTTGAGTGTGGCATTGAGCGCAGTGATCCCCAGGGTGGGAGTGTTTCCGCCGGTATACATCAAGTAGCCATGGGAAACGTTGCTGATGTCTGAACAATAATTACTGTCAACTGCACCGCGGAAAGACAAAAGAGGAACGATTTGCAATGTCAAGCATTGCCGGCTATGCTAGAATTGCTTCAACCCATTTTGCCCAGGGCATTTTTAATGTAATTAGTGACCTCACACCTACTGTACCTACCAGAGTATAACCGTGTGCAAGATTTAAAACAATTCTCTTCTATTCAGGGTTTACATGAGCCATAAAAACGTTACATCTGCAATGGCCAATCAAACAACGACAATGTTGAGGGCAAAGAGAAAGTCTATAATGATTTCTTGCGCATGCTTACACAAACATGTTTGAACAAAAACAAGGTTTAGCTAATACATACAACCTCTGTCATCAGAAGGAATGATGATAACACAAATGAACAAGACGAACTCAAAACGAAGACCGCTTTCATACCGCAACAACACGCCCTGCACCAGCACCACGTGACACAGATGACGAACACACGAAATCACGTGTTACTGCAGCAATACTTACGCACGCAGGCCATCGTCTCCTCCCACTTGCCCGCCGTGTTGTTGTCACGGAGACAGGTAAAGCTGGTGCCGTTCAGTGGCACAAGGCCTTCGTCACACGTCAACGTCAGCTTATCGCCGAGCGTCCGATTGCCATGATAGGTAATATTGCCATTACTGATGTTGAGCGCAGGGCAGTATTCAGAGAGCACTAGCACAGATGACAAATGGAATATGAACAACAACGACCACAATGATACCGTAAAAGTCCGTAAATAAGTACCTGCCCGAAAGAAATACGAACTGTCTGTTGAAGTCAAGTCAAGCCCGATAAACATACTGCCCGAAATAAGTACCGGTACGATGCGCACATGCAGCATGTAACATGTCCATCGACATGAAAATGACTTCTCCACTACACACAAGTCAGGTCCGAAAGTTAGTTCGTGCCCGAAAGTCAGTACCCGCCAGAACGTTAGTACGAGTGTGGTCACTAAATTCGAAAGTAAATACGTACTTATTTACGGACTTTTACGGTAAGGACAAACATTGTTCACAAATCTTTAAGAGAGCATATCTGAGAATACCAAAGTATGTGTGCAGGTGGATCTCTCCGATTTCACTCAAAATTTGCAGGTATGTTCCCTTTGGGGTGCAGATCGAATGTGCAAAGCCCTTGAAATAGTTTCTGAAGGGAACCTTGAAACTTGCATACCTCTCAAAATGGCCGAAATATCACATTATTTATGGGTCTACAAACGAGTCACGCCACAGCGTATACGAACAAGCTACGAACAAAACTCCATCAAGCCAACACTGCCTGACCTCAGAAGAGTTCCTTGAGCAGTACCGCTTAGCCACGCCAGAATCCCAGAAGACGAGGGCCATCACCCCCTGACGCCACAAATGATCGTCCTGAAAATAGCCAATTTTCAAGCGCTTACAAAACCTCCAGCTATGTCCTCAATTGGCCAGAACTATACACTGGCAGATAGTAGAGCACCTCTTCTAGCGCTGAGGACATGTCCCCCATCTTACTTTTGGGGTTTTCTTGAAATAAACCTTTTTGAATTTTTCCTTTCGACCATGCTGAAATACGGCCAAAGTCATACCTGCACAGGAAAGCTCGCCCCTCCACGACGTCTCCTCAGTAATTTCTACTCCAACACTACTCCCAACGCCGCAGAACAAAGTGTATTGTTGACTCTGACAAGGAAAAGCAGCGGTGATCACTTGTCACTCCAAACGACAAGCTTCTCCTTGCGCCACCAACAATTTTTGGTGCACCGTAGATGCGAAAGTGACTGAAGTCCTGAGCGCAGTTTTTGAATTTTATTCCAAGATGCATGGTGAGATGGCGTGCTTTGTGACATAGGATGATGCTTCCTGGATATCCCCGGATCACAACACGCAGCCATCGATCGCGATCGTGCCTGGAACGCTACTCGGAACAGACCGTGATGGCTGAGGTAAAATGGGCTGCATTTCCTGCTTGATCTGCTGATAACCCGCACAAACTGTCCTAGGAGTGTTGCAATGGCAGCAAGCAGTTGAAATATACCTCATAACAGCAAGGAGAGTTATCCATCTTTCACTTACCTCCTCAGCAGCAATCCCGAACACAGTCCAACAGTGAAAGTCCCTTGTTTTCATGTCGATGCTCGACAAGAGCTACTAGTTCGGTCCCTTTGTGTTGACTGGCACGCTAACAGAACTGGCTGCACACACTTGTGAACTGCATGACAGATTTCTTACGTCATAAGGAACATGTCATCATTTCACTGGTCTTCGAGCTGCATGGTCAGGGAAAGTCCCGGTTCGTAGGCCTACAGCACGGTCAGCGCTAGCGTGTTCTTGAGCGCAGTAACAACATGAGTGTGATCACTTCCAGACCAACGGGCATTCAAGGCGAGGAACAAGCGCACGTGACGAAGGTGACTCTAAAATCTCGTGAGCCATGATCCACGCGACTTGGCATTCTTGCGTCACAACGTACGTGATTTCACAGTGCATCTTGTCGTAGAATTCAAGAATTGAGCTCAGGACTTCGCTTTTGCATCAACAGTCGCACAAAAAATTGTTGGTGGCACAGGGAGAAGCTTCAAGGTTCCCTTCAGATACTTTTTCAAGAGCTTTGCACAATCGATCTACACCCCAAAGGGATCCGACATACCTGCAAATTTTGGTGGAAATCGGAGAGATCCACTTGCACACATACTTCGGTATTCTCAGACATTAAATGTAGTTATGGGTGAAGACACTTCTCTCCACTGATTTTTTTCACGGTTCGCGTCAGACTCGGCCAGAGGCCGAGTTTTCCGCATCCGTAGGAACCCCACCACCCTTCAAAGGATCAAGGCGCAGATGCAGCTCCTAAAGCGGTGGGAGGTGAGTAGATCAGCTCACCAGCAAGTAGTCAAAGACCGAAAATCCCATTCACTCCATCCACTGATTCATTACCACTAAAAAGAGCAAGCGTTTGTAATGACCAATCATCATCGGATATGACCAAATTTCCGACTTCGACGCAAACAATACTGGCAAGTTTCCTTTTTGTTTGGTTGGGAGATCTTCTACATGCGTGCATGCCTTTTTCCCCGTGCTGGGGTCTGTGGGTACATGCTGGACGAAGTTGACAAAAAAACGGCAAAAGGCCGGGAGTTTTTGATATCGGGTGGGAGATCGGGAGATGTTTCGAAAATAAAAAATCGGGAGATCCCCTGGCTGGACGGGAGATTTGGCACCTCCGTCCTTAGTATATCTGATAGATTTCATTAGCCTAATATGCCAGTTGGGTCCAAATATTGGACAAAGTCGAAAATTTGACTAAAATTCGCAATGAAACAGCTGGGTACAACAGAGGATTCACAGCTTCCCACAACAAACTGCTCAGTGTAACCAGACCAACAATGGATGCACACCAGTCCAAGTGATCTTGTAATGCTCAGCCATGAAACTGGTAACTAGTGACTTGTTGCATTCCTCGCACGAATCAGACAGTCGCCGTCACCAGCAACAAGCTCAAAGCAATATCACAGCAGGCCCGGCAGCACCGGTCCGGTTAGTCAGTCCATGGCCGGACGGACCAACATTCTGGCCACCATAGTGTGTTGTTTACTGCTGAAGAGGTCATGTGTATAACCTTCATATCCTATACAAGGTAGGAAAGGCTAGGGCATGGCGAGACCAATCAATAACTGTGTCCACCGGTCCTGCCGTGACAGACAGATAATTCCTTCAGAAGATAGCTTACACTGGCACCACGCAGTGGCGTTCCACTTGCCCACGGTTCCGTTATGAGCAACACAAGCAAAGTTGGTTCCATACTTCGGTGTATAGCCTATGACACACGACAGCGTCACTTGCGCGCCGAGCTTCCGAGCATCTGCGTTTGTCAACAGTCCGTTGGAGACTTGCAGACGGGGACAGTAGTTGGACAATTCTGCAAACACATGCATTCACGCACACCCACAGCCGTACACACACACACATATGCACGCAAAGACACAAGGAAACACATTCACACGCATGCACGCACACACACACACACACACACACACACACACACACACACACACACACACACACACACACACACACACACACACACACACACACACACACACACACACACACACACACACACACACACACTTGTCGTGGGTTTTTTAGTTGTGAATGAGTGTGACCCTGATACATGTATGTGTGTGTGCATGAGTGATGCCGACCTCGTTGAGTCGGTGACGGTTCCGTCAGGTACGATCCCTGAGATTGTGGTTATGTAGGAGTTGCATTTTGATAGAAAGTATCTTTTTTGCAATAAAAGAGTATTTATTTGTAGAGCCCCCAAGATGGGCAGTTAGTTTCATTTTTTCTCTCCTTGCGTATTTTGTATCTGCATGTTATTACCCTTGCCGTGAGTCGCTCGTGAGTAATGTACTTCCTCTGGAAACAAAAACTTCGTGACTTTTTTCACTACTTTTCGCTGCTGTAATTTTGCGCTCTCTCTCTCTGGTTCTGTCAGCCTGAAACACGGACATAACATTTCGGAATCGTAGGAGAGCATGATTCATAATTATTTTGGAGAACCGACAGTCGTCGCAGAACAAGGGCTTTGACGCGGCAAACAAAGCAAAGCGAACATGTTTTTCATTTTTCGTCCGTCAGGCGCAATGGGAAGAAAAGCACTGCGCTCACTGCTCGTCGTAGCTATTTTTCAGTTCAGAACTTGACAGAGCAGGACAATGGCACCCAGGAGCAAGAAGAGTGGAAAATGTATAGCATTAGCAGCTGGCGTTTTTGAAATCTTCGCCATCCCCGAACCGCAAGTCTGCATGCGAACAGTTCGGCAAGATGTCAAAACTCCAAACGCAGAGATGTGACAATCGTCACTTGGCGCAGCAGAGCAAGATTAACAAGTTGAAAGTAGAAGTCGTTCAGCCACAGCAGACCTCAGATTTCAAAGTGGATGATCTCGCCTTTTCCAGCAGCCTCGGCGATGTGTTCTTGGTCGCAAAGGAGAAGGTGAGATCTGATCGCGTCGGGAAGTGCTGATACGACTATGGTATCACTCGGAGGAAATTTGAAATGTTTGGCGTTGCCTGTGTTTGTTGTTCCGGGGCATCCTCGAGCGAGAGCGGAGACAATAATGAGTACCAGCGCTGCAGCGCTACCGTGGTCTCCGCCGAGATGGTGGAGAAGGCATCAGGTAACAGCGAAGACTATCAGGGACGCAGATGTTGTCCCTGCCCTTTTGGAGGGTTCGTGCCCCTTTTGGCACGTGTGTGCGGACCGCGCGCGGACTGGGCGGATTGCGCATGCTTGCATAATTATTGTACGCATTTTTGTTGTTTTGGGCCTTCTTCCTGAGACTCTCCTCGAAGTAAGAACGACAAATATCAGCCCTCTGTTTGTGGTACATGTGAGAGAGTAATCAGAAGGGCTATCGTCGGGACATAAAACCCCCCGACGACAATTGGCGCCCAGCTAGTGGCATCGTTCCCCACGACCCTGAGATCGTCCTGTCGTCCGCGGCCTTTCCGGTTTATTTTTTCATCACCTGCCTCCTGCTTTCTTTGGCGATCCCCATGTCCCGGCAAGTCTCCTTCGCACGTCCAAGCTGGCCGCCAGCGAGGCTTCTCCGTGACATACAACATCGCGTCAATCGACCTGCCACTTGGAACGGTTTCAGCTGTGATGAGTCGAGCGATGGCGACCCAGACTGAGACTTTACTCCCACTAATCTATCCTGTAGATATTGTAGATATGTCGATTGAAAGTGTTGAAGTGTTTCTCTTCCAAAAGAACACTTTTGTTGAGCACAGGTACTCCTTGAAAAGTCATGTGAAAAAGTCATGAAGTTTTTGTTTCCAGAGGAAGTACGAGTCGTGTATGGCTAAACCCGTATGTCCCCACTTTACCCGTATGACTGTCTGTTGTGAACTGTGATTGGCTGCTAGTATTAATGTTCCAGAATGTTCCAGAGCTGTGAACTGTGATTGGTTAATTATGCTAATGTTTCTAGAATTTCGTCGGCGACCGGTTTTCGTAGATTGCTGATTGGTTAATGACCTAAAACATGGCTGCCGGTTGCCGGACTTTTGTTCCCTTGCTTTTTTCTTTCTTGTTGCCTTTCGATTCTCTTTGCATTCCAAGTTTTGTATAATATTTCTTTCCTGATAACTACTGGTAAACTACGACGTGAGTGTTTAACTGGAGTGAGTCTGATTGCCTCCGGGGCCAGCTATTACATTGGTGGCAGCGGTGAACTGTTTGTGTGTATTTTCGTAGTGTTACCGTAGTTAGTGCATTTACCTGTCCAGATGGCACAGCCTCAGGAAGCAGCAGCAGCAGCTCCGGCCCTACCGGCGGGTTTGGGACGCCCAGTAGTACTAACACCGGAGTTCACCGGAACCAGCAGCGATGACTGGTTGACGTTCTTGGGCCAATTTAACGTCGCCTGTCAGGCAAACGGCTACGACGATGTCCAATGTCTGGCTTTCCTGCCCTGTCGTCGCCACGAGGGGGCGTTTCATGTTTACCAGACGTTCCGGGCCCAACATCCGAATGATACGATGAGCTGTGCGATCGCCTCACTGCCTACTTCAACCCTCCGCAGCATCGCCCGTTGTTCGAGGCCGAGTTTCGGGCAAGAACTAAGAAAACGACTGAGAGCCCGGTGGAATTTGCGTCTGCGTTGCAGAAATTGGCGTCAAGGGCCTATCCAAGCCAGGAAAATACTGACCTCTTCTGTGGGTCACTCTGCTGCTACTAGTACGCCATCGGAAGTACACGGCCTTTCTAGTAAGCACTCTGTGTCGAAGAAACAGCAGAGAAAGTTCACGTTGTCAGGTCAATCAGACGGTACACGTAAATCTGTGAGTGTGGCTGGTTCTGTCTGTGCTTCTGCTTCCACTTCTACTGAGCGTTCGTGCTTTAGCTGTGGCAGAGCAGGTCACTTCAGTCGTGATCCAAGGCTGCCAACGCTGAGCTGAAGGTCGAGCTGTTACGTCACTACACATCAGTACTAGCAAGAGTACATATATTATGACTCCAAGTCTACCAGTGTTATATCCGGAGCAGGCTTGCTTCTTTTCATGAAGGCCGCCTACGCTGAGCTGAAGGCAGAGCTGAACAGCACTGTCCCCATGTACATTGGACCCCCCCCCCCCCCCTCACCCACTCCTCCACCTCCACCCCACCTAAATAATAAGCATGTCTCCCTCCACCCTGGACATTGAACTCCTTCTCACCTAGACACTGAATATCCCTCTCCTCTTCTGAACATTAGACATCTGCAGCTGTATCCAGACTTCCCTACTGTGTAAAATGATCTGCTACACGGTCGTTTATCAGAGTGCGTGCACCGTCCATTAGCACAGGTGGTTTTGTCAAAAAGCAAGATGACATTGGCATCCGGCCCTATTTTTCCAATGTTCGGAGGTGAAGTCCAGAGAGCAGCGCTATGGCGCTGTACAACCTCTGGGCCATGCCACTGCCGCCTCCCCGACTTCAGCCCCTCCTCCCCCCCCCCCCCCCGGACTTCAGCCCCTCCTCCCCCCCCCCCCCCCCCCCGGGACTGTAGCCTCCCCAACTGTAGTCCCGACATAATGGCCTTTTTGTTATTATGCATGTAGTTGTACTGTTCAAGCCCTCCTTTTCTCTCTCCTGCTCTCTCTCTCTTTCCCTCTCTCCCTCCCTCCCTCCCTTTCTCCCTCTCTCCCTCCCTCTCCCCCTCCCTCCCTCCCCCTCTCTCTTTCCCTCCATTCCCACCTCCCTCCTTCCCTACCTACGAATGTGTACATTATAATGGATCATGCGCATGCGTGCCGTGGCGCAACCTGCACAGTCCGCACGCGGTCTGTATGGACACAGTCCCAAAAGGGGACATCACAAAATACACACACCAAAAGGGAATCTCGTAGATGCCACTTGCTTGATCTTTGAACTCGAAAAGACGACCATGGAGCGAGAAAGCAGCTGGTGGAACCGCCACATCAATCTGTCTGTCTGTCGGTCCGTCTGTCTTTTTCTCTCTCTTTGCTGCACTCTGTCTTTGTCTGTCAGGCATTGTCTCCACTGGCCGTAGATCTCTAACTTAATGCTGTTCAAGTGAACCATGTGCGATCACTCGACTTATTGCACGAACTACAGACCTGGAAAAATGTTTTTTTTCGTCCTGGTTGTTTGTTCCTTGTTTTTATTTTACATCACCAGATACACAGGCATTTCTGCATTCTCGTTTTAACTATACGGCTACACTTAACCCTTTATTACCGGATTACTTGCACAGCATGCACAAAAATTACGAATTTCAGCACAATTTCCAACTTCACCAGGTCATAACTTTGGTCTCCTTCACTTGATTTTCACAATCTAGGGCTCGTTGGAAAGCTCTTGGCGAGAGCAACGCCAGGGTACCAAGCTCCATTATCCAGTCGCCACAAATCAGGCGCGGTAACACAGCAAAGACGTCTCCAAGCCTGATATGCAAGCAAATTCGTCACATCAATGCCATTCCACTCTCCTTCATCGCAGAACGCTCAAATTTGTTTGAGACGATTCAAACTTCAGCCGACTACGTCATTATCATGTGCTTAGTCTAGTCGCTCAAAGAGCACACGAAAAGGGATTTCCCCCAAAAATGGCGAAGTGATCGATCAAAAATTTGAATTTGCCGAGATGAGAATACGGCGCGCGATATCTCTGGCATCCGACATCGTAACTCTTCGGCGATTGTTGCATTGGATAGCTTGGAGTTTCCGCTACCAAATAGACCTTTCGATTGTTGAATTCGCACAAGAAATGATGGAGTTACGAAGATATTACTGGCCTACAGACTTTCGATCATATATGATCAAAAGTCTGCAGGCCGGTAATAAAGGGTTAATAAAAGATGAAGGCATGGATCTTTTACAGGAGACGCGTAAACAGTAGAAATTGGAACTTACTTATGCATCCTGCGGCAGGGCTCCACTCGCCCGCCCGCGACACTTTCGTGATGCACTGCAACCGGTATGCATCTGCTGCATCGTAACCATAGTCACAGACCAGCGTGGCCACCGAGCCTCTGTGCAGCGTCGTGGCGTACGTCACATGACCATTGGGAATGGCGCCGTGGCGAGTGCAGTAGTTGTTATCAACTGTACATGCATGCATGCATGCGTGTGTGTGTGTGTGTGTGTGTGGAAAGAAGACGATTGCACAGAAGAACAATACATATGCCTTTAAAACTAAGCCTTGCTCATTATAATCATAACACAACGGGCTTCAACCATTACCTCAGGACCATTTAACACACTCTGGAGAAGACGTGAATGGTTACATTGAGAATGAAACATTTATCGGTTACTGCATTCCAGTACTCTGGCCCAGAGAACTGCGATAATGGGCATTTGTACTATGTTAACAAAGTCTTTAAAAAAGTTATTTTTACTTTTTTATTTTGTGTTCCAATTGATTTAAAAGCTTTTAAATTGATTTTGTATTTCAAAGTAGTTTATTGAATTTGAATTTGTTTGATGATATGCAATTCATTTTAACAACTACAGTCCGTATCGCCTATAAGGTTGGCGGCTATAGTAATATACCAGATATATTGATCAATTTCTCAAATTCATTTTCATTTGCCATAACTAAGTATACACAGTTATCGCGTATAGTAATAATCGTCTATAGTAATATATCGCCTATAGTGATCAAACTCATATTTCAAAAGACCTTTATTACATTATTTTTGCATCGGTTATAGTGATTGATGTCAAATCAAGTGATGTCAGAGGAGAACAGGGTGTTACTTCTTCGTGAAGAACGTGTCAAGTGAGTGTTGTTTGGTGAGTTTTGCTCGTACAAGTTGCCAAAATATGCCTCCATCATGAGGAAATGCTGATTTTGTGTATCAGGAGCTACAGCCAGCTACCAGCTACCAGCCAGGTACAGCCAGCTACATGACATTGTACATGTATGTAGTGCGTATGTGCACGGCGTGCTGAGTCGTTTGACACCCCACTCGCATACATTGTATGCAGTATCGGTCATAGTAATATATCGCTTATAGTGATAAAATGCTCAAAATCAAACACCAACGCTATAGGCGTTACTGACTGTATGTTCAAGTCTTCCAGCCGATAAGCTGCTCTGGAGCAGGCGCCCAGCACGCGTAGTCTGGTGGTGCTTTGTCAGTGCATTGCATGCCCAGAGAAACCTGAAGAAATTACGCTGGTTGTATATGTGCTCATATTATCACCACAATGTCAAAGTCCAAAAATGATTTATGGCAAGGAAAGTCTTCATCCGATTATCCCGTCTTCCTTGTTACGTGTCTGGCCGTTTGCTTCAGTGAGTTATCTCTACTCAGACATGACTAGCACTCCACTTGCATCACATTGGAACTTGCAGTCTGTTCGTGCCTGATGGTTGAACTTGTGAACAAGATCGACATTGTTTGAATTTGTTGTGTACTTTGTCTTTGCTATTTTCGTTCTGTCTATTCTCTCACCTTTCTTCTCTCTCACGTCTTCTGTAGAACTGCTTTCCAGTCTGTCTCTCTCTTCTCTCTACTCTTCATCATAAGAACGTTTCTCTTCTCCATTTCTTCGTTCTTGTACTTCTCTAAACTTCTCTACTCTCCTTTCTCTTCGTTTGAATTTCCTTGAACATGACGTGAACATGTGTTTTTTGCGCTTTGAACAGTCTTGATTTTCTTTTATGTTTTTTTGCCAAATGTACAGTGAACTGTGCGCTGTGTGTGTACAATGCTGCGCGGCTAGCGATGCGCTTTCTTTGGTACAGGCTTTTCTGTTGTGTCCGTGATTCTATGGCTTTCGCTTTCTTGCAGTTTTCACCGCTTCGCTGCAATAGTTGCTGTTTCCTTGAAGGCGAACTGCGATGCCTCCATTTCCGTAGATGGTCTTGGTGCGCGAGGCGCTGAGCGGACCTCGTGGCTTTTGGTTTAGTTTCTTTTTCAGAGTTTTTCAGTTTTCAGAGTTGTTGTTGTTTGTGAATACACTTTATACAGTCTTCAAGCGAGCAGTAGTTTTCGATGTGTGGTCGTGACTTGGGTTGTCCGTATTGCCCTGAACACAGTCAGTTTCAGACCCACAGTGCTGTTCAATGGAATCTTATCACCGGTGGCAAGTTTTGGATTTGCACCAATTCGCAGATCAGTGTTCACAGGGTTAGGAATGCGCGACGCCCTTTTGTACTTGAGTGACTCGTTCGGATTTCATTGAGAATATTATTTAATGCATTTCAACAATGCTTCCAGCGTCAGACCATAAACAGCATAGATACATGGTGCCCAGGGCCTGCTGGAGAGCCGGGTCAGCCGGGCCACGCGCCCGGCTGGGGAACTGCACGACCTAGCTGAATAGATAGATAACACCGGGTCCAGTCTGACCCGGCTGAAAAATGTCTCAAACTGACAATGGATTCCGAAAATACCGGTATTTTACGACTCGCGGACCCCATCTGTTGCAAATCTAGCGCAACCGTACACACTACAGTCTACGTGCAAGCGACAAAAACTCGGCTATGTAGGGTCAACTGGGGTCAACTGGTTCGAGCGCGATCTGGCCAGCGGCGAGCAGGAAGTCAGGACATTCAAAGTCGATGTTGCAGGCAGTCAAAGCGTAACTTTGGCTATAGCTTTTGACACAGTTGCAAGTCTTCAGCCGACTGGTGATTTGGACGATGGAGCCCGCAGCGAAGAGAAAAAGAACTCACGCTTTCCATGAAGAAAGGTCGACCCTGGCGGGACTACGACCATACCAGTCTATCCATGTCATGGGCTTTGTGCAAGACGCATTTCCAAAGGAAGAAGAGCGGCGGTGGATTTGGTCGCGATGCGTGGTTGAAAGGTAAGAACTTACTGCTTCGAATTATTGGCATGCTGCTCGGCTCCATCCTAGCTTTCGACATCTGCTCAAGTAATCGTTTAGTCTCACCTACCCGAACCTCCGGGCCTTGAAAGGCGTCCAGCAGATGCTCGAGATTCTCGCCGGACAACATGCTGGAGACAACCCGCGCATTGCTGACTGGGGATTGGCTGTTTGCCTGTCCACTGCTGAATGCGAGCGAGACCTCAGCTTGCTGAAGCTTGTGAAGACGGCGATGCGGAACTCGCCGTCGACGAGGACTCTGGAGATGATCATGGCAATCAAGCTCGACGTTCCTGCCGTCGCCGACTTCAACTACGACAAGGCTATGGCTGCATGGCAATCCGAGGTGACTCGGCGCACTACGACTGCAACGTCAACCTCGTCTGAACGGAGGGACCTGGCCCGCACACCCAGAGCAGCAGCGGCAGCAGCAACGCCAGCATCAGCAGCAGCAGCAACGCCAGCAGCAGCAACAGCGCCACCAGCAACAGCAGCCGCGCCAGCAGCAGCACCAGCGCCAGCAGCAGCAGCGCCAGCAGCAGCAGCAGCGCCAGCAGCAGCAGCAGTTGCAACTCCACAAGTTCTTCAGTCTGCTGAAGCTGTAGTAGACGGACTTTCTACCGTATAGTACGTATTTTGTGTACGTCGCGTGTACAATCATGTTTGCGCATGCGCGTGTTGCTGTAGTGTAAAAAGTAGTCTTCGTCTTGAGTTCGTCTTGTCTAGTTGTGTTTCGTCGTCGTGTCAATAAAGTCTTCTAAATGTAGTTATCGTCGTCCCTTGGAATAAGTGTGGAGATGGCACGGGACTGGGAGCAGGTGGAGAAAGGCCAGTTATTACATTGGTGGCAGCGGTGGGATTCGAACCCACGCCTCCGGAGAGACTGGAGCCTTTCGGCAGATGGTGCAGCAGATGCCAGTCGGCTTGGCCATGCAGGTGATGCAGTGGCAGCAAGCAGCCACTCCACAAGGTGCTGCAGCCCCCCCCCCCCCCCCCAGTGCTCTATTATGTGAACATGTTCGTCCTGCTACTAGCACTAATTAGAAAACAGAATTCCTTTTTTCAAATTGTTAAATCAGAATCCAATGGAACTGCTTTGCATTCGTCACGTAATGTCATTTACCTTCTACGTTTGTGGACTTTGATAGTTCGCCTTGTTCTCTAAAATTTCCGATTTTAGGTAATAAATTCGCCTTTCTGTTTTCCTGCGTTTTGAGCAGGCTTTTTGGTTGTTTTCCTGCCGGATGATCTGACCTGGCTTGACCCGGCTGGCATGCATGCACCAGGTACACTCTGACCGGGCTGTGTTGAATGTCTAGAGCAGGCCCTGGGGTGCCAGCAGCACTTTTTCAAACTGGGCCAAAAAATTCACGGTTCACGTCGGACTCGGCTAGAGAGGCCGAGTTTTCCACATCCGTAGGAACGCCACCACCCTTCAAAGATCAAGGCGCAGATGCAGCTCCTAAAGCGGTGGGAGGTGAGTAGATCAGCTCACCAGCAAGTGGTCAAAGACCAAAAATCCCATTCACTGCATCCATGTTTTCCTCTGCTGAACTGGGCAAAGATTAATTATTAGTTACTGTAACTTAGACATAAGGGAAAGAGGGGCGTGTACCTGTGTACCTGCTGGGGAGTTTCATGTCATAGAAACTTGCCGGGGCGGCACACCTCAGACCTCAGACCTGCCCATCGCGGAAGCGATGATAGCGAACAGCTATGTTAGACATAGCAACTTGTGCTGGGATTACACCATTCAACAGCTTGCAAGACTGATGAATTGACCGCCACTATTTTTAGCCTGGTATCCACCACACAGCTGATTGAAGTGACTTTTTCTGTCCAGTGAATCCCTATTTTTCATTTTTCCATTTTTTTTCTACACACACACGCCACACCACATACTCCGGCATACACTGGCTGTTGGTAACCACCCAGGAGAATGAAAGAAAAGTCAGGAAGAGTCCGAGAAAGAGAGGAAAGACGTGTTCGATCATAATCATCGGAAATTGAACCCGCAACCTCTCGATTGGAAATCGACTGCACATACCACTGCACCATATGGGACACACGGGGCGGACACACACACACACACACACACACACACACACACACACGAACACACACACACACACACACACACACACACACACGAACACACACACACACACACACACACACACACACAAACACACACACACACACGAACACACACACGAACACACACACACACACACACACATGGGCATGCTGTCCTAGAAACTTGCCGGGAGATACGTACCAATGCACTTAGCTGTTGCGTTCCACCGGCCTTGGCTTACCACGTCCAGCAAGCAGATGAAATAGACACCGGCCAATGGTATGTAGCCTTCATCACAGGTGATCTTAGCTGTGGTGCCGAGCTTACGATTGTCATAGTACACAATTTGACCGTTGGTGATTGTCCATATCGGACAGTAGTCGGTTGATTCTGAAAAACACGATGGAAGCAAAAAATAAACTGGGACGGGGAAGAATTGTGCTGCGTGGAATACGGAGTGAGTGTCCTGTGCTAACAGACGTGGTGATGCATGTGTCAACCACTTTATACGCCATACGGGTAAACAGCACCAATACTCGCTGCAACTGGGTGCTCGCTACTCAGAGAGCGGCTAACGAGGTTTCGCCATCTTGTCGGTCTCTGATTGTGAGACTTGCTCGGCTTCACTCTCGCCACTGGGCACTGCATATGCCACCTTGGTATCTCAGGCTTGGTAGTGTCCTGGCACGAGCAAGACTTTCTTAGTTGGTTGTGTTTGAATAAATAGAAAAGTAAAGTTCACACGTTCTCGTTACCATCGGCATTACAATTGTTTGGAAGAACATAACCAGCTTAGGAAGTTTCACTTGTGCCAGGCCACCACCATGTCTGGTATACCAAAGTGGCAGATGTGTTTGAATATCCTGTTGTATAGCGGAGTTGCAAACTGTACTCTCTTTAACCCTTTGAGGACTACCCCAAAACCACCTGGATTCCTACCATTTTCAGGCGAAAAATCGGTATTTTCAAAAATTGATCTAGGGCATGTTCGATTGTACGAATCCGTGAGCCCCGGAACCGGATTCGCCAAATTTGTACACGTTCGATTGTACGAATCCGGATCCCGAGAGCACGGATTCGGATCCAGCCAACCCACCTCCCAGAGACGGATTCGACGGATTCATTTCCATGGTACGACTCATATCTACTCACAACTCCCAATATGCGTACACTAGGTCAAGAGTTCGCCACAATGCATACAGATATTACGGCATGAGCTGTAGCAACGAGGTTGCTAAGGCCCTGAAACGGATTATCGGTTGTGCACATTCGATTGTATCCGTCCAATCGAAGTGATCTGATCGGCGGGGATCGGGATCCAATTTCTACAATCAAATGCAGCCCCAGTGTCATAAAATTTGGTTCTAAAGAGACATAGACATCAGTAGGCAACAAAAACCAAAGTTTCTACATCATATATGCATTATAGAGATCAGAATGGTCAATTCAAAATAGGTGTATGTTGCGATTTTCTCCAAAAATTGATATGTGTAGATATAGAACTTAGCCAACATCGACCTCGCTGTCATCCTCAGAAAAGTACAAAAGGATCATTCATCCTCACTATCGCTGCTCATAAAGATAATGCCGAGGGCCTCAGACAAGGAGACACTTGACAGGTTACGTGCCATCGGCACTCTCAACAAAGTAACAAGTTAGTTTCAAATTCCAAATAATTTCTCGATCGGCGCATTCTCTAAGTATAATCTAATGTGGCCGGTTCTCCACGGGACCGACGCAGATCGACTGCGACATGTCTCACCTTGACGAAGAATCAGATCGTACTCGTCTGAGCAACATATGAGCAACTTCAAGCACCTAAAACTCAACATCCCAATTTTTTTTCAAAAACGGATATACTCGTCTTTAGGAATCCAGCTATACCTTAAAAAACGGATATATTCGTCCTTCGTCCTCAAAGGGTTAATACAACTATCAAGGTAATGTTAACAGTGTCATGACCTGGATCAGACTCGTCGTGAAAGCGACCATGCATTGAGTTCAGCAGCCAAAAGCTGGGCTCCGAAATATCCTAGAGTTCTGTAAGAACCATGATTAGTCCCGCGAAGGATTTGGCACTTTCGTTAGTTGAGCAATCATGGCTTACAACTCGTGGCCTCGAGTCACAAGTGTTGTCGTACGGCGGCTACACCTTCAGTACAAGTCGTCAGCATTGTACTCACTACACTGTTGAGCTTGAGGGGACCCTGCTTAGTCCTGCAAGGGAGCTGATACCTTTGTTAGTCGAGCAAGCATGGCACCTCTTCTCGCGTCGTACGACGTAAAGGGTCCTGCAAGTGCTTCGCGCACTGCGGACTCCATTATCCCTTTTTGGGAGAGGTCACGGCTTGACCGTGAAGCACCCTACGGGGTAATGAGAGGGAAGAGCCTACGGGGCAGGAGATGAAGGGTGACCAACGACCAAGGCAGCGTACGGAGGCGGCGTGCTCTAGCTGCAGCAACTTCCGACAGCATACTCCAGGCCCCGTCGCACGAAGAGCCTCGGAGTCCTTTCATGTAATGTGGGTGAGCGAGCTCCCCGTATTGATTGATCATTCTTTGTACTATATTCTAGTTTGGCTGATTGCACATATTGCACCACTGTTTGTAATATAGAAATAATCCTTACGCATTCTTGCCACTGTATACTTTTGATCACATAATGTAGCATATATAAGGAGCTGTTTTGCTAACATTCATCCTCGATTCTCGGGGAGCTCACTACTCCTCTCGATTCTCGGGGAGCTCACTACTCCTCTCGATTCGGAGAGAGTCACTCCGACTCTCTCCTGCTTTGGTCTTTTGACTCTACACACTTGATCTTTCGATCTAGTACTGCAATAGACATCCTTAGCAAAAGTACGATAACGCTAACTTTTACGGTACTCACTCCCAGCCGTGACAAAAGACGCTATCGGATAACGGAAAAACGTTACAGAGCTCAAAATAACGGGCCGACGTTCGTTATGGAAATTCTGCAAAAAATGCAAAAACTCGCATTGTTTTGTAACTGGCGGGAGATAAAAAGCACGTCGTGCAGATCGAGATGAGATCGAGAGTCGAGATTGCTTCCTCTTGTGACATTTAGCTTTTTTGGCGAGTTTTGCCTTTCAGTTGACAATTTCTGCGTTTTCTGCTTCGTGCCTTTCTCCCTCCATCCCATCTGGGAAACAAAGGACCAGTTCCACGGCAGTCCTGAGGAAGAAATTCATCGGCCTCTCCCAGACGTGCTGGAGCTGGAGAACCCTTACAGTCTTCTGTGCTGCGTTTAGGAAAGGGTTTCCAAGGACCTGGGAACAGCGAAAACTCATTTTCGCCGTGCTTTTGCTATTCCAGAGTAAAAGAGTAAAAGACCTCGCCAAGGTATTCTTTCGGAACGACAGCAAACTAATCCCTGGTTCAAAATTTTGAATTTCCCGTATCTGTTTCCACGAAAATTCATTTCGCCATGGTTGTCACGACTACTTCGTCTCAACTATAACGTACTTTGTGCTAAGGGAAAAGTCAGCTTGAACGATCCGAAGTACGGAAAGGTTTGCGTTTACGTTAGCGTTTTTTTAGCTAAGGATATCTAATGGTTCAAATAAACACTGTTCAAGTGGAATTAGAAACCTGTCGTTCTATGTGAGCTAGCAACTTGGATGGCGACTATATTGGTCGTCTACCTGGGTAGCCACTAGACTGATCCAGCCTAGTCACAAACCCGCCGAAGCGCGGCCATGACAACAGCACACTTTGTTCTGCTCACAGCAGTTCTACATTATTGTCCCCAAAATCAATGAAGCAAACAATATCCAGCAATGTTCATTTTCAGGCAGGTGCTGCAAATTCAAAGCAAACACCATAGTAGTATTGACTGCAGTGTTTCCACAAGCTATACTCTTGTAGTGCCACCCAGCTAATGAAGGCAAAGCTTTCACTGGTAGCAGCCTTTCACACACGGGGAATTTGCCTGAAAGCATTGGGCAGGATAGTAATGGAGTCAGGTGCGTAGCCCGCATGGGGGACCGGGAGGGGGGGGGGGGCAAGTGTACCCCTCCCCCCAAAAATTCGACCTAGGTTCAGCATGCATATAATGACCTTGATGACATGCACCAGGCATCCTAGGCTAGACGTATGATACAGCTGCTGTGCACCTCACCCCCCCCCCCCCCCCCAAGAGGGGAACCAGCAACACCCCTGGGAATACACACCACAAGAAAGACCCTGTGTACTTACTGCGACATTCGGCAGTGCCATACCAACGGCCCGTGGATTCGGTAGCGGCATGGCACGTGTACGTTGGCGCAGCGTTTGAAGTGTAGCCGACGTCACAGTGCAGAATCTCGGAGTGCCCAACCTTGCCGCCATGCTGTGCAGTCATGCGGCCGTTAGAGAACTGCAGGTTTGTGCAGTATGACGTGATGACTAGAAGAGAGAAGAAAGTGCACAAGTAAAGAGTTTTTTTGCAAAATGCTGTATATCCACTTCATTACGCTTGGATAATAAGCCGTATGCACATTGCACAGATGCACGAAATCCCATAGAATCTCGTCCAAGTACGATTCGTAGCCGCCAAGACGAGAATGACAGTGCTCAAGGCCACCAGCATTCCGTATCCGGAATTGATGGCAGCAGTGATCGCAATCGAATTGGCAACCTCAGTGACATCAGCGTTGCAGTTGAGTATGGACAAGGTGGTCTTCTGGTCAGACATCAAGGAAGTGATCTCCTGGATTCAAAATGCCAGTCGAAAGTTCAAGCCATTCGTTGCCCATCGTGTTGGACAAATTCAGACGGCTACGCTACCTTAGCAGTGGCGGCCTGTACCGACAGCGAGCAACCCACCGGATCTCGCGTCACGTGGCGCTACTGTATCAGCGTTAGTCAAGAGTTCCTTGTGGCGGGAAGGTCCGTAATTTCTATGCAGTGACTCAGCCGAACGGCCGACGTTGCCAGCAGGTCCACCGACAGCCCCGAGCGCTGAAGAATTTAAGCGCAGCGAAGCCGATGCAGTGAGCTTCGTAGCTGCTGCCCAGCCGCAAGGATTTCGCCTGAAGCCCGAGCGATATTCTGATTGGTTGCGTCTCGTGTGAGTGACAGCGTGGGTCATGCGCTTCATTGGCAACTCCGCGTGCGTGTCGCCGAGGTACTGGTGGGTGGCAAGCGCTACACTCGCCCAATTACTAAGCTGTGCCCACTGGAGTTCTGAGCAGTGTTGATCCGTGGTCTGATCAAGAGGGGTAGAATGTTCGAAAGACAGTATGCAGTGGTGTGCGTTCGGTGTGTTTTCTGTGTGTTCTCTGTGCGTTCCCTGTGCCATCTGTGTGTTCTTCATGTGCTGTGCAGAAGACTCCAGATATTGTAGAATTTACGAGTGTCACAATTATTTATCTACTGTGTTTGTTCTATATTTTACTACAAGCGAGGGTCCCTGGTTCGAGTCCTGGTGGTGACAGTCAATTTTTTCTTCAGACTTTTCCCGTTTGTCTCTTTCCCTCAAACCAGTTAATATTTTATGACTTGGGGCTCCCCGCGTGCTAGTTTGTACGTGAAGTGTGTGGGTTACAGTGAGGGCTGCGTCCCACCCGCCTGTGTGGATTCACAGGAAGTGTGAGTTACGAAGTCTGAAGAAAATGTTGAAGGGCCTCTGCTGGGATGACGACTACACCATAGCTCAGTGGTTAGAGCATCGCTGGCTACAAGCGAGGGTCCCTGGTTCGAGTCCTGGTGGTGACAGTCAATTTTTTCTTCAGACTTTTCCCGTTTGTCTCTTTCCCTCAAACCAGTTAATGTTCTATATTTTGTTGGAACTACTGAATCCTTCGTTCTTCAGAGAGCACATTCAAAGCGTTTACTAGGAGTTAGTCACTAGTACACCACTGATTGTTACAAGCAGTTTACAGGTTACAAAACAGCTGGTGTTGTTTCTAAGTTGATTATCTCGAATTTGAATTGTTACTTATCATTGCACTCCTTCAGAAAGTCCGTTCTGCAGCTCTAGTCCGTCCTAGTGTAGGTTCTGCTCTGACAAGGCTTGCCTTCACCCTGTGGGCGCTACCACTCTCTGACATGACGTGGTTGAAATTGCTTTGAGTTCCTATCAGCACAGACCTTCGTTTTCCTTGTTCTTTGAAACTTCCTTTGGACTTCTACTTCGAATTTCACTGTTCGAATTATTATCTGATTTTTATTGATTTTCCGTTATTTTGTGCACTGCGTGCCAGTACAGCTTGTGTCTCGTCATAGCAGCGTGACATCATGGTTTTTCCCATATGCATGCACGTGATCTACGCATTTCTTCTTTGGAGCGCTGTGACACATCGCTTTGCGTGCGCCAGTGTCTTCGTTGTTGTGAGTTCTTGAGAAGACGAGCAAGTTGTCGTGTCGGTTTTGTCTGATGTGCGGTGGAAAACGTCTCCACGCGTACAGACTATGTACAAAAAGCGTTTCATTTCATGCGTAGTTTGTACAGGTCCGCCGTCGTTATAACGAGTTCGGTTAGTACATTAACCCCGTTAATAAATAGAAATCTGAAATCCACTGGCAAAACGTGGTCTATACAACTGTTTACAGGTCAGGTTACAACATAATTCGTTAGTACATAAAATCCGTTATAACGACCTTTTGCCTAGGTTCCTGGAGTGCCAAACCCTCAGTATAAGATATTTTCACTCCCTTAGTATTGACTCCCATAGATTTTTGCTACACCTAAGCAGTAAAATATTCCTGCATATTTCACTCCTTATTAGGGCTATATTGACTGCTTATATTTGACTCCTTTTTAGCGATTGAACACAGGCTTTGGCTAGTCGTGATAAATCTAATATTGACTTCACACTTGGTCAGTATAGGAAATAAAACCCTCGTAAAAGACCCTGGCTTCGCCTCGGTCTTTTACTCGGCTTTTATTTCCTGTATTGACCTCGTACTCAGTCAATACTAGATACATATTGACCATTCAGGACCAAGGCCAAAACACATGGCAGAAAACAGAAAGACACAACTTATAATATCAATGTAGTCGTAGATATGGACCATCTTTTGCATCCAAGGGAGAGCTACATTGGAGATTTTCAATTATCTTATAACGAGTTGAAGCGTCGACGATTTATCTTGTATCGAGGGTAGCCAAGGTAAGTGCGAATTAGTGCCTATTTCACCTTTAGCTGTAAGTCCTGTTACAAGATAAGTCTCGTTATAAGACATCGCCCATTATCACATTACCACAAGATATCGCCCATTAACACATTCTCTTTAATGATAGCTTGCATGCCGTCCTACCGGTAGGACCCAAGAAATCGCGTTGCAAAAGTGCTTTTGGTTGAGAAATTTCTTGATACAATTGTTGAGATGAGGTCTTTGTCAGGCAAAGTAATGGAGCAAATGCAAGACTATGTCCAGTGCATTGCATACGCGCAATTTTATCAATTGTCAAAATGGCCGCACATACTCCTGTCGGAGCGCTAGCAACTCTTTCCAAAGTGAATTTTGACCATGGCACATCAATAGTGGCGAGGTACTAATGTTTTTATTAGTCTGCCAAGGCAGTGGAATGCATAATTCCATACACCGTTTCCATGGTTACCATTTGCTGTTACCATGAAATTGCGTACTATGCCTTGTGCAATCACGTCTAAAATTTGTGGACTCCTTCATTAGCCCCTGAGCGACAGTTTAGGGTCAATTTTTAGGTCAATGTTAGAACAGAGGCCATGCAGCATGTCTGTGTATGATGGTCCTACTGGTAGGTCCTACCGGTAGGACTGAGGTCTATGCGAACTATCATTAAAGGGGAACTGTCACCAAAAACATTCTTTGTCTTATCTTGTAGTTCCTTGGCTCCTGATCACGATGGTGTTATTCGTTTTTCTCTGTGATGGCTGGAAGTGGGTGAAGTGTCTTATCTTGTAGTTCCTTGGCTCCTGATCACGATGGTGTTATTCGTTTTTCTCTGTGATGGCTGGAAGTGGGTGAAAACTTGAAAAGAAGGTGCCCAAAATTGTCCCGAAGTACCGAGTGACGTCACGCTGGACTTGACCTCCACGCGTACATTCGTCGTCAAAAACGAAGTTCAGCCCGTGTGCTGGTTGATCGAGCTAGCTGTTCCGATGTACGGTGCACGTGTGCCTTTTGGACTTTAACACAGATGGGTATGTCGTACCGAAGGAGAATGCCAAAGAGGCAAAAACCCACGTGCAGCTACACAGCCAAATCAAAAAAAAAAGCAGCTGAGCTTTCACCTTTTTGACTTCTTCCGCGAGGATCTAAGTTCTATTTTGTGAGCACGGAAGTATGTCGTTGTTTTGAACTTTTCGTGTGAGGAACAACACGATGATGAGCGCGTATGCAGAAAACAGTACTCCTCCGGCCGGCGATAACACCACCAACCCGAGCCCCAAAGGAACGCAATGTAGTTACGTCAAGGCGATTCATCTGGCGATGTTGCTGAAGATGCAGATGACAAACTCCGACGTCTTTCATTTCAGAGCCGGGCGGGCAACACCCCCACCTTCGATACAACGACATAATTTTCAAGTACGAGGTATGTGTGTCACACTAACAGCAAGCAAACATCCTTCCACTCCTTCGTAATCACAAATAAAACAAAGAGCTGGAGCCTCGTGGAGGAAGTACCAGTGCGACAAACTGCTGTCGACTTTTGTTTGTTTTGTCTCTTTTTGGCATTCTCATTGTGTACAACGTAGATCTACACATCAGTGTCCGAGTTCAGAAGGCAAGCGTGCACCGTACATCGAACAGTTGGCTCGATCGACCAGCACACGGGCTGGACTTCGTTTTTGACGATGAATGTACGCGTGGAGGTCAAGTCCGGCGTGACATCACTCGGTACTTCGGGACAATTTTAGGAACCTTCTTTTTCCAGTTTTCACCCACTTCCAGTCATCGCAGAGAAAAACGAATACCACCATCGTGATCAGGAGCCAAAGAACTAAAAGATAAGACGAGGAATTTTTTTGGTGACAGTTCCCCTTTAAGTACACAACAGAAACTGATACGCCGGATAAGTTCACAATGTCCTGGGTGAATGATTCCCCTTCGGGTCACCAAGCATAACATCATAGACGACAGACTGACCAGTATGGTCTGTGGATAGGACAGAAGCATGCTGGTTGGTCACCATGGCGACATCGGCAACCTATCGAAGAGGTGACTCAAAGCAATATGAGTGTCAAGTTATACCGTTTTAAATGACCTCATCATTGCACTAACACCCTACCTTGGCAAATTGGCACCTTGCTCCAGGCGCCACTTGTGTGGTTGTGAGCTTGACAGGTGGCCTGGTTATAATCTGGGGCGCTGCTCAGAAATTGGTAGCCATAGTTACAGCTAGCGGTGGCAACGTCTCCGAGTGCCAGGTTGAAGTGGTATGTAGCGCTGCCGTGTACGACAACGAGCACAGGGCAGTATCCATGGTAACCTAGAGGCAACATGCATGGAGACCAGCTATTTAGGAGACGATAGATCTGATGTGTGCGTGCGTGCGTGCGTGTGTGCATTTGCTGAATGACATGCCAATGCAACAATGCACGCATCCATCCACTCCGTAATCAGATATTGGCACGCTCAACCCAGTACACTGTAGTCAATTCGGTAGGTATTTCACACACTATCTCCATCAAGGACTAATAATGTTCACATACACATCAGCCAGCACAACCACAAGTCTTCCTCTATATTCCATGCGTAAAGACATGCATACATCGACACAAGACCATGCTACAATTATGTATGCAGGCATTGACAACATGCATAGGTTGAGGGAATGGAAAAGGGAAAAGTCTGAAGAAACAATTGACTGTCACCACCAGGAATCGAACCAGGGACTTTTGCTTGAGACCAGCGATGCTCTAACAACAGAGCTATGGTGTAGCTGATATCCCTGCAAAAACCGTTCAACATTTTCTTCAGACTTCATTCGCAACAGGTAACTGTTAGAGACACAGAATATTGAATAGTGTGAATTCAGTACAGACTGTAACTAAAGACCACCGTGACTAGCGACCAGCCTGCTACTACAGACCACTTTGCCAGGCACGGACGGTCTCACATTCGCATTGGTTGTGCGGCGCAAACCTCTAACTAAGGACCACCCGCCACTAAAGACTGCTTTCTCTGGCCCCGAATGGGTGGTCGTTAGTCACAGGTTTTACTGTGTGGTTGTGCGGTGCAAACCTCTAACTAAGGACCACCGGCCACCAAAGACGGCTTTCTCTGGCCCCGAATGGGTGGTCGTTAGTCACAGGTTTTACTGTACATTCATAACTAACGTACGGTCACATTGAGCTGTGATGTTCCACTTGCCAAACGCGACTGCATTGGCAACGCACGCCAGAACGGTGCCGTGCACATCCCGGTAGCCAGGATTGCACCGGAGACTGGCCAGCGATCCCAGCGTTAACTGCGGCGGCAGGGTTAGAACACCAAAGCGTGCCGTCACCCGCGGGCAGTAGTTCAGAATGGCTGCAGGACAGATAGACAGTAACAACATTAATTTACCAAGTGCTTGACATTTCCATGGTGCTTTTACTAGTGCTATGTCCTACCTCCATCCCCAACTCTCTCTCCATGATCGTTTCTCAAAGGTTCTTTCCTATCGGATGCACATATTCCTTTCTCCTTCGTACCGGCGGACATGAGTAATGATGGTACAGCTTTCTGAAAGGTTTGGATGAGATGAGAAAGAATGAAGGCAGCAGGGGGGGGGGGGGGGGGCGCAACCGTGTTACAAATGTAATCGACTTCCAGCTGGAAAATATCGTACTGTTAACAGCTCCTGGACTTGTCTTACGCCTGGATGGCATTCTTTCATATCACACAGGGAAGCAGCTAGTCCCCCTCTAAGGAGGGGGGGGGGGGGTGCACGACCGCATAGGTGTAGGATGCCTGGTGCACGCCATTCTTGGTTACTATGTGCATACTGAACCTAGGTCGAAATCTTTTTAGGGGGGGGGGGGGCACGATTTTGGAAATGCCCACGTCGGGGGGGGGGGGGGATGTAAATGAGAGCAGGCTACGAGTCTGTAGTTTTTTTTATCATGCAGGTCAAATCATACTCACCTTTGCAGAACAGGCTGGGGCTCCACTTTCCGCTGTTTGCAGTGTATCTGGTGCAGGTGGAATCAGCGCCGTGTTCAGAGGCATAGCCAATGTCGCATTTGAGTTTTAAGGCGGAGTTGAGTGTCCTTCCTGCAGAGTATGTTACTGTACTGTCCTTGGGGTAGACCCATGGGCAATAGTCAGACGCCACTGTCAAACCGACACACGTGCACACGCACACACACACACACACACACACACACACACACACACACACACACACACATACACACACACACACACGCACACACAAACACACACACACACACACACACACACACACACACACACAAGACTGGATATAACAAGGCCAAAACAGCTAATTGTCCCGATAATGGGCAAAATGAGAAGTAATTTCGAAGCATCTTGCAGCTTCACCCGTAGAGAGTAGTAGGGTGGACACACACATTCCCAAAGCACTGCAAAACTGAACCAATTCCCTTTATGTACAACCAAGAGTAGATAAACAAGAGTGTGCAACTCGCGGATGGGTAGGCCCACGGCGGAATTTTTTGTTGGTGGAATCTTTTCGACGACGCACGCGCTGCGAGCCTTTTGGAGAGGTTTCCCTCGTGCACTTGGCCGGGCTTTACACTACAAGGTCGGTGCCCAGCACGTGCTCTCACACTGCTCTGCGGCAAAGTCCGCGTTTCTCTGAAAAAAGGTGACGTCAACAAAAAATTCCGCCGTGGGCGGGGTATCTGCAGATTGTGCAGGAGAGATCCGGAGTTGCACACTCTTGTTTATCTACTCTTGCTACAACGTTCCGGCACAATTGCAAAATTGACATCGTCAGGTACGAAATGAAACAATGATTAATCATGGTTTCATTTCGTACCTGACGATGTCAATTTTGCCGAAACGTTGTACATAAAGGGAATCGGTTCGGTTTTGCAGTGCTCTAGGAATGGGTGTGTCCACCCTACTACTCTCAATGGGTATAATGCTAGCCTAGTATTCTTACTTCACTCAATATTCTCCCGTTCGCATCAAAATCACTGTTACAACCGCCCGACAAATCTTGATTTGGCCACGGCTTACCAGACTTCTCGCAGATTATCCTGTGTTGGGTATTCACCGGCTGGGCTAGAGAGGCGGACAAGGGAGCGGTCGTGAATGCAGTGTCCTGCGTTGCCATGTCGCGCAGCCACGCCGTTCCCCGGTCGCCGTTGCTCAGCAGGAAGGAGTTCGCGCAGTCGGCCTCATTCCTGTCCGGCAGGTGAGCGCCGAGCGAGTCGCACACGAGTCCGGCCAGGGCGTAGTCGTAGCGGGTGCGTTCGGGCGGCGGTGTCACAAACGTTGTGCCCGTATGACATTGATACTCATCTGTGCAGGGGGAAAGAACAGAATGCGTAGTCCATGCGGAACATGATCAGGCGTGTACCGTAATTCTGCGCATATAAGCCCACGGGCTTATATCCGGATATAAGACCACCTCCGTTAACCCATGGGCTAATAAGCAGACACAAATGCAACTCGCGTGTCAAGTAGAATTTTTCACAACGTGGACTCTTTCTACCAGGGTACAGCGGGTCAGTGCAGTTTACCAGTACAGTATGGTAGAATGACCATGAACATGGACTTGTACTTTTCGTGAACCTTCAAAATTCGAATATTGGCCCATGGGCTAAAAAACGGACATGTTTTACTGGATATTTTATCCCCAAACTGCATTATTTCACATAAAAGCCCATATAAGCCCATGGGCTTATATGCGCGGAATTACGGTAGTGCGTGTGGGGCACAGGGGAGACCCCCTAAATATGCCGACCTCTGTTCAGCATGCACATACCGTATAATCTCTACTATAAGCCCAGTCTCTTGTAGAAGCCCAGTCTCTATCATAAGCGCAGTCCAAGGGGGATTCGAGGATATGCCAGCCCAGTCTCCAGTATAAGCGCAGGGCTTATAATGGAGAACTACATGGATCATGTCCATGCATGTTTGACGTCGCACAGTATCACATGCACACATTGTAGCGCCAGTCCGTGATCCCCGTGATAAAAGGTCGACGCTCTGTGTATCAGGAAGTGCAACACTGCCATCAACGGTATCTGTTGGGAACTTGGTTTTACTGGTCTCTAATATAAGCCCAGGTCCCGGACTGGTTGGAAAAATACAAGCCAGGGGCTTATAATTAGGGGTGAAAGGGGTGATCCGGGTAACCCGGGTGCCCGTCTGTTTAGCTGCTGATCCATTAGCAAACGAGTACCCGATAGTCGTGTAGGATTGTAGGGTACAGTATTATAAGCTTTCTTGTACAGTTTGTACAGTTCAGTGCACAGTTTTGAGTGTGTTTTACCTCGTTCAATCCTGCTACATATCACTGTATCCATTGTAGCTACAACAATTTTGACTGTTAGCATGTAGCGCAGTGATCAGGTGATTGTGCACACTGTGCTTGTCGCGATGTAGTGTACTTGCATGACCGCGCATCCTCCTGGCGTGAAATCCGGAAGGCTACTGTAGCAAATCGTTGCCCGAAAATCTCTCTCCTATCAGAATGCCTGTAAAAGACATGTTGCGCTTATGATCCCAAGCAAATGCAACGTTTTTGGAAATAGTATGGCGGAAATCCCACTGCAAATTTTGATGTATGATGTGGGTAGGTTGCCATTTGAAAGTATGGAGAACGATCGCGGCGAAAAGTGCGCTTTGCAATTTCAGCGCTCTGCGATATATTTTAGCAATTTCGATCGTGTTTTCGTTCGGTTACGCTGCTTGTATCTGGAATATAGCTTGCTCTAGCTGTTGTCGATGTCTACTAGTGATGGTGAACGCCAGGAGAGAGTTGTAGTAGCGATATAATCTCAGGATCTAAATCGAAAATGAGAATTTCCATCGCTGAAGCCATTGCAGTATTCGCTCTCCAAGCAGCAGCGAGAGGGAGCGCAGCGATGGCCTGAAATAATCAAGGCAGGTGAATTTCCTCACCCATCGACTATTCCTGGTCTTCTCAATCGCCAATACCCTCGCTGATCGCAAGTAGATAAGTGAAAAGTACATATTCAAATCTGACACAATTTCAATAATTTGAAATTTTGATGCAATTGTTTGGCATCTGGTATTCACGCAATATGGCTCTTTTCCGTCCATTTCGCTATTGTTGAAGCATGCAACTGGCGGCTATACACTAGTGCAGTGGTCTCCTGTTGCTCTGTGTGAAGAAGGGCAATGTCAGCAAGTATATTCACGATTCCAAGTACACGGATCTAAATTGTCAGAAATATGGACAATTGACTCAGAAATAGGTATTCCAGGTATGGCCTGTATCTGTAGTTGTGTGCTCGGTCAAAATAATTTCTTACCTGGACACATTGATACCAACTAAGGGATCGATTTATCCGGGTTCGCATCGCAGTTTGCGAATCAAAATTCACTGGCTGCGATTCGCTTTTCGTTTTTTATCGCCCAAAACTGCGATGCACTACAAAGACCAGGTGTGTGCAGTCTACATGCGACTGTGGTACACACTGCTGACTAGGGAGTAGTATTTTTATTACTACTCCAACCAACTGGCCTGTCCTGCTCAGTCCGCGCGGGTCGCGGATCGCGCTCTTTCGATTTTGGACACTGCACTAGCTATGGTCGTACATGACTGCAGTCTTCTGAAGTTTTGTACACGGCGGTGACTTTTCCTGATGTTCTCCTTTCTTCTTTCACTGTCAAGCTCAGTTTGTTTCTGTTCGACAAGGCACAGTTGAAGTAGATGGTTCTTAGTCTCATGTAGCCAACATGTCAGTGAATCTGATCAGTGATTCACTGTCCAGAAGAGGGACAAAGAGCTGGACGCGCCAGGAATGTCGATTCGTTTCCATGAAGAAAAGGAGAAAAGCGAAATTCGATGCGCTTTGCACGAAATGTCACGATCGTTTGAGCACTTTCCTGAGGTTTCTTTGTCGAAGGAATCAGTGGAACTGCCCTGTTGAAAGACATTGTGTTGTGAAGAACTCGAAGACGGATGGACGCTGAACATGTAACGTGCCCAAGCGAAAACTCTAACGTAAATATTCAGGTCGAACATTCGCTTGGAAAAGCAAATAGCAACTGCAGGTATTGTCCTCTTGTGTACGAAATCCTGCTATTGTACAGCTATACAAGTAAACTTTTGATGAAGGAAAACTGCTAATCAATACTGGGAGTTGCTAGTCAATTGTAAAACTGTGTAGCAGTCACTGCTATGCAAAAAAATCAAAGTAAATCGATCCCTGCAACAGATTCAGAAAAACATAACTTGCACATACAAAATGTGTCTTAGTTTTATGCTATAGGTCCATCATTACCGATGAGTACCCTGCGCATACATTAGATGCCTGGTACACAAAGGGTTAAGCCAGATACCCGTTTGTTACCTTAAAGGGTAACTGTTTCACCCCTACTTATAATGGAGATAATAGTATAAATACGGTGAGGACCATGAATGCCATGCACCAGCCATCCTACACATACATGTATGCGGTCGTGCAGCCCCCACCCCCGCCCCCAATCGTCAAGTGCAATCTCCTTCAATCAGCTGATTCGCGTGGCTATGAGAATCACGGTTGCAATAAATCAAATCTCTCTCAATAAAAAAGAAAAATAATAACAAACGCCGCCGGGTACGCGAAATGTAGCTGACTTACACTGAACCACGCAGAGATACGGGAGAACTGCGGTGAGAGCATGTTGCTGGTTATCCGTAGTCTCAGCGAGCAGATTGGCAGGCGCTGCGGCGTCCGCGACGAGATAGCGCAGCAAGTAGGGCCCGGACGCCTGCAGATTGGAGCTTTGCAAGCACGGGATGCTCTGCTTGGAGATGATTTGGCCACCCAGTTTGGCGCACTGCACCTTGGCTTGGCCGTGTGCTAGGGTGGGGAACGTTGGCGGCGCGACCAGCTTTAGCTTGGTTCCAGGGCACAAGTACACCTCTGTGCAAAGGTCACCAGACAAACAGAGTAATGTAGACTATCGACGGTTACATTCCCAATCGCATGCATCGTTCACTCCACTGACAACGTCGCAAAACCCAGCGTAATGAAGCCCACAGACAAGCCCAGGGAATCGACTCGTGTGCCCACCCATTTCAAAGTCCATAAGATATCCGTATGCAGCTGAACACACAGCTTACACTCTTTGCGGGTCTGTCGGTTGATAATATCGGGACTCAGGAGCCCAGAAACAGGAGCACCGTATTTGTTGTTGTTACTTTAATTTACTTCACCAGAATTACAGGCAGTAGAGTGCCTTCTCACTTGACCAAGTCTAGTTCTCACAAATGGTGAATTTCCCCGAATACAAGTCACACCTTTTTACACTTCGCTTAAGGGCCAACAAAAGGAGTGCGACTTATAATCGGGCATGATCACTACACATTTCCTGCGCTTTAGCTACTGAGCTGCTACATACCCACTCTTTCAGCGCACTTCCCCTTGTCCGTTGTACATGCAAATTCATACGGCTATTGTGTGTTTCGTTTTTTTTGTACATAGACATGTTGTAGTACGTTATTTTGTGTACGTCGTGTGTACGTCGTGTGTACGTCGTGTGTACGTCGTGTGTACGTCATGTTGGTGCATGCGCGTGTTGCTGTGGTGTGAAAAGCAGTCTTCGTCTTGAGTTTATCATGCAGTTTTTCATACACCAACTCAGAAAGATCACGCTGAGCATGATGTAGAGGGTGAAAGTGCCATTTCTAAGAGCAGTCCCGGCAGCAACAGAACAACAAGGTGGAGGAGAAGACGAGATGGAGGGGACATGGGAAACGAAGACGGCGTCAAGGATGAGCTAAACAATTAGCAGCATCACCAGCAACGTTGGCAGCTGCATCATAATCACTACTAGCAGTAGCAGCAGCAGCAGCAGCAGCAACAGCACCAGCAGCAACAACAACAACAGCAGCATCAACAGCAGCAGCAGCAGCAATAACAGCAGCAGGAACAGCAGCAATAGGAACAGCAGCAGCAGCAGTAGCACCAACAACAGCAGTAGCAGCAGCAGCAGCAACAGCAGCAGCAGCAGCTGCAGTGATGGAGCAGTAGCAACAGCAGCAGTGATGGAAGCAGGATCAGTAACAGCTGCAGCAACAGCATCACCACCAGCACCAGCACCACTACAATCACCACCAAACCAACCAGGCTGATGGTACCTTAATAAAGTGGCAAAAGCAGCGGCAGCCACAGTAACAGACACAGCAAAGCACACAGAAAGTGCGGCCATAGGCGAGTGAACTCAACTTACGAGGAGTGGTTTCACAAATGAATCCAAACGCCTGCTTCTGACAGGCTTGGTTTGCAAGGCACCAAATGGCGGCGTCTGGCAATATGTAGCATCCTTGATTACATATTGCCTTGCTTATTGCTGGTGCAGTTGTGCGAAACAAATACAAACAGCGAACGAAAAGGCGTCAAGTCTGTAGGCATGCAAGAGACCAGACTAAGCACACGGACAGAACAGACAACCAGCCATTGTGTCTCTCCGATTCTTCATCTGCAAAAACCAGCTCAACAGCAGTGTTCATACGGCTGAGAGCATTACGCAATGCTCTGTCACCATGACTGTGCACACCAGTGCACTACGGCCGAGATCAACAGTGCATGACCAGCACAACGTCCCTATGCACATTGGCTAATGCCTGACGACCCTGTGATAGCAGGGCGTCAGACATGGCAGTGTAGTGTAATCCATGCGCTCGCTTGGGCCCTTCCGTGCCAGCTTACTGTAAAACCGGAAAGTCTAACGAATCACAAAGTCTAACGTTTTAACGACCAATTTTTTCATTATTTGAAGAAACGTTATTGCGAACCCGATTTGAGATGTCTGTGTAAAAATGCGCATACAAATGGGTGGCGAGGTAGCCATCGTTAAACTTTTGCCATTATCATGCCAAACTTACAAAAAAGGTATACTTTTTGGTCGTTAAACTTTCCAGTTTTACAGTATACACGGGTGGTTGCTTCGCTTGCGTGGTGGGGTGCGGCATATAATTGAGTTTGCCTTAATTTAAATTCAAGTCACTCTCGATTTTTTTTAAAGCCGTACCCCACTAAAAAGCCAGGGAAATACAATAACTCCTTCAATCCCGTTTTTTCTGTTTTCACCCTGAGGATGGGTCGTGCCCGAAAGTTGGGTGAAATATTGATGACGTATGCAGCAAAGAAGCTTTATTTTGAGTGTTTACTTTGAGATATCCTAATGAGAGCAGTTGGGTTGACACACCCATTCTCAAAGAACTGCAACCCGAACCAATTCTTTATTAATTAAAACGTACAAAGTTTCGGCAAAACTGCCTTCGTCAGGTACGAAATGAAACGATGATGCCACGCAGGCCAAAAAGAAGCAGTTTTTTGCCTTGGTTCGGTTTGCAGTGCTTTGGGAATGGGTGTGTTCACCCGACTACGCTCTAGGGATGAAGCTGGAAGATGCCTCAAAATTCCTTCTCACATCCTATTGAGTTTTATGTAAAATGGCCGCAGGGAAGTATGCGAGTGCTTAGAGAATCCTTCAATCCCAAACAAACCAATACTGTAAAACATGATATTTTCGATGTAAAAAACTATAATTTGGGTGATTTCAGTAGAGAAAACAGGCACCTAAATTTAAATTACACCTAAAAGGCACACGACATAGAAAACCCCGTGGCCGTCCGCCATTGCGGTGGATAGATACGATTCGGCACGACCTGAAGGCAGCGGATCTCTCCGTGGAGAGCGCTCTCCAAGCTGCAGGAGATAGACTAACTTGGCTGGACACTGTTGACAGATGCGTCGACTCTGCTCCTGTTTAACAGGTTCAGGGAAGATGCGAGCTGTGTTTATTATTATTATTAAAAGGCACTGGAGTATGCACTGTATGTGAAGGGAACGCTGGTCACCTAATTCTACACTATACCTAAAACCTAGCTGGCCCCTACAGTACTTCTTCTTGTGCAGGGGCTTGACTATTCCCCACCTCTCGCACACTTCCCCAGCTCGGCACATGCAGCAATGACATGATGCCTTGCTTAGAGGTCACAACTTTCTGTTGGAGCCGACGGTAAGAGAGTGATAAATACTAGTATTGATAATTGTGGACGATCGTTCACAACTGGCAGCATGGCAGAAACTTACGCACGTCGGCAGAGCCAGTGGTCTGGCTTGGATCCCGTACGGTAAGTTTGCTCAGTCGGGCAGTATTGCCGAACTCGGCAAAGCTGTATAGAACGTTCCTTAAAGCACAAAGGTTAAGCCCTGGCTGGAGGCGAGTCGATGATGCAATTTCTCTGCAAAAAAGGAAGAATAGAAAGAAAGAAAGCACTCCCGTAGCAGATCACATCTGCACTCATTCAAACAGCACTCTGTTGTGAACGGTTGAATAACCTGACACTACTGCTCAATTTAACACCAATCCATCCCCACCCAGATGACCGTACGGTGCTTCAAGAGCTATAGAATAAAGACGGACCTGACCTGGCAATGGCATCAATTTTCTTCCTCCACGTGATTCTTTTTAATATTCCCTTCTCTCATAATACTGGACGTGACGACCGCGGTCTGATGGGTCCTGTGACAGCAGCATATAGGTAGCTGCCAGCTCTGTGTTTGAGCTGTCACAATCTGTATTACCACATGCGTCACATGTAGGTTGAGCGGCACGCGCTGTCCCACGTAGGTGTCATGCTTCTTAGGCGTGATATCTCACGTAGGTGTCATGCCTCTTGGACATGACACATCATGTGATTCAACGCCGGAACCTGGTCAGGTATACCGTAAAAGCCCGTGTATAGGCCCCGGGCGTATAGAATAGCAGCCTCGATCTCCTGGGCGTATACAAGGACACGGGCGTTATTTTGGAACCGGGCGTATACTGGGAATAGGGATAGCAGTAAGGATTGGGTATCAGTACCTGTACATGTACTGGTGTTGCCGGCATACCTGGGCGTATACATGGGCATGGGCGCTATTTTGAAACAAAAGTGTTGACTTCCCCTGACTGGGCGTGTACACGGAGGGTGGGTGTAATTTCGAGTGGGCGTGTACAGGGGCTTTTACAGTACTCCGTTTCAAAAAGATTAGCAATCAGGTTTAGGTCTTAAAAAGCATGAAGACAAGGGAAATTTGGACAGCAAAGTACAGAAAAGGGCTTGTTAGGGCACGGCAAATTGTTCTGTGAAGGTTTCGGAACAATTGGACCAGCCGTTAAGGAGTTACAATTTCGGCCAGGTTTCCGGCCTTTTCCCATGGTTTACAATTTGCCCAGGAAGCCAGTATCGAATGTTTATCAAAACCCACGATTTTTCCTTTCCTTTTTGGCCTTGTGGTTATGAATGCCGTCTGCTGACCATGAAGTTGTGAGTTCAAATCCCAACCTATCTTCAAGTCAAACTTTTTCTTCATTGTTTTGGTGATCAAGCTGGTACAAGACAAAGAAGGTGGCTATGCCAAACGACATACTTGTTGTTGTTGGAGCTCGCGCTTCCTGCCGAAGTGACGGACACTTGACTGGCTCAGGCCATGTGAACACACCCACAGCACTGAAACGGTGTGAGTGAATACGGAAGTCATTGCGATGTAGCCACGTGTTGAATACACCGGCACATCGATCGATTTCTTTTTGAAAATTATTTTAGTATTTCAAGATCGCCAATTTATTTGAATTTAGGAGTCAACGCCGTCTTCTATCAGCTTTCACACATGCCTGCTTTCTCCAAATGTCGTCGAAGTTACACAAAAAGCTTTGCCAGGTCATGGCCTTGGGAATGAGTATGTGTCGATGTCGTTTTCGTCACATGGTGAGAGTAAATTGCATCGCAGCTCAAAGAAACTATTCGGTCACAAAACCCATGCCGCTCCGGCTCGTCAACATTCACTCTTTCGACATGTCCTCTCTGACTCCATTTCGATACCAGGAAGAACTCGTTTGTTGTAAACCAGACGTACATGTACCGACGTGAGTAAGTTGTCATTTTTCATGCTTGCGCACGGAATATTTCTTCGAGTTCACCGTGAGTTTTTTCAGGCAGCGCTTGAGCGCTCATACGGTAAGACGGCAAACTCCCCGGGCGATCGCCAGGATTGCTAATCCTTTTGAAACTGACTGTAGGTTCTCGCGTGGAATGTTCTTGGAATGCTCTTCACTTCCTGGAAGTGTATCTCAAGGCTTCGTGCAAAATCATGTGACTGAGAAGTCCTATTGATTTCCCATGATCCCTTTCGCGCTTCGTGCAAGTCTACATGCACAGTATGCATGTACATGCACCCTGTTGTGACATGATGTGTTGTTTTCCTGTGTGATGGCATTCCCCAAACTGTCTTGTCTAGTCGCGTGCATGTGTGATATGAGCAGGGATGAATTTACTGTCATATGTTTGCATAGCAGTTTCTGCTATACGAAATCACAATTGTGTAGCAGTCTTTGGTTTTGATAAGCATTTTCCTCTGAAGGTTGGGTGTTTACCACATTGGCCTTCTTGAGAGTGATGCCTGAAAGTCCATTTGCAAAAAACGATTGAAGCATACATATGCACGCAGATTCAGAGTACCGGCACCACACACACTGCACAGTATGCATGTTACTTGATAGCGCAAACCAGGCATGGATAGTCTGTATGTATCGCAATTTTCTGCGAGTCACGGTGACTTTTGAGTAGCAGTAGATCGATTTTGCATCGCAAACTGCGATGCGATACAGGATAAATTCATCCCTGTATGAGCATGCGCGGTTTTGACGTCGAGAGTCCTTTTGTCAGTCTTCTTGTTCGTCTCTGTCAGAGTAGTCTACCTTTCCGTAATGTCCAAATATATTATGTAAAACAAACCGGTCTTGTCCTTCGTGTCCTGCGTCCCGGGGAACGGAATGGCTGAGATTCCGTTACAACGTGGTGCCGAAACCCGGGGACGGACAGGATGAGTAAGTTTGTCATGAGTCTGTTCGTCGTCGTCAACAACTAATAGTACAACTAGAGAGTAAGCGTGGGGATGGAGGTGATCAGGAGAGATGAGGAGCTGGTGGAAGCGGAAGACGACGCGGGGAGGAGGCAGAGAAGGTGGTGGACTAGAACTGTGGACTGGAGCCTGAGACGGCAGGAACTGCGGCGGAGCGTGTGGCCGTGGCTCGCCAGAGGACAGTGGACGAGTCTGGCATCACCGACTGTGTGTCGTCCTTGTTGTTCGTCTTGTCTTGCTCGCTGTGTTGTTCTCTCTCTGTTCAGTTCCTTGCTTGTTGCTGTGTTGTTTCAGTTTGGTTGTTGTCGGTCTGTTGCTCTTCTATTCGTTCTGTTTGTAAATAATTAGAGATAACACTGTGGTAAATCGACTGCTTGTATTGTTACAATAGTTCTGACGATATTAGTTATTTGATTGTATTCTTACTTTGCAGCTGTGTCCAGGCTCGTTGGAATTATCATTACGGACTCCATTCTAGTTTCGAAGAGATTCATATTCTTGTCCAATTGTTCTCAAACAAATTCTTCGTAGTATTTGCAGTACGTAGTCTCGCGCTCTTTGATTTGTTTGACTCGCGCGTGACTTTCCTTTCTTTTCTTTTGTCATGTATGACGCATCGGTATGACGTGAGTGTGTACGCACTCTGTTTATGACCACGTGACTGCATGCTCACGTGGAACTACAGTCAGTAGGCTAGTGCATTTTAGCGACTGCAGCGATCCGATCTTCTTGCTGCAGCGCTGTTTCTTCTTCTTCACTTGTGTCTTTTCTTTGGTCGCTGCACTAGTTTGTGATTACCATGATTACGCGTCAATGGACGACATGGTCGCCATTTTGTGCATGTCCTTTTTCCTGATGGATCTTGGATCTCGTGGAGAAAGAACAGTTTTCTTTTCTCCCAACTTTACTACTATTTCAATATTTCAACTCTCTTGATTCCTTGTTGATAGTTGTGGCTCAGTGCATGTGCGAGTGTGCTGGAGTGCTAGCTGGAAGAGGTAGAGAGCATAGTGGTGGAGTAACATGTTGTTCTCCATTGTTTCAGTTGTACTTCCTCCGTATACAAAAACTTCGTGACTTTTTTTGAACGGTGTTTTTGAGCAAGAACATGCTTAACGAACGGCGCCAAAGGCTGTCATCGACAACCCACGTCCATGTCGAGGTTAGTTTGGTTGATCCCGAACAGATTCTCCACGGCGTGTGAGGACGTTGCCGACAGAAACTCAAGAGTCAAATAAAAAAAAAAGCTAACACCTACTTGCTCGAAACTACCACAGTGACGAAGTGTAGCTCGTGGCCGGAACACGGAGTCACGTGGCACTCGCTGCCCTGAAACTGGCCAGGCTCGTACTTGCGGTGCGCGGCCCCATAGATCTACGCAGCGTGAGAACATAGGATTTGTTTCGCTCGGATGGCAAGATGAAACATTTCAGTCGTCGTGCAACCAGCGCAGACTCAGGATCAGAATGTCGATGGCCTGGCTTTCTTCGCCTCTCTCCAGTCAGACGTCTCCTTTCTTGGGAGGATTATCCTGGCGAGAAAATGCGAAGCATGTGGATGTGCTTGTACGACTCGTTTCACGACATAATGGAGGTCGCGGGTTGGAACGACTGAATATAGTCGACACCGATTCGTACACAGCTCTAGAGATGAAGAGGACGTAGCCAAAGTCCAGCGTCGGATCATCCCTGCAGGTGACAGGAATCTGAACGAAATGCGAGCGGAAGCAGCGACTATTGGCGATGCGGAGTCAGCGTCGTCAGGTGACGATGACATGAGCGACGAAGACTCTGAAAAAACTAAATCTTATTCGTCTGAGTTGCTTTTTTCTTTGTATATACAGGTCCTCCCTCGTTAGTAGATAATCTCTGGGCCATCGAAAAAGTTATCTTCTAACGAGACTTATCTTGTAGCAGGACTTGCAGCTTGAGGTGAAATAGGCACTACTTTGTACTTACCGGGGCTACCCTCGATACAACATAAATTATCGATGCTTCAACTCGTTATAAGATAATTGAAAATCTCCAAGTAACTCCAACATAACTCTTCCTTGAATGAAATGATCGTCTATATCCACGAATACATAGACATAATACGTTTCCTCTTTCTGCTTTATCCTACGTGTTTTAGCCTTGGTCCTGCATCGTCGATATTATCTTATACTGAGGGTTTGGCAATCCAGGGACCTGGGCAAATGGTCGCTATAACGGATTTTATGTAATAACGGATTCTGTTGTAACCGGATCTGTGAACAGTTGTATAGACCACGTTTCGCCAGGGGATTTCAGATTTCTATTTACTAACGGGGTTTATGTACTAACCGGACTCATTATAATGAGGGAGGACCTGTAGCTTGTAAACAGGTTAGACAATGCCACGAGTGTTTTTCCAAGTCAAACGGAACAATTCCTGAGCTGTGCGCAGCTTTCAAAAAAGTCACGAAGTTTTTGTATACGAAGGAAGTAGATTTATTTGGTGCGGCTGTGCGCATGTTATTATTGTTGGAGGTTCGGCTCCCGTGTTTCGGTTGGCCTTGTGTGCCTGGTTTGTAGAGCGTCGGCTCTAGGTTTTCGTTTGGCCCTGTGGCGTGGCCTGGTTGTAGAGCGTCGGCTCTAGGTTTTTGTTCGGCCCTGTGTCGTGGCTTGGATTTTATTTTAGAGCGTCGGCTCTAGGTTGATGGTTGGTTTTCGTTTTTCTGTTCTGCTGTGGTTCCTTTTGCTGTTGTGCATGTGGAACGTGGTGTCGGTTTATTATTTTGTGGAATGTCATCAAGGGGGCAGGTGTTGTGAAATGATGTGTTGTTTTCCTGTGTGATGGCATTCCCCAAACTGTCTCGTCTAGTCGCGTGCATGTGTGAGGCCACACGGTTTTTTTATTTATGTTTCGCGTCCCCCGCGCGCATGTATTTCACAGCCGGAGTTAAAAAAATATTTAAAAAACGGAACAATTTTTTTTTGAAAATGCAATACAAATTTAATGCAAACCCAGAAAACCGGAAAATGTAACCCGAAAGGGAAAAAACGGAACAAGATTGTTACACGTAACTATTATGTTGGCATCAATTAAATATTTGTTCTATTTATCGCATGATTGTACTCAGCTCACACACATGTACAGTACATGTGTGTGTAATAAGCTGGGCCGCAAGTCACACAATCATCATGCCGCCTGTGTTTGGACCACAAGCATGGCAGAGGGGATACACTCATGTATTAATGTACATGAACAGTGCCGCGTCGCTTCTACATTGTATTCACTGGACACAAATGCAATGCACGTACAATGCTTTTTTTTGGATGGCTTTTTATTTTTTTCGCCCTCCCTCATTGATTTCATCAAACAAGGTGACGCGAAACATAGAAAAAAACGGCGTGGCCTGATATGAGCATGCGCGATTTTGTAGTCGAGAGTCCTTTTTGTCAGTCTTCTTGTTCGTCTCTGTCAGAGTAGTCTACCTTTTCGTAATGTCCAAATATATTATGTAAAACAAACCAGTCTTGTCCTTTGTGTCCTGCGTCCCGGGGAACGGAATGGCTGAGATTCCGTTACAACGTGGTGCCGAAACCCGGGGACGGACAGGATGAGTAAGTTTGTCATGAGTCTGTTCGTCGTCGTCAACAACTAATAGTACAACTAGAGAGTAAGCGTGGGGATGGAGGTGATCAGGAGAGATGAGGAGCTGGTGGAAGCGGAAGACGACGCGGGAGGAGGAGATTCCGTTGTACTTCCCCTCCCCCTCCCCCTCCCCCCCCCCCCTCCCCCGCACACTGAAAGGCATCTAACAGTTTCACACTTGGAGGATGTAACGATCATACGGACCAAGACAAGTAAGTCTTACAAAATTCTCAAACAAGCCGGCAATTAACTTGATGTGTTCTCCAAAACAAAGCACCAACTTACACATATCTGAGACGAGGTAAGTGATCAAAGGCATGCCGTGGAAGAAGTCTGATTCGTGTCTTGCCTAAGTTCCTGCATTCGTAGTGTACGCACATACAAAGATGTATGCATGCAAACACACACACAGGAACATACACACATGTGCGTGTACGTGCACACACACAAACACACACACACACACACACACATACACACGCACACACACACATACACACGCACACACACACACACACACACACACACACACACACACACACACACACACACACACACACGCACACACACACACACAAACACATAATATACACCCACACAAATGAATATACACAGTCATAGAATGTAAAATATGCACATCCATTCGGACACACATAGACAGGGGCGTAGCCAGGAAAGTGATCGGGGGGGGGGGGGGGTGCCACGACTTTCCCCACACAAAAGTACTTGCACTCAAGTTTTTGATCCGCAATACGGGGTGGGGGGAAGCAAAATTAGCCCCACATTTGACGCCGAAAATACACGAGCCTCTTGTACCTGCAAAGCAAATGTGCTTTGCATACGACACAATATCTCAATACAAAAAAATTGACGCTGAAAATCAACCAGTGAATGGCAAACCTCCAACCAAGTAATAATAAGATCTACTACAGTAGATATTGGTTATAACGTGCCCTTCTGATTTTTCACATTTTATCACTATAACCGGTATATCACTACAGGCGATTTTCAACTGCGCGCGTCATACATACACATTATACACGTGTGGGTGCTCGATCGCGCTAATGTAGCGTACTGATACGTGATGGATGCTACTGCACCTTCTCCAGTCTAGAGTGAAGAACTTCTTGGCCCAAAGGCATCATCCAGGAAGCAACAGACCAGAATACCCTATGACAACACACATGTGGCTCCAAGTCGAGACATCAATGCCTCACACTCGTGTGTTCCTATCACTATAGACGATAATTTTTCTGCACAAAGAGGTGTTTTGAATGGTGATTCTGTATCCTTATAGCCGATTTATCGCTATATACGATATATTGGTTATAATGATAATTTGACTGGCTTTTTCTGGTTTTGCTTTTGATATTTTCATTTTGTATCAATATAGCCGGTTTATCACTATGTTCGATGACTTTATAACCGATATCCACTGTACTCCCTGCTTCCAACTTATGATGAGCTTAGCCCTGGATGCTGCTTTTGTCGCAGTAATGTAGTTAGTGTGTGTTAGCATCCACCGATCACACTGCCATGTTTGCATCTGCCGCGCACTGCTGCATCAGTGCATTGTGCACTGCACTCACACTGCCAGCGCATAGATTCGGGCACGCTTAGCCTGACGTCACACACCTGCTTCCTCATGAACTTTTGCTCACTGCACTCACACTGCCAGCGCATGGATTCGGGCGCGCTTAGCCTGACGTCGTACAACTGCTTCCTTTGAACTTTCTCTTTCTTTCTTGCTGTTGGCTTCACTTCAAAGACTAGTCTAATTAGTGGTGACTTTTAGCTTGTGCCAGCACCAAATTTTCACCCTCCATCCCTCCCATCTTGCTAATGGTACTATGGAACATTTAGCTCTATCGCTCCTAACTGGTCACTTGCTTCGCTAGTTGCGGCTCTTCACGAGCCAGTTGTTGCCAATTGCATTGGCTTTGCCTTGCAACCCCATTGTGGCACAATGTGGGTTTATTGCGGCTCCTCGCCAGTTGCTGCCAGTGGCCTGGCATTGCTTTCCAGCTCTTCGAGCTTTTGCATTACAAGACCAGTTACTCGAAGCAGCACACTATCTCCAAACCAATTCCTTGTTGCCTTGGGCTGAGTATGAGTGTGTGAGGGATATGGTGCTAACTCCAGAATTATCACACTCCCCATCGAACTTTTAAAGTCAGATTTCTCAACACTTTTTTCTCTTCGTCGTGTTTGATAGTGCAGAAAGACATCCTTGATCAAACATACCCCATATTTCCCACAAAAACCACAATCTCCACTTTAACGTTACTTTCTCTGTTCTGCTGCTGAACCGACACTTGAACACACATGAAAGAATCTTCTTTGCTTTTTCACAACCGCCGGTGCGAACACTCAACCGTCAGAACTACATGTACATGTACATTATACAAAACATAGCGCGAACAAACTGGTATGCCTGATGTGTGTTTTCCATGAACTGTGTTGCTACTTCTAACAATAGCATGTTTGTATGGCTCTTTGATTCTAACAAAACATGTGGAGTGCAATACACGTGTACAAGTCATGTGCTAAGTCTGCTGAGGTCTGACGTAATGCTGCACAATGGTAAGCACAAAGCGGAGTTGCCCCTGACTAGAAGTTTCATTGCAAAGATGGCCAATCATCAGACAAAACAGTCACCTGCAGTAGCACAATACATATATTATGTGACTTTTTGGTCTGAACAAGATTTGCTGTTGTGCGCGATGTGCAGAGCTGCACATGTGATCAGCGGTCCGCGCATTACGACCTCTCTAGAACCAGCTGCGAATCACGATCGACATTTTTGAAGGGGGGGGAGGGGGGCGGTGCTTTGGCACCCAAAGCACCCCCCTCCCCCCCCCCCCCCCTGCCTACACCTCTGATAGACCTGCATGTGGATGTATACGAGAATGCTGCAACCCCAGAAACCAGGCAAGACCAGCCAAACGCAGAGCGGATCGAAATAGAACAGAAGAACTTTGAGTGCCACGTCGAACGCCGCGTCGCAGGAAGCTCCACGTTGCAGGCGCCCTATTGCTTGGTCGGCATGGTTGCCGTGACGTGTGGCACACGTACGTGACCGCAGCCAACGCGCTAATGTGGATTACGTATGAACAGGCATGTAGCGGTAACACAAGCATGCAGTGGACCGTGATCATGCAGTAGCAAAGCAGGAGTTTTGAGTAGCATAGTTTGAGTGGTAGCACGCACCAGTGAGCTTGAATTCACAACAAACATGACCCAAACTTACACGAATAGAAGTTTTGTTAACTTCCTGAAAATGTCTCCGCGTAGACTCTGCATCGGGTTGTCGTACAAATCTCTGCATTAGACCATGACACACATGTAAAAATGGCAAACACATAAGAAAAGGGCTGTAATGGAGGCTGTGTGTGTGGGGGGGGGGGGGCACTCAATAGCTGGGTGTGGAGCATATTAGAAGAGTGCTCAGCCGGTTTGTACGCGAGTGAGTGTGTGGGAGGGGGGGGGGGGCACTCCATAGTTGGGTGTGGAGCATATTAGAAGAGTGCTCTGCCGGTTTGTACGTGAGTGAGTGTGTGTGTCGGGGGGGGGGGGGGGGCATTTATGAGTTGAGTGGGGGTGTATACGTGTACAATGTACATAGACGGCTATGATTGTGGAATGCCCTGTTCCTTTGATGGCAAAGCATGCTGCAACACCAGCTATTCTATTGTTTACCAAAGCGAAGGTCTGTCCCTTGTAGAACAGCAGACACTGGGGTCGTCTCGGCGAGCAACCTCCTCGTCAGCCTGGCAAAGCACGTGCACATGTTGGGTGCGGGTGGCAACCCTTTCCGTGCTAATGACGTCTATAGACGTCATGCGCACTGCACGCCAAACGACTAATGACGTCTATAGACGTCATGAGATTTGCGCAGTATATCGCTCTGCATAGATCAGTGTACAAACTTTCGTAACTCCGTCAAAAATCAGTCTATCGCGACAATCGATACAACGTTGGAAAGGTATTGAGCTCAGCTTTCCAGCAATATAAGGTTCTTCACGATAGGAGAAAGATTGACGGAGCGGCGACGGTGTGAACACAAAATTCACGGCACTGAGCGATCGTGAGTTTTTTTGTTTGGGCGTTCGCAGTTTTCTGTTGCGTGCCAGGGGATTTCCCTTTAGTGCAGCGCATGCGTAATGGACACCAGCGAAAGCACGTGGATCTCAGCTTTGAAGCGCAGTTTGAATAGTGAAAATCGGCTGACCTGGAACAAGAAACCGAAAAAGAATGTGAGATCGAGTTGCTGTGCCTTTCCAAGGCATCGTGAAGTAGTTTCAACAGGACATAGAAGTTGCACCGCCATGCATATTGAGTTGAGAGCTACCAGGATGGATTCGCTTGGTCCTGATCTTTCCAACAAGCCCAGGATGATGAAAATCCATCCAGGCAAACTGAACTGAGAGAAAAATTCGTTCGGACCTGTGAGCGAAAACGACACCAGGAGAGTCAGTGCGCTGGAAAGTCAGTTTGCTGGAGTAAAAGGGGCCAGCACGGAAAGGGTTAACAGCTATGGCCGGCCCCTAGTTCTGATGGTTCTGGCACTGGAAGATGAGACTAGTCAGAAAATGTGCTTAGCAAAAGAGGCCTGGTGTACACTTACAGAATTTCAAGATTATACAGGGTTCCTAGATCCGCCGGCAGCTTAGTGATCCCACTGCTCCTGATCTCACTAGAACACAACCAACAAAAGCGCATGAAAAACAACACAGTCAACTCTAACAAGAAAAAGCGAGCCCGCCGTTCCTGATCTCAATAGAACACAACCAACAAAGGTGCATGAAAAACAACGCAGTCAACGAGAGAGACAACAAGTGAAAAAGAGACAAGACGAGACCGGGGAATATATCCAGGAAAGTAGCGCACCAAAAGACCTGAACAAGAAGGGAGGCCAAGACAGCGGCCGCCAAATACAATGCTGTCCCAAAAGGGACCAGTGCAGGAAGTGCGTACACGGGGAGGGGGAGGACAGAAGACGCTGTAGCAACATGTAGATCTACAACGATGCAGCAGCATGTACAACAAAGTGACATAAACGCAGCCGCATGTAGAACACTAACAGGAAGCTCTTGAAATGGACAAAATCTCGGGACGCAACATCAAGATCAGAACGTCGATTTCCTCCAAAGCAGCAGGACCAGCAATAGGCAGCAGCATGAATTGCAAGTACATGTAAATTTGCTTGAAGAGGATGGTATTTACACATGTGACTGTGATGGAATACAGAGCGTGTCCGCATTCTTCCACCACTAAACTGCTGTAAATGTACAAAATTTCGGCAGCTATTTAATTTTAGGGTATAATTATAGTAAAATCTGGTGTAAGCGACCGCTGTTTTTAGCGACCACCTGCTCTTAACGACCATTTTTCCATGCACCGACAGTTCTACACAGACACTGTGGGACCTGGTTCTAAAGACCACCTGGCTTTAACGACGGCTTTTGCTTGCACCGTGGGGTGGTCACTTTAAAAACCAGGTTTTACTGTATTCGGCACAGACCCAAAACGCGAGAACGCTGATGAAGTTTTTCACATCTGCTTTGGTGATGTACTCGTATCACCCGCGCCGAGAATAAGTCGATGCGGAATTGCCGAAAATCGTGAATTGCGTACAGCTATCCACGCATTCCAGCTACGGTGTACTATTTATGTGTATACAAATTTCGTGCTCTAAAGTAGCCATACTACAGGTGTAGTTTCCGCACCTGAAAAGAACATATGAACGACATGATTAACATGTATCACACATCAATGGTTCACTCAAAGATAGCGCAAACTTCCTTACAGCACTGCAAGCTTTGGCATTTGTGACAAGAAGCCCTCGGACAGCACGACTTTCGAGACGTTCCTCATTCTCCTGCAATAGAAACGAGGGGGAAAAAACACGCGGACCAAAATGTCAAACCTGCGAGAAATCGTTGCATGTGGCATACAACAGCTGATGTACAAGCAAGCTATGCCAATACTACCGGCCATGCACGAACTAGTCGCCTATCGCAAGCTGATTTTAGTAGTAAGGAAAGGAGCGCTCTTTGCCAGCTTGGAGAGCGGCGTGCGGGTGGATGTGTATTTGCTGCCATTTTGCCAGGTGCGTGTTTTCACCACCGTTTCTCTGCTATCAATTAATGACGCTGCACTGAAGTGTTCAAACCCGTCACAACTACGCGAATCTCGCTAATCCAGTCCCATGCCTTCTCCACTCTCAGACTAGTGCGTATAGACCAACACGGAAAGGGATTCCTTGCTGTGAAGGAGAGACTGGAACCAACGGCACACAATAATGCCTACGACAAAGTCCCACTAAAAACACAGGACAGGGACGAGAACAAGAAGACCGAGAGCAACGCCAAGAACAAAGAACAAGGAACAGAACAAAATAGACAAAGCTGCTTACAGAACGACGAGGCCTCCGGCCATGGCGAATGTCTGAGCATATCCCTGAAAAGGGGTGTTGAAGATTTCTCTGAAAATAGGCGAGGAACAGCATAAGAATCAGAAACACACCAGACGTCTCACGTGTTGAACAGTGCAATCCTGATCCCAGCGTACTCACATGCATTACTCGTACCTTCCATATTCGGCAATGCTCAATGGCCTTATCAAAAAACTGCTTCGGGCGGTCCTGCAGCCGCTGCACATTATTACTCCTACTTGTTCTACTGGTAGTGAATCGGTCCCCAACCACGCACTCGCAAACTGTTGCTAAAGAGGACAGGTAGTGAGTGGAGCAGCCAACTGTGAGACAGAACTGGTTTAGGGTAAACTTCAACTTTTTGCATCACATTATGCTCTAGCAGCTACGAGGAGTGGTGTCAGCTACCGATTTGACATTGCTACGGCCAGCCACAAACTGTTGCCTTTGTCAACCTTTAGTCCAGCTGTCTAAAATTGCTTTCACTGTAACTTCTCAGCTCTCCCCCGAGTTCGTCTGTGCACTGTTTTCTGGTTGTCTGTCTGAATGGCTGTCGGGGTCTCTCTTTGACGTCAGCCGCACTCATTAGAGAAGTATATTGCTGAGCTAGTACTACACAATAGCATGATAGGGGTACGACTTACTACTGTCAAAACTGAAAACGGTTCGACAAATCCAGGCTTTGAAAGATGAGGTAAGCTATAAGGGTGGTGAGGATAACGCTATATGGGGAGAACGGTCGAGCTGTAGTGAAAAAATGTAACTAACTGCCCATCTCGGGGTTAGAATCTAGGAATCTATATCCACACAAGTTCTACAAAACAAATACTCTTTAACTGTGAAAAATATACTCTCTATCAAATAATGCAACTCCTACAGCGCCAAAGCAGTGCAAGATGTGAAGTGAAAATAAGAAATGAAAAAAACCTAATGGTATGTGACACCTTGAGCTGCCCAAAAATGGAAGACACGGCACGCAGCGGGGGACAAAACCAAGCAGAACCTGCCCGCCCTTGGAGCGCTAAATGGGCACAGTGAGTGCGTGCCAGTTTCGTCACATCCTGGCGAGGCTTGTTACGGCTGCAGCACTTCATCAACCTGTAACAGTTCTCCTTGGTGTGTTTGCTACGACACATTTCTCGCCTCTACCTCATGCTCTTGGTGTTCCCACGATGGTTACTACAGTCAGACCTTGCTTAACCGCACGCATCCGTTTTCCACAAAATATCCTGATGGGCGAGGGAGCCGGATAATCGAAGACCGGTTTTGTTGGATGCATCACGTGCTGTACATGTACATCTGTAACCAGCAATTTTCTTCCGGATAAAAGAGGACCGGATAAGCGAGGTCTGACTGTACCCCCGAACTGTGTGTGTGTGTGTGTGTGTGTGTGTGTGTGTGTGTGTGTGTGTGTGTGTGTGTGTGTGTGTGTGTGTGTGCGTGCGTGCGTGTGTGTGTGTGTGTCATGCCCATTTTCGCTACTAGCAGCAGCAGCAGCAGCAGCAGCAGCAGCATCACACCAACTTGTGACCTACTTCCCCATCTAGTGTTACAGTAGAAATCCAATTATCCAGGCAGGTTGGGACCCGGGAGCTGCACCGTAACACATGTTGAGTCCATGCAAGCAAAACATTTTAAGCCAATCATATACCGGTACATGTATTATTGGGCGCAGTTTTTCATAAGAAGTCATTTTATGGGATTGAAAAGGTTCAGAAAGGTGCCCGGCAGATAGGAATGTCTTGCAGGACGAAAATGGCACTGAAAGTCTGGGTGCCAGTATTCCGGTGGAGACAAATTCTTGAAGAAGAACAAGGTGCTACGCAAACAAATGTGTACACTTGCGTGTCGTGTTCCAATGGCCTTTTGATGAGCTAGGACTTACTATGCTCGCCTCTCCAGCCAAAAAGATACGAGTGCCAACTTTGGTGAGAAAATTTGACTTATAAAAATGCTCTTTAAGTTAATGAAAAGTGTTGTCATGGCAACCAGTACACTACTACTTACATGCCATCGTATTGACCGGGAGATATGCTGGAAAACGGAACGCGGTCGCATGTATAGAACTTGGATGGCAGGGTGAACGTAAAATTCCGAGAAAAGATCTCGGTTACGTTCTGTTGCCCGACCAAGCCGCTGAACTTGTAATCAAACGTTGGGCTCGTCTTCGTGCACTGCGGAACTGCAAGGGTGTTCCCCAAGCTCACTACGGTCAGCATGGAGAGCTGCAGGACTACCAGAGCCATCGGCGTGGAGACGCGGGGAATACCCATCCTCGGCCTGGCGAACATCCAAGCACGCAACAGGTCCCGCTGACCCTATGCAACGAGTAGACCATCCGTGCATATGTACACACATTCACACACGTGTCCAAACATATACACATACACATACGCACACGCGCGCGCACGTGCGCACACACATGCGCGCACCCGCACCCACGCATGCACACAGGCACGCACACACTCACATACATATCCAAACACGCACAAACACACACACACACACACACACACACACACACCGTTTGGAATATTGCACGGCTGTACTTGCGGAACTGTCCCTTATAAAACCGGATGGTGTATTCTATATACACGTTGTCTTGTCGGGAGTGCAAACCTATGGGATACGGGGCCCACCAAGACACTCATATCTGAAGGGAACGCTCAAACAAACAGACGGATACGGTACATCTGTGCAATACGTTGATATCGACTGTATGCTGTATTTTTGTCCCCCCCCCCCCCCCCCACCTTCCTTCATGTGTGTAAAATTTCGAATGGGGTTGCTACGTTTTCAGGCGGTGGCAAAAGTCATTCCATAGCTTCAAGCTGCACAAGACCGGCTCAAAGCTGTTCATTGTTGTGCACACTCTCAGAAGAGGGGGAGGGGGAGAGGGGAGGGGGGATTGCGACATTTACGTAAAAATGATTATGTCATGCAATAAACGGCTACGGAACAGTTTCATTTTTCTCGTCATCCTCGAACGAGCAGCGAGCGTCACGCAGTACAAGACCGGAGTTGACCTACCTTGGAGTCGTCTTGGTCCATAGTCCCTCCTGTCAGCTGAAGCCGTGTCGAAACGCACACATAATGGGGCAGGCACTCTATTCCTGCACTGCAAAGAAAGGGTGGTGTGGCGCACGAAGCTACGCCATCCCGCAAATTACGGAGCTAGGGAACACATTGAAGTCCTAATGTGAACGGTGGGGAAGAAGCGATAATCCTCTCGAAGAAGCCTGCTCATAGACGTGAGGGAAAACCGCTTCCTTCGAGGCGCTCGGTGCAAGAAACGGATGGGAGCAGAAATGTATACTTCTTCAAATCTACCTCCACAATTTGATGTAGCAAAGTGCGGCTCGCACTGTTCCAGATATGCCAGCCGGCAGTATAGTAGCATCTCGCGCTCCGCGATCCGCGGTTCGACGTCGGCTTTACAGCAGTGTAGATCTACTCCCTGCTCTCTAGTCAAGAGTCTTGATGATGCCGATGGCATACCCACATACATGGGCGCGCGCGGGCGCCGGGCGTCGACATCGCTGACGACGCTACAGTTCCGTTGTCATGGCGGTGATATCACTCTTTCATGCAGTTAGATTCAGAAGTCCCTTCTCCACCTTTCGCCTGTTCTTTGATATCGAGGTCGAACTTTGAACTCTGACCTGCCAAGTGATAATATTATCAAGTAAGGACAGTGGTGTCTTCAACTTCATTCTCCCAAGTAAGGACAATCCGGGAGAAATAGGAAAACGGAGTGGAGGCCGAGGGCGAGGGGGCGGCGGGGGCGGGGGGGGGGGGGCGGGGCCGGGCGCCCTTGTGTGGCATCCAAAATAATTCAGACCAAAACTAAGTAATTAGTTACTTTCACGGCCGGCAAAAGAAGACAACTACGCGGTACAATGCCGGACTTGGGGGACAACTCATGGCACTGTGACTGAGTCTGAAGCCGTGAAGGCTCCTTCGACCTCTGGGAGTCGTACCTAAACTATGACTCCCTGTTCGAACTGAAGAAACACAATGGAGGAAAGGAGGTAGTAGTAGTAGTAGTAGTAGTAGTAGTAGTAGTAGTAGTAGTAGTAGTAGTAGTAGAATTTATTATTTTGATAGGGAAGGCCCTACAGACGTTGCCGTCTTGTTACAGGGAACCCTAAGTGCTCTTTACAGAGCGAAACGAAAACGGATAGATGCTCAACCTGACGACACGAGACAGGCAGAGAATTCCACCTATCAGCGCCAAGGAAAGAAATAGAGGTGAAGCTGGTCAGAGTTGGAACGATACTACCAAAAGAGTCCATAACCCTGGGTTATGGACTCTTGGTACTACTGTTCGTCGCCCTGGCCTGGCCGCTGGGTCTGGCTGATTACAGTCACCTTGGCCATGGCCAACATCGGAACACACTGAGTGCGTTCGATTATGCACGCGAGTCGATTCACGAATCGATTCATGAATCGATTCGCGCTATTCACATCACCCCATGTGAATAGAGTGAATGGATTCCGAATCGATTCCAGGGCTCATGACATGAAATCGAACGACTTGAATGCATGCGAATGGATTCATGAATCGATTCAAGTGTGTAATCGAACGCACTCGGCGTGGATCCAGTTCTCGGTCCGCGCATGCACAGCACGTTGAATTCACCGGCGGTGTTTGTGTTGGGTTTTTTTAATGTGAAGTCTGAAGAAGAGGTTGGTGCGACTTCGGCGATACTTGGGCAGTGTGTGTTGACATGGGAGCTCGCGCTTTTCCTGCTATGAGCGACACTGACGCACGCTCCTGTATCTGGTGTTCACGAGGTGCTTGTCGCGCTGGAAACGGAGTTTCTCTGTAAGTTTTTAGTTTGTATCCCTGGTGATGTCTGTGCCTGGAGAGCACTATTGTAAGTGGTGCTCTTCAGACACAATCTTCCTCAGCCTACTCAAGCTCAACTGATGAGGGGTGAATTCCCCGAGACACTGGGTATTGAGCAGGGAGTGGTGCATTCTTGCAGGTTTGCCGAGTGGACGGTTCGATGGACTTCTCGTGTGCTCTGGATGGCAGTCATGAGTCAGTCAAGTGAGAATTTAAGTCGCCGACAGGAAAAGCGCGAGCTCCCATGAAGGGAGCTACACACAATTCCCTTTTGTATCAGTTCTTATAATGGACGTTGCGGCATCAAAAGGCATACCATGCAGAGCAGGTCGACCTTCTGCATGATCAAGCCAACACCGACTCAATGTCGATAATCCACGATCCAACTTACCAACACCAGCAAAACAGCAACAAGAAGGCAGTGTGAACAAGGAGGCACAGGATCATGTCCCTGATGCACCACAACCTTGGACATACGCCAATGCGTTGGGAGTTCGCACTCCCTGCACGAGTGCTCGAACCGAGGCGACTGCCCCCACATCTTCATCCACACCCGCGTTCCCGATGAGTAGAGGCAAAGCTGGTCACCCATCACCCGATGACCAAGGCTTCAAGCTGGCTCGTGGGAAACACACGTTCCCAGCGCGTGTTATTACTCCGGCTACAAAGCAGGGAGTCCAGGTGACTGAGAGTGAGGAGAGCAAAGCCATTCGTCAACTCGTCACAAGGCTTCGGATGAGTACGCCACAGCGAAAGCTCGGGAGCAGGCGAAGGGACAGCTTGTAAGTTGTTAGAGGTTGAGCGCCTTGCATTGTTTGTCTCATTGGCTTAACTTTATTCCGCATTTGTCTGTATCTATCTGCATCAACATTTTAGCCCCTACTATGACTCTCCCTCTCAATCCTCATGCACCACCTTTTATACCCCATGCATCTACGCCGACTCAGTCTGGCATAAAAATAGCCACGCTCAATGCATGTAGTTTAAGATACAAACTGCCAGAGATTGCCAGCCTCATCCGCACGCGTCAGTACGACATCTTGGGTCTATCAGAGACATGGCTAGATCCCGAGATTACAGACGGAGAGCTCAGTATTGACGGGTACAATCTGATTCGAAAAGACCGCACTCAACGCTTGGGTGGCGGAGTCTGCTTCTACTACCGTCAAGATCTCCCAGTTCGATCCCGCCCAGATCTGCATTCTGAATCTACAGAAACAGTCTGGGTAGAAATAAATGGAAAACCAGGTCGACACCTGGTTGGTTGCGTGTACCGGCCACCGGGGGAGCCAGTGTCTTACTGGGCAGATTTGGAAGCAGATATTGTACGAGCAGCTGTGCAGTCTTCTTCCGTGACCCTAGTTGGAGACTTTAATGTAAATATGGACCCAGCCCATCCGGCACCCCAGCACAAACACCTCACCGACCTCTGTGCTGCGTTTGGCCTCCAGAACATCGTCATGCAGCCGACCCGTGAAACTCCACAGTGCCCTGAAGGCACGATGATCGATCTCATATTGACCAACCCGGCGCTAGTGTCCCTAGCAACGGTTGTGCCCACTGATATTAGTGACCACAGCGCTGTGGAAGCCTTTATTCAGCTTGCCGTTGACGTTCCACCCGCGTCATCCACGACGTCGCGGTTGACCAGGAATATACGTGGCGTTGACATTAACTCTTTTCGGCAAGATATCCTTGAGGCTTCTCTACATGATTTTTCGGATCACAATGATGTAAATCACATGTGGAAAGAGTGGCACACTAAGTTCCTGTACGTTTTGGACAAGCATGCCCCGCTGCACAACTCTAAGCCTTCCCGGAGGGCGATACCTCCCTGGTCTGACAGAGAGCTGCACCAGCTCGAACAGCGTAAACGGCGGCTGCACAGCCGTTGGCGGAAGGATAGGACAAACGGCACACTGTATGCAGAGTTTAAACAAGCACGTAGCACTGCTCGGAACGCGTATCGGCGCAAGCGAAACGAGTACTTCTCCCGTCAGTGCGAAGAAAATGTGGCCAACCCTAGGAAGTCTTGGGCCATTCTAAATGCAGTCACTGGACGTTCACGTCGCCGCCAAGATCCTAGTTGTAGCATCAGCGAGGTGGCCGACACGTTCCACTCCATTGTCACCGATCCCAACCGTCCTGAACAACTCTGTACCCCGCACGGTCCCGCTGGACCCGTCTCCTTGACCGAACTTGATCCTGTGACTCCTGCTGACGTCCGACGTCTCCTTGAGAAGTTGGATGCGCGGAAAGCCACAGGTAGTGACGGCATACCGGGCTCTCTGCTACAGCAGTGTGCTGACTTGCTTTCATATTCTCTTGCTGTGCTCTTCTGCACCTCGCTGAGGACTGGAACCATTCCATCCGCATTTAAAGCGTCTGTCGTGCCACTGTACAAGGCCGGTGACCCATCAGTCCCAACCAACTATAGACCTGTATCCCTTCTCCCAATAGTGTCCAAGTTGCTGGAGAGGGTAGTGCAACACCAGTTAGTTCGTCATTTGGACTTGACCCAGGCATTACCCGAAACACAATTTGCCTTCCGCAAGAAATGTTCCACGGAAGACGCCCTCTGTGTGCTGACTGATAATCTGCAGAAGGCGAGAGACAGTGGCAAGACCACAGGGCTGTGCTTATTAGACATGTCGAAGGCTTTTGATAAAGTGCACCACGACAAGTTAATTCAAGACCTCCTTGCGGTTGGAATTTCTGGAAAAGCCCTTAGTTGGTTCGTCGACTACTTGTCCGGCCGCAAGCAGCAGATCCTCATCTCGCCTTCAACCAGCCCTGCTCTGGCTTGCACCTGCGGAGTGCCCCAAGGCTCTGTTCTCGGCCCTGTCCTCTTCAGTATATACACACGCGATGTCCCTTTGGTTTCCTCGCCTGTGCCAAGTGTACAATTTGCAGATGACATAGCCCTGTACGACTCCCAGGCCTCAGCGGCGGAAGCGTCCAGAACCCTCACCACAGCGGCAACTGCTCTGGCCGGTTGGCTGAAGTCCCGAGGCCTTATCTTGAACGCCACCAAGAGCCAGGTTCTGACTATCTCTCCCCAGCAGCATGTACAGGAAGTAACAGTCAAAAGCGGCGACTGTCTCCTCCCCTCAGCGTCTTCTGCGCGCTACCTCGGCGTTCACCTTGACAATCGCCTAGATTGGGACACCCATGTAAACTATGTGGTCACCAAGGTTGCCAAGAAAATTGGCGCCTTGTGGCGGGCACGCCGAAGCCTATCAAGACGCTCTCGTCAGGTGTATGTGAAGGCGGTCATAATGCCCGACCTGCTTTATGGCTCCTGCTGTTTTTCAGCCGCAATGCGAGAGGGTCAACTGAAACGACTGCAAACCACGCAAAACAGAGCCATCCGCTGTATCGATGGCAACCCGCCCCGGACAGCCATGCAGCCGCTGCTCACTGCTCACTCCCTGTACCGTGTCAGCGAGCTCTACAGGCAGAAAATATTGATCACCATCTGGCGGTGCATCCACGCCCGCACCAGCCCTGTGCTCGCCCAGCTTCTGACCCCGGCACAAGGCACCCCTACCCGCCATCAGCAGTCAAATGGCCTACTAAGCCAGGCAAACCGTAGCCGCCGCGGTCAGCGGAGATTTTCTGTTGCTGGTGCTCTGCTGTGGAACGCTCTCCCTGGTGAGGTCCGCACAATCACCCAGCTACCTGAGTTTAAGCATGCATGTGTACCATACGCCTGTAGGGAGTAGTTCGAGTTGCTGCTGATTGCTCTGCTCTCCCTCCCCGTGCAGTTCAGTAACCCGCACGTAGTATCACAGATACATCGTATTCTCTCTCTCCCCCCGTTTACCCGCAGTTATTAGTATCCTATTCTCTTACTTTGTGCTTCCATAGCTTTTACTATGTTCTTCCATAGCCACTTCTAGGCTAAGCCTTCGCCGTCATTTTATTGGGTCGTCATCCCGTTTGAATGTGCGAAGTGAAATAAAAACCAACCAACCAACTTGCCAACCCGGCCAGACTCAGTATGAAGACGCCAAATCCACACACCACTAAAGCTGCATTGTGCTTGTAATGAAGATTTTTTTTGAACCAGGAAAAGGAGATAGTAGATTGGCAGGTACCGTATGTTTTGGAGTAAAAACCGCATAGCGGTATTAGCCGCACCCAAATTTTTGTAAGAAAATACAGACATCTACCCTGTACTGTGTCACCAGTAGTTTGACCATGGTGGTATACGTCACACTGAACTGTTTGAGGGGAATTACGAGTGTTTAAAGAGTGGCTTTAAATAAGCACCGGAGGATAATGCCGGCAGAAAAATTGGCAGAATTTGGTATTTTTTCTGGTAAGTTTCGTGCGTGTTTGGTATGTGGATAAAGAAATGGAGCAGAATTCAAGGAATTGCCCGCCACAAGGTTTGTATGGTTCTGCCAATTTCAACTTTTTTTCGAGCGGAATCTGCCACCTTTTCGAGCATAATCCGCCGGTGCCTAGTGGCTTATACCCTGTAGAATACGCTAGGTGTTTATCACAGAAGTACCAGAAAACTTCTAATCACTTGGGCTGCATTGCAGGCAAACACATTGCAAGTAATAGTTGTTGCAGCACGTCCGACACTTGCTGCCTGCAATCCTTATAGTACAGGAGGCACTGAGTGTGTGTTGTAACACCTGACTGGGCTAGAGGTCATCATCATTCTCGTCAGCATACTTTATTTTGACAAAGTCAGCTTGCTTGTCGCTAACGCTCAGTGCAATATGATGTAACCCGGCTAGGACTGCCATCAAACCGGCCACGCATGCATACATAAAACCTATGACGGTGAGAGCCAGTGCAAAGCCCACGACGGCTATCGTCGGGCTGAACACGAGCGGGCCGAGCACGTAACCCACGGTGACGGCGAAGCGCGACAGGCCGGCGACCGCCACCCGCAGATGCGTTGCCGTGCCAACCCCGGTGCGCTCCAGGTGCTGAGTCATGCTGACGACGCACGGCACTCGGATGAGCATGGTGCCGACACTCAGCGGCACCACGCCGACGAAGAGCAGCCAGAGAGACGGCGAGAGGTACAGGAACGCGGCCGGCGCGGTCAAGACAAATCCGCACGCGGCCATCAGCAGCCCGACGACCTGGAGCAGAGCGGCACTGACGCCGTGATCCAGCGCCGCGCCGACCAGTGGCGCGGATATCGTCACCGTCAGAGCTTTCACGGCCAGCACGGCGCCCACCAGCACTGCCGGCGAGTGCAGAGCGGAGCGCATGCGCGGGCCCAGCGTGGCCTCCAGACCGCCGTAGCCGAACGACGTCATCGCCAGCAGACACGACATCAGGCAGACCCACGGCGAGCGCAGTACGGCGCGAACGCCGACTAGCTTTTCCGCATCCGCAGATACCGCCGTGCTGGACTGGGCATGGCCGTCCACCGTGTCAATATCCACCAGTATACACAACACCAGAGCGCTGACCATCAAGAGAAGCACGCCGGACGTCAGAAACGGCGCCTTGAAGCCGCCGACGTCGTACATCAAGCCGCCGAGCAGAATGCCGGCGATGTGGCCCGACGCGAGGAACGTGATCTGAAAGCCGTTGACGAAACCGAGATTGGCAGGGTACAGCCTGGTTAGATAGGACATGACGGCCACTGAGGACGTGACGTACGCAACACCCTGCAGTATACGTACACAGTAGCAATAGACTAGAAACACACGCCAGTCGGCAATGCTCGTCACATACGCAAATATCAGCTGCGTCGCTCCCGTCACAAAGTAACTCAGCACCATCAAATTCTTGCCACCAATGTTTGGTAGATCCTTGGTCAACAGCGGGATGGCCATGGCTCCAGCGACAAATGAGATACTATACGCGAATCCAACGGCTGCATGGTAGTCCGCACCCCCGCTTGGGTGCTTATCCAATGCAGCCGTGGTGAAGAACGCAGCGAACGAGTTGAGATTGCTGCTGAACGACCCTGCGGCCAGACTCGTCAAGATAAGCACACGCCTGGAAGGGGAGATGCGGTGCGCAGCAGCGGAAACGCCTGAGGCGTTTCCGCCTCGACCGTCACCATCGCCAATCTGCTCTTCCGTAGCACTACGGAGCAGGGCCACCGTTGAGGACTCTTCCAGGTTCCTACCCTCCTCGGTGTCTGCGTTCCGCGTCAGCGGCATCACACACTACCACAGACTTCAGGCAGCGGCGGGCGTGTGATAGGCTTGGAGTACTTCGTGTCATGCACTTTCGGCGAACATGAAGACTCGGCCCGTCAACACTATAGTGCACTAGCCAGTAGAACTACAGCTCTTTATAGCAGCAACAACCTTCAAAGTAATCATGGTGATTACTAGTAGACTTTACTAATATTGGTATACGTACCGGTATGTCAAACTGCACTATCATAAAATAATCTGTCAGGTTTTAGTCTTTCATGCTGGGGAACAGAATAGTAACATCGGAGCTCCAGGGTTACTCAATGCCGCCAAGGTGTGTTCGTCTGTACCTGGTTGGTTCCGTCTCCGTGATGTTCCCTCTTTTTATATTTTTGCTGTCCTACCGGCATCGAAAGAACCCGGCCACTTCACTAAAACTTAGTAAACGATACATGTACTTAGGTCTACGTAGATCTACTAGTACTTGAGTATCAGAGTAGTGCTGGTCAACGATCTCGTGAGTCCACTCAGTCCAGTAGAGGGTCTACACCATGGTACATGTAGATCTACACACGCGAGCGCTGTGCAGCTCCAGACCTGAGATTGAGAGGACTATGATTACCGCGTAGATCTACCGGTATGATGTGAACTGGTACGACTCGTGTGGTGCAGGGCGGAAACCGACTCACTCGCTCGAGCTCGAGCAGGATGCTAGCAGCTGCAGAACTGGACTTTTACGTGTATGTCCCCTCGGGAAAATCGCCCCGTGACCCTGATCATGCAGTGCCTTATCCTGAATCTTACATACTGCATCCATGGATAGAATAATAATAATAATAATATTCGCGGGATCCGCGTCGGCATCGCTTGAATGTTCAGAAACACCCAAACTAGCCTTCGCATCCGCAGGCCACCACTATGCCTGTTAACCTTAGTGGCGAATGCAGACCTCACAAGTGAGTCAGGGGAGAGGAGGTTAGTCTCTCAACCAATCGGGCGTGTAACGGCCCATAACCCTGTAAACTGCATCCTTGTTATTCTCACTCCGAGCTGTGAGTACCCAGTTGACCGTGGGTGTCGGCGCAGTTCAACACGCGTAAAAAGTCTTGGATAGAACTATACTTTTATTTCGGAAGAATTGTAGCAGAGATACCTGATTTGTGCAGTGGCGCATAATTGTTCCATAGAGTACAATCAATCATGTACTGGTTAGGATACAAATAAATAATTCTTGTAACATGGAAAAATTTGGGCACAAGTTACAATTACATGTTTGTTACAATGTTACAATTTTTCCCTTGGCTCACCATCTCAGTTCTTAGTTCTAAGTCTATTACGAATTATCCACAAAGTCAATATGGAATGAGGGTTAGTTTTCATGATCATCAGAGTGTAAGCCTCACCCCCCTTTTTAGGGGGAATTTTGAGTGTTCAAAGTAAGACTTATAGTCCGGAACCACGATAGCCTCTTTGACATTCTAGGACTTGATGGCTATCTTGCCGCATGCTCATGGCACTCCCGCACTCTCTGGGTCTTAGTGGCCGTTGTGGGTTCCCACACTGTCTGTCTGTCTGTCTCTCTCTCTCTCTCTCTCTCTCTCTCTCTCTGTCTCCCTCTCCCTGTCTGTCTGTCTCTCTCTGCCTCTGTCTTTCTCTCTCTCTCTGTGTGTGTGTCTCTCTGTGTGTGTCTCTCTCTCTTTCTCTCTATCTGTGTGTGTGTGTGTGTGTG